CTAGACTCTCTTCGTCGTACTAATAAATTAGATTTAATATATAATCTAATAGATCTCTACTTATCACATCTCTTTTCACTAATACTAAACTTTTATCTTCGCCTTCGTTCTTCTAGTCTTCGCCTTCGTTCTTCTAGTAAAGCTCTCTTTTCCTTATCGTTATAGAGATTAGATCTTTTAAGGAGACGAATAGAGATCTTTTATATTTCTATTCGCTAACTAGTTTAACCCGCTATATAATAATTTCACTATTTTCGCGGTTTTCTTATTCTCATTAACTTTCTCTTCTCTTATCTTAATCTAAACGATATCTCTATTCGTCTATAAACGGAGAGTAATTACGTAATTCTCATCGTTATCTCGTATTATCTATATTCGCGCTATAATCTAAAATAAAGTCCTTAATATTAATCGATAACTAGAATTTATAACTCGTATAATATAAATAGAAGTCTTAATATTTATATCGATAATAGTTAACGTCAACGAATTAATTAACTTAATAAACCGCTATCTACGTCTCTCATCGTAGCTAATGAGACTAGTAACGCTTTAAGTAAGTCGAATCGTATTTTCTATTTCGATTTCCATTATAAGATTCTTCGAGATTAAATTTACCTTCGCTTCGCTATTAACTAATACTCGTTTATATTTATAGTGAAGCTTAATATTTAGAAACGAATATTTAATAAGAGCTAACTTAGTAGTCTAAGAATAACTACTCTCACTATTTAGTCGTACCTTAGAGACCCGCGCCTTACGATGTAGAAGCTTCTAACGATCTTCGTTATACTTCTAGGTTTTTCTTAAGAATAGCTTCTATTGTACTTCTTTCGACCCAGCTAATATATTCTAAATAGTAGTTCCGATTATTTTCTATTTTAAAATCTTATTAACTAAGCTTACCGTTTCTTCCGTAAATATTCGCCTAAGTACCTTTTAAAGCTTTTCACGGAGCACGAGCTACTCTTATTTCTATATATACGTCCTTCTTTTTTAACGTTATATAACCGAACTCGATTTCGTATCTTTCATTATCGTGTCTTAACTTTCCGAAACTTCTTAGATAACGCCATCGTAGATAATTTCTAATTCTATAAAACGTATTCGTCTCATCGGATTTTTCCTCGATTATTCCGTAGCTTAATTAGTAGCTTTAAGAATCTCTTTTATATATTATTCTAATCGAGCTTACTTCGTGATCGGATAGTTCTTTTCTTTCTCTAATCGTTTTAGAATAGTCTTATAGTCTACTATACTATATTTAGCTTTAGACTCTCGCGCTTTACTCTTATTAAACGTTCGAGTAGTCGTAACTATAGCCTCTTTAATTTTCTCTTCCGAAGAATCATTAATTACGGTCGAGTCTCTATATAGATCTACTCTAAGATAAGAGACGCGTAAATCCTTTATTAGCTCTTCTAAATTATAAAAGATATCTCTAAGATGATCTAATCTAGTCTTTAATTATGGGAAACGAATTTCTTTAACATCTTTTCCCGGTACTTTAGGCCTCATTATAATATAATTTCTTAAGTTAAAATAAATCTATTTAGTTCGTAGATATTCCTCTAGATACGAATAGCGAGACTATATATATCTAATCTCGTTATAAAAGTAATAAATTACATTACGTCGATCTCCCTTATAGCTAGGTCTCTCGGTCGCGGACACCCTCGATCTTAGCTCTAGATTTAGATTTAATATATAACTAAATAAATCTAAATTTACTATCGTTACGTTCACTAAGATACTAATTACCTCTATTACTACTTATATTTATTTCTTTAAGCCTCTTATTTCTAGTACCATCGCACTTTAGAAACGATTAGATAGTTCATTAATATATTCCGCTAATAATGACTTAGTAGAGAGAAGTACTATTCCTTATTTAATCTAAGAAGTCCGAGAAGATACTTTATTAGCCGTTTTCTTAGTTTTCTTATTCTTTTTCTTATCTTTTATACTTCTCTTTTTCTATCTTAATATCGAGAACTTTTCTTTACGTTCTTTCACTAAATTATTTAAAGTCTAACCTTCTAAAGAGTCTATAAAACGATTAATATTATAGTGGGCTTATAAGCGATTTATAGTCTTTTTATAAATCTTATTATACTTAATTATTTTAATATCTCTATAATCGATACCTAGATCTAAGATAATTTTATTACGATCTCGCTTCGATAACCCTTCTAGTAACTATTTATCTAATTAAATAAAGATTACTTTCTCTTCTTTAAGTAAGATATCGCTAGTTCTTTTAAATTCGCGTAGATAAATATATATATCTTCCTTACTCTCTCGCTTTTTATCCTTAAGCGATTATAAATAGAAAAGAATTAATATTAGCTAATCTTTATCTTCGTTCTCTCACTCCTTTAGTATCTTTCGCTTAATATCTTTCTAATCTCGTAGTTTATATTTAGATAGGTTACGAATAATTACTATATAGAAACGATTATAAAAACGAATAATCGCTTTAGTACGATCTTCTTCTAACTATCGATTATATAGAGATAAATACTTAAAATTCTCTAAGAATATCGTAGTATTTATATCTTTAAAGAATAAATATTTAGAATTCTTCTTACTTTCCTACGGTATCTTTAATGTAATTAGCTTATTTCTATTCTACGTTATTATCGTCGAATCCGATGTCGTTATTATCTATATTAGTTCTAACGAAGACGACTATAAAGAATCTCTAGAAGAAGATAAGAATATAGCGAAAGACGCTAAAGAAGTGCTTATAGCTAGTTCCCGAAACCTCGATATCCTAGATTACTCCGATGCCATCGCTTCTATACTTCGAAAGAACTAGTTTAGAAGCTCGCGTATACTCTCGATTCCTTTAAGTAGTAGCTAAATTAATAAGTAAACTAGCTACGCTCCTAGCAAGGCGCCTTCTTCTCGGAACTTAATCTAATAGTCGAATAGATCTCGCCCTTTAATACTTAGTTCGTAATCTTCCCGATCTATAAGTGATCTTCGTATACGAGAGAACCGATCTTCCTAATTAGCTTTAATGTTACGCGAGCAACCTCTATAGCGCCGACTAAGTTCGCACCTTAAATACTAATTAGCTAGAAGGACTATATTTAACGTAGTAATAGCTAACCGTCGATAATATCTTCTTTATTTATTTAACCGTAATAATCTAGAATCACTATCACAGCTCTATACCGAATTCTCTATCAAAATATTCCTTTATCTTAAAACTTATTCGTATTCCGTATCTCTCTACTTCTTTTCTTCGTTATTTCGCGTATCTATCTTCTTACTTCTTAGATCTTAGTTCTTCGATAAGTATACTTTTTCGACGGCTCGCCTAGAAGAACTTCTAGGCCTTAGAGAGGTAGTCTTCTTTCTCTCTAAGTTCCGCGTTAAACTTTATACGTTATAATACTATAGCGTCTTATTCTATTAATCGAATATCTTCTCTTCGAAAATACCTTCACTATAGTATTTTATCCGCGACTAATTAATCTACTTCTTAAAAAAGCTATTTATCTTAAATTCTTCTTAATATTTCGATTCTAAACTCTTTCATAGAAAAGATTTTCTAAATAATTAGCGAACTTTGCCTCTATAAGTAGTCTCATCGTCTTTTAGAGTTAAATCGATGCTTATATAAATTTTAGTCGTTAATCTCGAACTCCTATTTAGTCGTGTTCTTCACTCTTTAGCATTAACTTCAGTAATTCTTAATGTAATATTTTATTAAGACATTATCGTAAAGAGCTCGAATCTTCGATGAATAGATTATCTTCCCGCGGTCGTTAACTATAATAGAGTACTTTAGGGTTTAGCGTATATATACAACAACGCACAGAGGTCTATCCAATAAATCGGAAATCGGGAACGCGTTTCTAATTAATACTAATAATAACACCACTAACACCACCTAGAGAGGTAGCGGCTAGGGCTACGAACACCTAGTATAGCGGCAGCATCGAGGAATAGGATAGGACTGATAAAACACTCTTAGAATTTAGATAGACGGCACCAAAAGCCATGGAATTCATAATACTCTACTCAATCTATAAAAAAAATGAATGGCACACTGCCAGCACTGTAAACTGTTCCGTACCTCCTCTCTGCTAGCCCATTTAGGTTTAATATATGACTAGATAACTTTTTCACCTTGCCACCGCTCTATTAGCCCAGTATAGTCTATCACAGCACAGCCACCTTACCTTATTATAATAGTATTTTAGTTCGTATTCTAGATCTAATAAGAGAGGAGAATCTACCCCCGTTACGAGCTTCTTCTTATAGTGCTACGGACCCGCTCCCTAGATAATAATAGAGTTAGATAATTCTTAAGTATACTGTGTGCTGTCGAACGAGGTCGTCCTATGAATGGGAGAGGGAGAGATGTAATAAGGTAAGGTAGCTATGCTGTGATGGGCTATACTAGGCTGGTAAAGCGGTGGTAAGGTGAAAAAGTTATCTAGTCACATGTCAAACCTAAATGGGCTGGTAGAGAGAAGGTACGGAACAGTTTACAGTGCTGGCAGTGTGCCATTCATTTTTTATAGATTGAGCAGAGTATTATGAATTCCATGGCTTTTAGTGCCGTCTACCTAAATCCTAAGAGTGTTTTATTAGTCCTATCCTGTTCCTCGATGCTGCCGCTATGCTAGGTGTTCGTAGCCCTAGCCGCTGCCTCTCTAGGTGGTGTTGGTGGTGTTGTTGTCAGTATCAACCAGAAACGCGTTCTCGATTCCCGATCTGCTGGACAGGCCTCTGTGCGTTGTTGCACGTGCACGCTAAACCCTGAAGTGCTCTGTTACAGTATCTTTAGGGAGACTGGAGAAATCTCTCAGAGCCCCTCGGAATAAATTGAGCAGACTCGGATTTTTCGGGGCAAATTGATCTTCAGTCCTTACAACCTCTCCATGACATACGGAATTATGGAATAGAACATGCTTCTGAGGGATGGATATTTTGAACATGCGTCCTCTCTGTGAATCCCTTACTTCTTCTCATACTTCACAATGTCGGCCGACAATGAGACTGCCGCTCACCGAGCAGCCAAATGCATACGCACATTAGCCGACAAATTCCCAGAGCCCTGTGGAGCGACTGAAGCCTGGCGAAATGTGGATGATGTTGCTTATGCCCTTTCTCAGATCTCTCTCTTTACACCAAGGCCCATCAAGATTATTGCGATAGGTGCCGGCTTTGGTGGATTGGCGATTGCCCACGCGGTAGAATCTGGTGCTCTTCCAGCAGCCGAGCTCACAATATATGAAAAAGATGCTGGGATTGGAGGAACCTGGTTCGAGAACAGATATCCAGGGTACGTGTTGAGGTGTAAATTACGGTGGAACCCTCATATCGACGTTCTCACTTCTATGGGCGATCAACCTGTTTGATGGACACTTCGGCCTTGCGTCTTTCGCCACTGACGTCGGATAGATGCGCCTGCGACATTCCTGCCCACAATTATCAGGTGAGTCTCAAGTATCACTGATCCCCGGAATTAATTTTGGTTCTCTTGAGAAGTATCTCTTATTACCGTATTGACGTGTAGACCGCTCTTGTTCAAGATTCCAGGGGCTCATGTGCTGATAGAGAATCATAGTTTTCGTGGGCGCCTAATCCGTATTGGAAAAGCTTCTATGCGGACCGAAGCGATATTCACAACTACATACAGGCTGTCGCAGACCAGGGTAATCTGAATAAATATATTATTTTGTGTCACAGTCACAAAAGCCGAGTGGAACGAAGTGAAGCAGCGATGGCAAGTCACAGTTCGCAAAACGGACGGCCGGGACATAGCTATTTCCAGCCCTGGAATCACTGAAGGAGAAATCGAGGAAACCATCAACACCGAATGTGACATTTTGATCAACGCCGCTGGATTTTTCAACAACTGGAAATGGCCCGCCATTCCCGGCCGAGAAAGCTTTCAAGGAACAATTTTTCACTCAGCTGCTTGGCCCAAGGATGCTGAGAAGAGTCTTGACGGTAAGACTGTGGCATTGATCGGGAATGGTAGTAGCGGCATTCAGATTTTGCCTGCCATCATCGATCGAGTAAGTAAAATCTATGTGCATATTCGCAGTCCGACCTGGGTGACAACGGGCCTGGCGGAGAAATTCGCGGGCCCGAACGGCAGCAATCTGGTGTTCAGTGAGGAACAAAAAAAGCGATGGGCAGAGAATGGGGGGGAATATCTTGAATATCGAAAGCAGGTGGAGGATTCGATGAGTTCGAGGTTTCGCTTATATATGGCGGGCTCCAAGATTCAAGAAGCAGCACGAAAGTTTTCCACAGAACAAATGACCGACAAACTGACCAGAGGAGGAAGGTCGCAGCTCACAAAGCTCCTCTTGCCAACCTTCGAAGTCGGGTGCGTTAGGCTTAGTGTCCACGTCTGACCCTGACCGTTATTTGAAGTCCTAATTCGCCTACAGGTGCCGACGCCCGACACCAGGAAACGGATACCTCGAAGCTCTTTGCTCCGACAAATGTGAAGTCGTTTGGGGTGACGTCTCTGCTTTCACTCCTGACGGAGTGCGCACCTCTGCCGGAACAGAGTCTAAAGTTGACGCCATCATATGTGCTACGGGGTTCGACCTTTCCTGTGTACCAAGATTTCCTGTAATCGGAAGGAACCAGGTCAATCTGCAGGATAGCTGGAGGAGCAATCCGGAGTCATACTTGTCTGTGACCACAGCAGACATGCCGAACTATTTCACCATCCTCGGCCCAGCGAGCCCCCTCGGTCACGGCAGCCTGGTCCCTTCAATCGAATTCGTGACTTCTTACATCTGCGACCTTGTGCGAAAACTACAAACACAGAACTATTCGTCTGTGTGCCCAAAGTCTCACATACCAAGGGCATTCCAAAAGCAATCGCTGGCCTGGCTTGCGAGGACTGTCTGGGCATCAAACTGTGCTAGCACGTTCAAGAACGGAACAGTCGATGGCAAACTTGTGTCTCTACACCCTGGTTCGAGATTACACATGTTCGAATTATTGAGCACTCCTCGATACGAAGATTTTGACTGGACTAGCCTTAGTCCAGATCCCGACCTCGCTTTTGTCTGGCTCGGGAATGGTTTTACCATTGACGAAGACGAAGTTTTCTATAAACGAGGTCAAGCTGACTTGACGTAAGTTCTCTGATTCAGGCTTATCGTTGTGTTCTATTTTCCTCGTGTTAACCATGATCGGTATTCACACAGGTATTTCTTGAATCCACGTCCTGGATCGAAGAATATACGGCCGCATGAACAACTCAATGGTCCTAGTCCTACGTAGCGAATATGGCTTGATTATGCAATATTACTAGAATTAGTAAATAGGGGCCAGGCGGAATATATGTCCTGATTTTAATGTCAGCCGTTCCCATCCTCTACTGTGTTCAAGCCTTATTGTATTGTGACGTAGCTCCAGCCTCAGAAAAGCTCTGATGAGGTATTGCTATATCACGGATGGCTGCGACGCAGGCGGAAGAATCCGGCTCCATTATTCCGTTTCAAGGCTGTTGAGATTTCGCAATTCCAGCAGACATATTGAAAGACTTTGTGGTATCCTTTGAAACAGCTGTGTGCTGGACTCATATTGATCATATCGACCATATTAGTGTGGTCCTTACTAAATATATATATAATACGATGGGTATAGAGCCTTGGCTGGGATTCGAATTTCCACCGAAAAGGTTGGCATGACACAAACGTGATGTGCTCCTCTTTGCCAATTCTGTCGGCGTGGAAGCTACCGACATTAATTCTCTTTATGCAAGTGCCGTCATGTGTCCTAAACGCATGCAAGGCGATATGATCATTTTCAGGAACTGCACCCAAACTTCCAAGAATTGCCGTCGTTTCCCAGATTGGTATGTATGGGAAGCTTAGAGATCGTTTATCAGGCGACGTCACGCCTGTTTACTTCGAGTCAGCCCAAAAGGGGCAAAACGGCGAGATGGCGAATTTCAACAATAATTTCGACAAGAACAGCGCGGGTGCATCTACCCCGGGAGTGCCCAAATTCGATATCAAGCGGATGGCCGATGGGGAAAGCAGTCCCTTCAACCTCTGCCGGCCGACCTTTTGAGCAGTGGGCGGAGGTCATTGGTGTTTATGACAGGGGGAAGACCGGAACGACGGTGCAAACGCAGACTGGGCTGATAGACATTGAAACCAATGACGTGTATACCAGAGTCATTGAAAACAACTTTTACATTGGACAAGGCGGATGAGGTGGTCCTAAAGGTGAGAACTCCCAAATGCTGGGTTGGCCGCGAGCTGACTCAACACCTCTATTTCTCAGGGCCATCGCCTCCTGTTTTCACGCCTTCCAAAATTCAACCCGATTTATCATATTCGCTGGTCACTGCCGAGGAGACTGCGTTGTTGTATCGGTCAGTTTTCCTGCACCATCTGTTGTTGCACGAATACAAAGATGCATGGAATTTAGACTGAAGGGTGACACCAACCCGCTTCACGTAATTCCCGAGGCTGGGCGTCAGATGGGCTTCAAAGGAGCCATCGTCCACGGCCTTTGGACGTACAACGCAAGACTCTACGGTGTGTTGAGGGTAGCTGGAAACAGCCAGGCAGCTAACATCAAAAAGCTTCGAAACGAAGTTTGCTTCACCTTTAAATTCTGCGGATACCTCGATTACTCGGATCCGGCGGCTTGGACAGTTGGATCCAGATGGCTTCGAAGAGATCAAGGTCATGGTTCAAAACAAGGACAGGAAGGAAGTCCACCCAAATGGCTGAGTTTCATTATGCGTGTGACTGAGGCCCATAAGTTATAGATAATCCTTTAAGGGTTAGCAACTCTACAACGTGTGCTCATTTGCTCGGCAAGTCCCGATGCCGCCCTCCCTAGATTCACGAGTCCTCGTACGGAGGTCACCGTCCACTATTAGCATCTGAAGTTGATCTAATGTACTTGGTAGATCGAAAGGGATGTTTCACCATGAGGTGTGGCTGACAGAAAGCTGTGGCGCAATAATATTCGCTAGTACGATGTCACCTCATCCGAGTACGAAACCATGTGACTACAATAACAACATTTCAGCGTCCTCCATAGCCAGCGGAATAATTTGCATTGCACGGAAACAGAGTCCAGTAAATGATTCCGAGGAATAATGCCTGGGTGGTCAGCTCGGAGGCTCGGAGGCTCGGACGACGTGATGAGCGTCTCACAGACAACAGCAAAGTAGATCGATGCACAGGTACATAGCCGAGGCCCAGGCATGGAGGAGACTTGCAAACGTCCTCGGTATCTTGATCACGTCTCCAAGCCGGTTGTGGGAAACTATCATGAACGCTCAACTCAATATGATGATTTCTCTCACATCGTGGTGGAGGAGTCAGAATCTATCCCTCAAGAATCATCCCAATTTCTAGCAAGCATCTACAGTTCAACGAGATTTTCGACCAAGATGAGCTCTCGACGTAGGTAATCCATCTCGGGAACCCCGCCTCCGCTAACAATACACAGAGAAGATCAGGACACCTCTAACGGACCTGTTTGGTGTGAAGCATCCTGTAATGCTCGCTGGCATGGGGGTGGCTGCAGGGCCGAAGTTGGCAGCTGCGGTCACTAATGCTGGCGGCATCGGTGTCATTGGAGGTCACGGATACAGCCCGGATGGGCTTCGTGAACAGATCGGGGAGCTCAAGTCGTACCTGGTTGACAAGGACGCGCCCTTTGGCGTCGACATTCTGCTTCCTCAGGTGGGAGGTAACGCACGCAAGACAAAGTAAGTACAGGACGAGACTGGCTGTCAGACGTTCACCGTGCTCGAGACGTTAACATGACTTGTAAAGTTATGACTACACAAAAGGCAAACTGATGGAACTCATCGATGTTGTCGTTGAGTCAAAGGCCCGCGTCTTCGTCTCTGCCATCGGAGTGCCCCCAAGACAGGCGGTGGAGCGTCTCCATGCCGGTGGAGTCTTGTACATGAACATGATCGGGCATCCCAAGCATGTCCAGAAGTGTTTGGATCTTGATGTGGATATTCTGTGCGCCCAAGGAGGAGAAGCTGGTGGCCATACTGGCGACATTCCCTTTTCTGTGTTGATTCCCGCCGTGGCAAAATTGCTCAAGGGAAAAAAAAGTGCTTTGACCGGCGTTGATGTTCAACTCGTGGCAGCTGGTGGTGTTTCCGGTGGTGAAAGCTTGGCTGCTGCTTTGATGCTCGGGGCTTCCGGCGTCTGGGTGGGAACGAGGTTCATTGTCGCCCACGAAGCGGGTGCATCCAAAGCTCACCAAGAGGCGGTCTTAACTGCGACTGTTGACGACACTATCAGGAGTGTTATATTCTCGGTATGTATCATTCTCTGTCTGAAAACACGGGTGCCCTTGAGATAACAATGGAATCTAGGGACGCCCTTTGCGGATACGCAAAACTCCATATATCCTCAACTGGGAAGAGAATCGGCAGCAGGAGATCAAAACTTTAACTGGAAAAGGCATTCTCCCAGTCCAAAATGATGCAGAGGAGCATCCAGATGACGAAGATGTTCTGGACAATCTACACCCGTATCTCATGGGCATTGTGGCGGGCGCAGTGAATCACAGAAGTAGCGCAAGGGAAATTGTGGACGAGATCGTGGACGGTGCAGTAGAAAAACTCCGGTTGGGGAGTGTTATGCTTGTCAATGAGTCGAAGCTATGAAGCAGACGAATTAAGCATGGCTGACGCCCTTGCTGCTGTTACGACCCTTGATCGAGCATGAAGGGAACCCAGGACTTAGAATCGCCACTTTCTCCGTGATGATTCTAGGTTGAAATACTGGAGAGAAGCTCTAAGCCATAGTACCTATTTTCAACATCTTCCTCCTGAGAAAATGCTCTCGGTCTGAGCGGTTTGCGGGCTTTGGTAATTCTAGGGGCCTTCTCGGCCAATGTGTACATAGATATTACGTCGATCGCTGCATAAAACCTTCGAGGTTTGCTATGAGACGACTATATGTGATTACGCCTATCCAATTTTCACTTTCGGGTTCAGATCCCAATCACTTAACCATCGATTTACCCACTCTGCCCTCACAGGTCCTGCCTCCCTTAGAGTACGGCTGGCCTTTTGGGTCTGTTCAGTTAGGTATTTCGGTCTTGCTGCCAAAGTTTCGTCTCGTCTCAATAGTAGACTCCTGTAGAAAGGCAGGATCTTGGCCGCAGGTTTTGCCGCTGTATCGATATCCCCATCAGACTCAGTGCTTGAGCCTAATAGCTCGATCCACTCCGCCAACGGAACTACCTTGTCGATTGCAAGGAAGTGTTGCACAACGGGCAAAATGTCTTGCTGCCAGGTTACAACCGCACGGTTAATCAGATGGTAAACGCGTGAAGTCAAATGGCTGTCACCTCCCTCTGAGTACCTTTGGCGTTCGATTTCCTCGTTGTCGAATTGCAAGAGCTCGATGACAATATTGGCCAGCACGTTCACAGGAATCCAGTCAATGTCTTCCATGCGACCAAGAGTGGCAGGTAAAGCTTGCACCGTGTTCGAACTGATTATTAGACTTGGGAACCATTCTTGGGCGTTCCAAACCTCCAATTTGACTTGATTCCCCGCAATATCCATATTCGGCACCGGACCAGCAATTTGGCCAACACGAAGGCTCGTGGTGGGTATGCGGCCTCGCGAGGACGCCGTCGCGGCATTAAGGACGCGTTCTGCAATGTATTTAGACTCGCCGTACCCCATGTGCGACGGCATAGAATTGTCTTGGATTATTTTCTCCGGAACTGATTGCTCGAGTCCCCCAGATGTTACCAAAGATAGGCTGGATACAAAGACAATGTGTGCACCCTTGGAAAAGCTTGAACTGAAATCTGTAAATCGACGGATGCTGGCAATGTGGTTTTTCTCAAAGGACGAGACTGACAGGTTGAAATTGACTGGCCAAGCGTTTAGGATCACATGTGTGACCGACTGAAGTAGGTACTGGTACGAGTTTTCCTCGAGACCCAGGCGAGGTGCCCCCAGGTTTGTTGTCCGAAGAAATTGAACACGCCCAGGATATGTGATCCAAGTGATCCCGTTGAACCCGTCAAGATGACAGTCCAAGACTTCTTCCCAACAACACTGTTGGCCTCACTTGTGGTATTTGGGGAGGTTTGGCGCTCCAGGCTATTTCCAAGAATCGCGGGTTGATAGTCCCAACCATGTGTCCATCTGTCAATCATCTCTTGAATCCGATTCTCTCGATTATCGGTTTCGTTACCATTTCGATCTTTTTGTGGAGCAGTTGTCTGATCCGCAATATGAGCCTGGACAATTTCGTTCAGTGCTTGCGACAAAGAGTCGATCGTGGGATTATTATAGATGATCTTTGAAGTTATTTCGGCGATTTGGCTGAGATTCGGAGTACGAAGGAATGGTTTCTTGGGTGACGAAAAGAGTATCAAGGGCTTCGTAAGTTGTCCGTGTTTGGGAGAAGTCTTATTTGCAGCGTTGATGGTGGACCAAATGGCTTGCAACAAGTCCCCTTTTTCTTTCTCCTTATCAACATCTATGCCTCCGACTTCCACGATCAGGGCCGGTTGAAATCGTCCTTGTCCAACGACCAGTGCACCAGTGATAGCTGGGTGCGCCTTTGCGATTTGTGACTCGATGTCGACGGGATTTAACTTTTCACCGTTGGACAGCACAATCACATCGTCAGCCCTGCCGCAAGTACGCCACAAATACGGCTTGTGAGGATACTGCGTGTAAATATCTCTTGTTGGCCACTCGGTGAGCTGGGGGAAGAGCTCAAAAACCGGCTGGATTCCAGGAACATTAACGTCGATCTTCCTGATGAAATGAGGACAACTTTTCTGACGCGTGAGTAAAGTGTCACCGCAGTATTTGCTAAGCGGTCCGGAGCCGAACTGTACCAATTTCAGGCTGGAAAGGGTGTCGAAATATTCAGGAAAACCCAGCATCTCCTCGACCAGAAAGGGAGGGATGACAGTCCCGTCGCACTTTCCATGGCGCAGAACCCCGTCAACGACTGAGGCACTCAATGGAACAGCGGGAGGTTGGAACACCATCACTATGTCGTGGTAAAGTGACTTCAGCAGACCCAACAAGACTCCGCCGGCCTGCACTTCGCCGGATGGTTAGCAGAACCGAACCTGTTAGTTGTACTGGGAGTACATGGTGAAAATTTGTTTGGGAGATGGGGTCCTTAATGACAAGGGGACTCAACATGAAAAAGAGGCATAGCAAGAAATAATCTGCAATCGCCGTCGAATGGCTTGCGAGTAAGAACATCCAACTCGTCCTCTTTCGGGTAGTGCTGGACCACATCTTCATGGAAACGGTATCCCTGGGTTAGAGGGATCAGCTTGGGCAGACCGGTTGTGCTAACTCACGGGTCAGCTACTCGTAACTCGCAGCTGCGCTCAAAATAGTCTCAGCTAGCATATTTCACAAACCTTGACGTATGAAGCATAACCAAGGGCTCCCACCTTGCTTCTTTGAGCGTCTTCTTGTACGAGAATGGTGGCGTCAGCTCATCTTTCAATAGTTCAGTCTGTCCCGGAACAACGGTCAACATGTCGTTCCAGCTCTCTGACCGGCCACTGTTCGTATTCAAGGTTCTGGGTGGTCTATTCTCCACCAATGCCTCCACTTTCGCCTTTATCTCTGTTGCGCAAAGCCACTTATGACAATCTGCCTCTTTCATGACAGCATATTGTGCCTCGTCGCTGTTCCTTGGTGAGATAAATAACATCTCTTGCCTGTCAGGATCACGATATCTCCGTTTCAAGCATCACCTGGCTTGATTCAACTTACCTGAAAACCAGCCTTGATGGATGCAAGAGTAAAAACGATATACCTTGAGTCGGGAGGCCTCAGGTATGCTAGAGGCTCAAATGGTCGAAGTCTGCTCGGCCCAATGACATTGTGCATCCACCATGCTGCCCTGTCAATGGCGCAGTTAAACCGCCGGTACGAGATGTCTTCATAGCCGGCACCGGTCGTTTGAGAACTGATGGGTATAGATCCCCATATCTTATTTGGTTCCATTGATGCCCGATCGGAGACTAGATTTGGGAGAAGTCTCGGCAAGGGAAGACTGGCGACTTCTGCTTCGAGGGTGGCCGCAGGAACAGCGTCTTGCGCCATTGCGTTGATGTTCGCCAAGTTATGTGATAGTGGCTATTGTGCTTAATCAGGCCTAACCGGTTTGGCTGAGCACAGTCCGTTTGGATAAGAGCAATAGAGTATCGTATCGCCATCTGGTGGCCCCAGAGGAAGAGCACATTACAGGACAGAAATATAATGCTCATGCAACTTCATTTCCGCTGAACAGTTTTTTTCCGAATCAAATTTCCGACGATACACCCTACAGCTACTGCCTGGAAATCTTTGATGATGAGTCTTCGGGATTGATGCAAATTCACTGTCGCCAATGCGCCTGTTCGGATCCTAGAAGAGAGCACTTCTGACATGAAGAATTTGGTATACCTAGCGGTTAGGCTTCGAAGATGGTTATATCACCTGCTCTAGCAAAGATTGACCACGGGTGAAGGTACCTCGGTGCTCAGGAGGTTGGCCTAGGATTGACGTAATCATCCTAACTTCCCGACCCTGAGCTTCGCAGCATTTTGTTTGATATCGGGGACGTGGTCATGCCAGTTGCAGCGCAAACCCCCCATCTTGGGAAATAAGATTAGGCCTCTATGTTGTGTGTGAGATGGATCGAGTGTCAGGACAGCAAGGTCGCCACCATAATCGCCGTTGCCAGACGCGGCCGCTTTCGTTGCCAGCGCCATCAACGTTATTCACATCAATCATCACCATTGATCAGGAGCAGGATGATGCCGCCATGGAATTTTCAGGGATGACCGTTACGACACAGGCTAATGTCTATACAAACAGGCAGAGTCTCACCGAAGAGACAGATAGAGAGACATAACATGCTAGATAGACCAATGTTATCTCTTTGCGCAATCAACTTGATAGTTCTTAGTCTTACATCCGAGATGCAAGGCCTCGGGCTGCCCGAGATAGATTAGGCCGCCAGCTTAGAACAATGCTTTCTGACATTTACCTCTAAGTTTATCTCCATAAATAATTCAAAGACGTTACCAAGTAAGGGAGAGCACGAAATATCTTGCTGGTAGTCACAAGCATGCTGCTCAGGGCCAAAGGGGGAATTCACACATTCTACTGAGACAATTTCTGAGCATAATATTAGTTTCAACCGCGGAATGTCATTGGGCTGAGGATGATATCTTTCTTGAAGACTAGTAGGCTCCTGTCCTACCGCCCTCAACTGTAATAGGCATCCCTTCCTTCTCCCTGTTGTCGTTGAATCTTTCATTCTACAGAACTGTTGAAAGAATGTGTGCACACACCCACACTTAGACTTCAACAGACTTAATGCCTGATACACCCCATGCAAGGTGGCGATGGCGCTTTGCCTTGACCAAGGAGAATGAAGAAAAGGGGAATGGGGACGGGGTGGAGGGTGCGAGAGTTGGTGAAGAGGTAAGTCTTTGAACTCCAGGATTTTAGCAGGTATCCGTTGTCAAATCATCATTTCCATCGCTCAGCTCCCATCCCGCATGTAATCGCTGCACGACCTTGCGGTCCAGATGTTGCGCCTTCAGTCGAGACCATTCAGAGTCCGTTCGACCACTCCAACGCCATTTCATCAATTCTGCAGCGGGCAACACTATTTTGGTGAAAGATATCTCTCGCTCTGTCTTATATCGGGGCCAAGGGGAATCTGCCGACAACATGACGCACTTCGGATTCGTCAAAGGGCAGAATCACGACATGACATGCTTCCGAGTCCGCAAATTGCCCTTGCCACCGTCTATCCTGCCTGCCTAGGCTCCATTGTCTTCCCATTCGTGGCGCTTGTGTCCGTTTTCCACAAGGGAATTAGTTTGCAGAATAAAACTTCCATGCGCTCAAAAAGGGGAGGGGGAACGGGGGAAGGCCGATTGGGGCGTCTGTCCCCGCAAGGCTGAAGAATGGCAAGGGGCGCCATCAGCGCCGAATAAGCCAGTGCATAAGCCACTGGGCTAGTACCCTGTGCCTTCACAGCCTCTTTTTTTTTTTATCTATATAATGCTTTCGCGCTCGGATCCTTCTTCCCCTCGAACGCGAGAACAATTTAATCCGTTTCAAGGTGAGCCTTCTCCACGCAACCAACCAAAGCTAAGGCCAGAGCTCCTCTCCCTTCTCAACAGGAACACACTAGCTCACTCACCTACCCGCTCACCAAGGCACTCGAATCAATCAAGCAAGTACATGATAACGATATCCTCGATATCAAAACCAAAATCAACATCTCCGGAACATAGAATTGATTGAGCATTGCCACAACCCGAAGGAGAGCCAAACCCCACGGAAGCCCATGTCGACGACGACAACGACAACAACGACAACAATGACACTAACAACCATCCAGCGCGTCTTCGCCCAAGTCCACTCGCCGACGAGCCTGACATTCCCAGAAACCGTCGCATCGCTGCTCAAGCTGGGCGTGACGCGGTACCACGTAGACTACATCGCGCGCACCACGACGACGTACATGCCCAGGCCAGCCTCCAACTCGGCATCCGACTCGACATCTCCCTCGACAGCCACCTCGACAGATCAAACTCCCATTGCGACCGAGCAAATCGCCATGCCCGCGCCGGCCGTAAATGCCGACACGGCATGGGACGCGGCGGGACTGGCGCGGGCCATCAGGCGCGTGCAGGGCCGCGAGACCGTCTACGCCGAGTTTGCGCGCGAGTGCGTCGACGCCGGCGTCGCGGGGTACATCGCGTGCCTGGCGGGCAAGAGGGTCCTGTATTATGGCCTAAACGGCGACGTGCACATCGAGTGGTTCCCAGGTGCGGAACCAAGGGGCCACAAGTAAAAAAAAGAGGAAAAGATGGAGGGTTCCATTCATGGGCTATGGCAACGACGATATTGGCGCGAGTCGTGGATGACGTCTAATCGATTTGGGAGGAGCTTTAAATACCGATACGAGACGGATTCGTTTCGATTTCAACATCCAGAAAACCGACCTAGACTGCCGTGAGAAATATGAGCTCTTCCACTTCATGCCTTGGTTACAGGACTTTTTTCCTTATAATGAATGAGCTTAAGTCAGCCAGCATTCCATGTCACATCAATATTAACAAGTTTTTCGGTCTTGCCGTGTATTATTCCTAACTATATATGACCGCAATTGGACCTCTTTCTTTGAGTCTCACGGCGATGAAGCTATTCAAGAGGGGCTCGTTCGGCTAAGGCCAAGACACTCGGCCATACCGTAGAAGATGTCAATGCTGTTAAAGACACCAGAAAACAACTCTGTGCAAGGTCCGCGCGTGAAGACGGGGACATCAGTGAGGGAGTGCACGCCTTGATCAGCCTAGAACAAAAATATGAGTAAGTGGTACTCGGAACTGTCACGGACCAAGTAAAGTGCGTGAAAAGACAAACTTACTGAAACAGGAAGCGATCCGTTGATAATGAACCCGGTAACAGCATCGACATAATTGACGAAAAAGTCCTCGTTGGAGAAGCCCGTGATGTTGATGGCCGGCACACGAGGGCCCTTCTTATTGACCTGATAGTCCTCGCGATTGTCAGGGAAGGCGGCAACGCCCGAGTATAGCGTATATCGAGGATCCCAATTAGCCGGGAAGTTGACCCCGGGGCCGTAAACGAGGTTCTGGTCGCTGCCGATTGGAGCAGATCGATTAGCAAGGACATACTGACTGAGGCCGGAATTCTGGTAGGTGCCGATAGCGCCACGCTTCTCACGCGATTCTTTCTGGGTGTCTAAGTAATGAGTATCGACAGAGCCCATAACGTCGAAACCATGACCGTGGTCAGCGGTCACGAGGACGAGGGTGTTTTCCAGCTCACCGGCGTCTCGAAGCCAGGAGATCGTTGCCTTGATCGTGTCGTCCAGTTCTAGGAGTTCACCGAGAGCGCGGTCATAGTCGAGCACATGCATCATTTTGTCGATACTGGCGGCCTCGGACATGATGAAGAAGCCTTTATCTCCGTGGCGGGTTTGGAGGACTTCGAGGGCCTTGAGAGTCATTTCTTTGAGGCCAGGTTGATCCGTAGCAGCAGCCTTGGAGCCGTCCGGAGCAGTGCTAGACTTGTTCAGATTTTCTGGGTAGACATTGCGATCTAGCCACTTGGCCATGTTGCTGACGGAGAAAATTCCAAGCTGCTTACTTGAGTTATCAGCGGCCTGAAGTGCCGTATTGTTTAAAACAACGGTGTAGTTCTGACTGGCGAACTCTTGATAGTAGTCTTTCCCCTGGAAGGAGCCTTTGCCAGGATAGAATTGCTCAGCACCGCCGCCAAAGAGGACATCAGGGCCCGTCCAGTTGGTCCAGGTATAGTTTGTAATGCCTCTGAGAAAAGAGTCAATGACTGCTCCGTATTGACCTCGATCTCGTGTGTGGGCAGTCAAGGCGGCAGGAGTTGCATCGGCAATGAAAGCGGTGGAGACAATCCCCACACCGCCGCCTCGAAGGCGGTGGAAAAGCTCAGCGATGCTTTCGATCTTTGGGTCGTCGAACTTGTTCGGAGAGCTATCAGCATAGACACCCAATGCGTTCACAGTGGATTTATGGCCAGAGTAGAGAGCGGTTGCAGAGTTGGCGCTATCCGTGATGAAGCTGTCGATTGAGTGTGTCATTTGGTGACCCAGCATGGGAAACTGGTCCATGGCCATCTTGGTCTGGTACTTGCCGTTGATGGATTGGTGGCCGATAAGGCGCGCAGCTGTAGCATTGCTTTAGTGTCGAACTTATGCTATGGAGATTTTCAGGCTCACCAGTAATCATGTTGGTGGTCATGCCGTCTCCGATGAACATCACAACATTCTTGGCCCTTTGACGGGGAGAAATATCCCGGACCGTCCAGTTGGCAACCGTCGTCTGAGAGCCATTGCGATACGTTAAGGTTGCAATATACTGACCCGGTTCATACAGAGCAACATTTCGCCATGCCTTTGACGCAACTCTGACCTGGGATGGAGTCTTGGCGGCATGAGCAAACAGGTCCTCATACCAAGTAAAATTCCAAGTCTCGAGTTTTGGTTCTGGAAGATTGAAAAAGGCTGAGACCGGTTGAGCATTCCCGCCCTCACGCTCGATGCTCAGAGTGAACTGACAATCCCTGTTAGCCGGAGCTGAGAATGACGGAGCCTTACAAGAAACCTAAGAAGGCAATAGAAACTCACACTGGGATCGGGAGTGGTGTAGCCCTTAATCGCTTCGCTTCCGTTCAAAGGAGCGTGCACTTCGGCTCTGATATCAAAATGTTGGCCCGGGAGGAAATCCGCTTGGTCGGGTGGAATAATGCAGCCTAAAGTTGGACATGTTCCGAGCCTCTGGAAGGATTGAGCAGCACAGTGAGCGCAGAAGGCGCCAATTGCCAAGACGGCCTCTAGACCAAGCTGGATTCTCATCTTCGGTATCTGCAAAGTATCCCGGGTTGAATATTTGCGGAGCTTCCCTGAGGAAGATCAAAAATTCTGAACCAGCTGTAGGACCTTACAGCTTTTGTACTTTTTCCAAGTCGGCAGCTCAACCCGCCATCCACGAGCCACGAGCTCTTTGCGTATGTCGTATGGACCGAAGGATCTATGGGAACCCATTGCAAACTCCCTCCTCTGCCTCGTGGTAACCCTAAGCTTCACGCTGGCCGCACGGCATGGCGTAGCTTGCATTGATATCAACCTGCTTTGGGCAGGCGGAATCGATGCCAAGACAATGGGAGGAATGCCAAGCAACGGGGAGGACCAAGGAAGGTCAACAGCCATTGAAAGCCCCCACGTGTTTGGGTGCAGAGCGGGACAAGCAAAAGCTTTGATGCTGGTCAGGGTTGCAGACGAAGGCCGCCAAGATCAAGTGCTCATGAGCGTCCCCGCCCTGTCTCGCTATCGTGTGAATGCGTGGTAACACATACCTTCGCTATTGGAGAGCCTACTGTTCATTCTGCAGACCAAGTCGCGGCTACCCGAGGTAACGGGAGAGCCAGATCTGTTGGAGGCTGGTCGAGAGTCAAAAAAAAGAAAACAAAACACGGCCCTGCCATTATGCTAGCAGCTCTAGAATGTAGGCTCAAAATTGAAGGTGATTTTGCAATAACACTTACTGCCGGGTGAAACTAGAGCACCGACTGCGGCGAGCTGAGGCCTAACCGAGCCTCTGAGCATTCTGATCCTTTATCCGAACACCAGGCCTGATCATTCAGAGGAATCTGGGAAGAGTAGTGGTCCATTGATACAAGAATGAAACCTATTCGGTGTTGGACTGACTGCTTGGAGCTCGGTGGTGAATGGTAAGAGGGAGCCGGATAAGGCATGCCGGTTTGTGAGGTTTGAAGCACCGAGACCAGGACTGCAGATGTCCAGCGCGGAAGCGTCAATTCGGTTGGCTCTTCCGAATGTCCCGGATATTCACACAAGGTTTATGGCCCGTATTTCTGGTGCTAATGACTTGGTCCGTGATCTCCATCGGTGATGCAAGGCACCAGATTGAAGCGCGAAACGCCTCCCCTTTGAAAAGGGGAATCCAGCTTATCGACATGGCGTCTGTGTCACCTGACATTCACGCATGTGGTGATTTCTTAAGCTCCCGAAGCAAAGGGGAGATGTACTTACACTGTAGCGCGGCGTCGACAGGACCGTGGATTTAGAAGTCGCGCACAAGTCCATCTTCTGCAGAATGGCAGTACTAGTTGTGTCTGAAGACGACCCACATTATGTATGAGGCTCGACGGGCCGCATTGATTTCTGGGTTCCTGCTGGCATCATCTTACGATCGAAGCACGTCACACAAGCGACCCTTGGCTCCCGTGTTTGATGGTTCTCCGTCGACAAATAGAATCAGACTGGTACATGTTCGACCTGCAAGGCTGAGCACGACTGCTTCTCGAAGCAGTCGTGATTCTCCGGCTCAGAAGGTTGTCCCACGTTTCCGGGACCGATCGCATCTCAAAATTGTTCAGAAATATGGCGACATGATCGGAATGTCTGGGCGGTCATCCCGCATACCGCACTTTACATGTCCATCTCGCGGTAGAGAGGTGCTGACATGCTAATCACGTTATTCACCTGTCCAATTTTGTCCAAAATTCCCCCGATCCCATCATTTTCGCGTGCTGAGGAGTCGGCCGCATGCCACGAGGGTCATGAACTGCTGTGACGTGTCGATTAGGTGGGATCGCATTTGAGTTTTATCAGAGGGCAGCAATTGGATACAGAAAGTCCGCGATAGCAGAGTCCGATGAAAAGTTCGCGAGGCCACTGGCAGCTAAGATTGGCTTCGGAGCTGATGCGCAGCAAGGGTAAGAGATGCGGGCGGGATACGAGCAGTGCGGAGATTTAGCCCGCTGCCCTAGTCACCCACGTTAGATGCCGTGATCGCTCAAGAGCGGGAAGGATGTAAGAAAAGGACCAGGCCTTGTATGCAGGTAATCGGATTCCAGTGAATGTGTGTGGCTCGGCGACTCAGCTGTTCAGCTCACATCAGAACCAGGCAATCCATGAGCCGCAGCTGCCGCGGGCGAGATCAGGTGTGTACATAATAGTCAGATACGAGGAGGACCCATCAAGAAGAAGCGAGAGAGCTTTGTGAGGCGGCGAGGAGTTGGTGGTGCTGGTGGCCAATAGCCAGCGCGGTAAATCGAGGGCAACCAAGAGAATTCAATACTGAGTCAGTGACAAGGCACCGACTCCCGCATCTCCATCACCACCATCAGTTTCCCCTCTTGCCCTCCCTTTCCAAGGCCATCCCTCGGCCCCCCTCTCTTCCTGCGTCTTCCTCGTCCTTCCTATCAGCAATTCTTTTTTTTTCCCTTTCCCAACCACATGTCATCCTGCGAGAGCAAGCTACATCCAGACACAGCTAGCCACAAAGAGGACGGCAACGATGATCCTACCTATATACACATGGCCGTTAATGCGCACTTATCTCCTTTCGTCGATCCTCACCCCCCTCATCCGCAGGCCTGGCCCCGGACCATCCATCCGCGCCCTCCATCCACATGTGATTGATTGGAGTGGCACTTGGTCCCTCCATTGTCGTGGCGATGGCATGCAGCATTCATATGCTAGTTGCTCTTGTCTGTGAGCTTGTTTTGGCGCGCTGTCCTATGTGTGTTTCAAACCTTCTGTTGTGTATGGCGACCGATTCGCCTTCGCATGCGCCATGGCTCCAGTCCGACATAGCTTCGATGGCATGCTTTGCATTCTGAATGGCGCACATTCCAGGAGCTGACTTGATAAAGCGCGCCACTTACCTGCAGCATGCATCTCCTACAACCTAGTCAGGGTGACAAAACAGCATCCGCCCAATGAGCCGAGAAACATGACCGGTCCCAGCCCTGCTGAGCGCAGCTCACTGTTGTCCGGCCCCAAAAAGAACAAATGGCTCCTAGAGTCCGACTTCTCTGCTCTTCAAGCCTTTCTTGCTGTTGTCCGTCGTCGTTGCTGGGTTTTGCTCATAATGTTACTCTCGTCGTTCATTTTCTTTGCTTGCCTGGCCTGGTCTTTGGCCGCTCCACAGCACAAGCGTCAGGCAAGCGGTCCAGTCATTGGTACAAACTTTCAAGATCCCTCGGTGGTCCAATTGAGGGATGGGAGCTATATTGCCTATGCGGGAGTCAATGGAAACCCTGCGGGGATTAATGTCTTGATCGCAACTTCTCCAGATTTTTCTAGCTGGACCGTTCATTCAGGCTACGATGCCTTACCGAATCTCCCTTCGTGGGCAGCCTCGCCTCCGCACGTATGGGCTCCAGACGTGACTCAGCTGGTGAGCATTCGAACCCCTGCTTGGTAACCAGAATTTTCTGATGAAACATCACAGGACAATGGCAACTTCGTGCTATACTACTCCGTAACCATGGCTGAATCTCCAGCGAAGCACTGTGTTGCGGCAGCAACAGCTCCAAATCCAGAGGGACCCTTCACGCCCGTCCAGACGCCCCTGTTCTGTGATCTAACGGCTGGCGGGGCCATCGATGCAGATGGCTTCAACGACCCTGCAACCCACCGGCAATATGTCATCTACAAAGTCGATGGCAACTCGATTGGCAACGGTGGCGCATGTTCAAATTCTGTCAACCCTATCGCACCCACGCCTCTCAATCTCCAAGAGGTCAATCCTGACGATGGGTATTCTTTAATTGGTGGCACAACCACTGTTTTACTTAATGACCCAGATGATGGGCCCAACATTGAAGCGCCTTCATTGACTTATGATGCCTCTTCGCGGACCTATATTCTCCTGTACAGCTCCAAATGCTTCACAACTGCCCCATATAACATCAGATACGCCACCAGCAACACTGTCTACGGTCCTTACACCAAGCAGGCAAATCCATTCCTGGCCACTGGAGGCACATCTGCTAGCGTTTACATCCCTGGAGGCGTAGACATCACCAAGGACGGCAAACTGGCAGTTTTTCACGGTGATGTGAACATGGGCTGGTTTGCAGGCGACGGCACCCCGCGAGTGCGAGCGATGTACGCCGTTGAGCTTTCCTTTGGAAACGGGGCTGTTAGTCCGGGTGCATTATACTGAAAGAAAAAAAAAAGCATCTGGTCCGTATTTCACCACAGCTGCTGTGCCGGGAAAACCGGAGATGTTTACGTTCAAGGGGAACGATACGAACGACGTAAAACGGAGGCATACGATCTGGTCAGTGTGAAGGATCTGTACAAAAATGCATTCCTTACAAGTTTGACTTCGATCGGTTTACATAGAATTGCACCTGATTCTTCTTGATGCAGAGAGGGAGAGAGCGGAAGGGGAGAAGCGTGAGAAAAGGGGGTTTGGGGCCGATGACAAAAAGGAGGTTACAGCCTGGTGGTGAGTTTGCCAGTATGCCGTACTTTTCAACGACTTTGATTTGAACGTGACATTAGCGGACCTAGATATTTAGTTTACTTTAATAAAACTTCCTCTTTCTTGCCCGCTCGTCTCGGTTTCTTTATTCCTGTTCTCTTCTCCTCACCATTCATTCCTCGTCAAGCCTCTTGACAAGCTCCTCCCAGCTCCTCCTCCCCCTCTCCGCCCAGTGTTCTGGCCCGCTCCCTTCGCGCTCCATGTCGCGGTGGAAGACCTCCATGCTCACCCACCCGTCCGTCCAGCCGCTGTCCTTCAACCACGTCCTTGCGACGTCCAGGACGGGCAGGTACGCGCCGCGGGCGCGCTCGAGCGGGAACAGGCGGCCGTAGCGGCACCACGAGTGCACGCCGTCCTGGTGCTCGCTGTAGGCGGCGTGGCCCGGCAGGATTGGCGGCGCAAGTCTCTCGGCATCGCTGAGCTGGACGTAGACGATGGGCGTCTGCGCCGTAGAGGACACCGTGGTAGCGGGGTCGGTGAATCTTGCACGGAAGGTCTCGAGCGACATGCGCAGCGCGGCATCGCCGCCCGGCCGTCTGCCAGTCGGTGACCGCGGGTCTGCCCACAGCCGTGCCAGGACGTGGTATGTGTCCAGACAGAGGCCGAAGTTGGGGCGCGCGACACGCTCGACGACCCTCAGCGATTCCTCCCAGTCGGCGACGTGCGTGGCCCACCCGAGAGCCTCGTAGGCGAACTTGACAGGAAGGCCAGCGATAGCGGTGGACTCTTGCCGTAGCCCGAGATCCGCGAGCGCCTGCAGGTCGGCCACGACGGTGTCTATGTCGCCGACCGCGTCCTTGTCGTCGTTGCTGGGCACCTGAATGACGTCCGTGCCCAAGCCGTCAGCCATGGCGATCCATTCTCGCGCGATCTGCAGCCTTTCCTCCAGACTCCTTGTGGGATGGCCCTCGAAGTTGTCAAACGAGCCCAGGCAGACAATCTCCAGGTTGCGCTGGGCGCAGAGACGCTTGATGTCCTCGGCCGCTTGGACCCTCGTGATTCCGTGGGTGGTAGCGTAGCCGTCTAGATCGGTGATGAACATCTCTACCCCCTGGAACCCGGCGGCGGCGGCTGCGGCGAGTTTCCTCTCCAGAGTGTGCGAGGCGTGCCAGCCCAGGGAGATCGTTGAGATCGCGAGCCTGTGATTCATGTTGCTGTGTAGAGATCTCAAGTCGATGGGCCCCGGTGTCTACGGTCCGTCTTCGAGGAACAGGTCAACACTGGGATGATCCTGCTCTCCTCTGAAGAATCAGTACAAATCAAAAGGGGTCGGGAGAAATATCTCGACTTACCGTACGAGATTGTCAGTGCCCAAGATGTTGAGATGTTGGATGAGAACTACTACAGAAGGCACTCGGCCCGCCTAGGCAAAGTCTCCGTACGTCTGTACTACCAGACGCCATCATTGTAGACATGATCCGTATTCGGCCATGGCAACACAGTATTGATATCCACTTCCGGGATCATCAATTTGGGCGCATCGGACTCACCGTGCATCTACTGTATCCGTTCATGACGCGAGCACTCAGGGGTCTTCAGAGCCCTCTCGTAGGCCCAAGGTCACCGACTAACATACCACAGACGAACACCGCTGGTGATAAGAGGTATGAGGTATACTTTTCACCGACTCTTGCGAGCCCGTTCGAAAAAGCACAGTAGCCTTGCTCGCCACATATCGTTAGTACTTTTTCCCATATACTCTGCTGTACAACTGTTGGCAGCGTAAGGCCCCGTCCAGTAACCCCTCCCCTAAGCTTCACCTTGCTCCATTACCAGTTCACGAATAGCCCACCTCCACCCCCCTCTGCCATCGGGTCCTTCTTCCTCTTCTGCTTCTAGGCCCTTTCGCAACCACTTTTCCACTTTCCGCCGCCACCTCTCCTCTTCACCCCTCTGTCTCCTCACGAACTCGGGCCCCACGTCAAACTCTTCACTAACACCGATTCCCCATTCGTCACCACTGCTATGGCCAGCCTCTGCATCACCAAAAGAATCCCTCGATTGGTCGATATTTGATATGTTTTGGAGCGTGCCGCTGCGGCTCCGTGTTTCGTCCTCTTCTTTCAGGTCTTCCAGTCCGGCAAAGACGTCTTCTTCCTCTTCAATCTGGACACTGCCACCTCGAACACTCGATACGCTTCCGTCTGGATTCTCGGCGATCTTGAGCCATCGCATTTGCGATGGGTCAAACACCATGCCCCCTACAACTTGAACGCCAGTGACGCTAGACCCCACGTTGGAAATCAACGCCACCTGTGCTTTCGTACCCGGGCTCCCTCGGCCTTGAATACCAGGGCTGCCGCCCCGAGGGTAGAAGTCTGGTACGTCGAACGGCGCCAGATCGTTTTCGTTGCCCTCCCACCTAAAAAATAGCGGGTTGTAGTTCATGCCTTTCTCCGTCTTTGGTCGGTTCAAATCACCGCCCATGGGTTTAATGAGATGTGGCTTCAGCTGAACCTTTTCGCTTCTCTTTTTTCTCAGACTTCCTTGGTTGCTAGGACGGATAGTCGATGGGTTCGACTTCCAATTCGTCGAGATCGGCTGCAGTGGTTCACCTCGCATGTTCTGGAAAGCACCTGAGATTTGGCGCTGTTCACGGGCATTCCGGGAGGCGGCCGTGTCGCGGGCAAAGCGAGGAACATTGGTGGTGTTGAGGGCTGTAGTCGGGAAATCGCCCCTAGGTGCCGGCGAGAGTGGTGTTGCGGGAACAGGGGTATCGCTGCCGCGTCTGGTGCTGGTGAGGGAAGACGTAGAAGGGTTTAGATGCGACAGTCCAAGTTTGCTTCGAAGGCTGCGTGGTGCACCACGGCCCACTGGCGCTTTTGTGAATTTTGATTCAAGGGTTGCCGAAGTAGGCAGGTCGTCAAAGATTTCCAACTCCGTCCCGTCACCATAATTGCGTCGCCTTGTAGGTTTCGTGATAGATTTCTTGGCCTGGGCCGCCAATTCAGCTGGCGTGAGATTGCTTCGCCCGCGCGCAGAGTCGACACCACGGCCAGGCGTCTCCGGCCTGCCCAGTCCGGCTAGTCGAGACAAAGACCGTTGAGCAGCAGACATACTGTCGCCAGAACCATCGGAACCTTGCCCACGGTAATGACTCTTGATGCTGACATGCTGAGACTGTCCAGCGGATGCACCTGCGGGGAGAAAGGGTACTGCGGCTTTCCTAGCTTCCCCGATGCGAGAATCTGCCCGATCCGTGGGAGTCTTGGGACGTGGCGCTATGTTCAGTCGGCTTCCCGTCTCCTGCCTCGAAGGAGGTCTGACGTACGGGGAGGGTTTGGTAGGCGAGGGTAGGCCACGCATGACGGGCATAGATCTCTTTGCGCGCAGGAGCTGGGCATTGGTGGTTGTGGGTGGTTCGTAGCGCAGGTCGGGACGAGATTCGGCACCACGTAGGAGCCGTCGACTTGGGGTTGAGGGAGTAGAAGGAGGCTGAGGGGCCGGAATGGCTGAGACAGATGAATGACTTGCGTGATTCCCAAGTCGTGAGTTTGCTCGTTGATACGACGAAATCGCTGCGCCGGTTTCCGAGACAGGTTCCAAATTGGACCGAGCACGCTCAAGCCTGTCGTGAGCTGGTTGAAATCTGGGGAGCCGCGAGATTGTTCCTTGAGTTTTGGTAGTTGTGAAATTGAGCGTGGTTGTTGTCCGTTTTGACGGGCTAGCAGGTCGAGCGCTCTTGTGCTTAACATTGCGATTCAGCGTCAACTTTGCAGCGTCAAAAACCTCTCCATCTCCAATCTCAAGACCCGAAAAGAAATCGTCCTTTCCGGTTGACATCCTGGAATCCTCTTTGTGATCTGGAACGCTTCGAGGTGGCTCGGATGGATGCTCGAGCTGGCGCCGCTTGAGCTTGTCCTCAAACTGGATTGGTCCGTCGGGCAGGATGAGTCCTTCGAGCCCTTCATCTTCGCTCTCGGCGGTGAAAGCACTCGAGACACTGGGACTCAGAGCCGAGGTAGACGAGCTACGCGCAGATCGGCCTCCCCTTCTGGTGCCAGCGTTCCTCGTCCCCAAGCTGCCCTCCGCCCATTCTAGGTCAAAATCATCACTCTGTTGCGGAGTTGAAGGGGGGGGCTTCCTCATGGACAGGCGCAGTTGTCCATCCGAAGGCAATTCGAGGTCGTCTTCGATGTTTTCAGTCTCTGGCTTCACCGGAGTAGGAGGTTGTCGGAAGAGTAGAGGCTTTTGGGGTGACCTGTGCTTTGCGACCTTTATGGTCGGAACATCCGCAAAACCTGCATCCTCATCCGTATCGCGAAATGCATCCAGGGTAATAGGCACTGCTGCCGAGCGGGACTTAGGTGATCGAATGGTTTGATCGAACATGTCTTTCGCTTCCGGGGTTTTGGGTGACGTTCGGAACGCTGCACTGATCTGTCGCAGACTCTCCGACAAATCACGGTCATCGTGTTTGGCGAGCTTGAGAGAAATATCAGTGCCAGGTAAATCCAGATCTTCCGACCAGTCGTCCGCAATTGCCTTTTTGATCTCTTTGCCTTTCAGCCGCCGTATCGTCCCCCCCTCCAGTGCAGAACGCGGTATATTGGTCGGTAATGGTATTCCTTTGCTCTTCGCGAGGGCTATCGCATCTTTGATCGAGGCTTGTTCATCGACTAGTACATCCCAATTTTCGTCTCCCTGGTTCGATTCGGATCGCATTGACATGCGCGACGAGACTGAATCTCGACGGTGTGCCTGGGGATGGGAGATGACGGACGTTGCAGTTGAAGCGGTCCGGAAGTGGACATCCTCGAGATTTTCAAAGTCATCATCGTCCCAGTTTTCAACGTCTGGGCTTTCGACCGGAGTGCGCTGCTTCAGCGTAAGTGCTTCCATGGTTCTAGATTTATTCTTGGACGGCGCGAAAATCGTTTAGGAGGATAATATTAAGGTCGCAAAAATACAGAGAGAAAATCTGACCCCAGCAGAAACATAAAAACGGGGGGAATCGTGGAACTCGTGAGGATTCGTAACGGCGTGAGGAAAAGTTGTTCGATAGCGCGATTGATCGAGCTTTGAAGCGTGTTTATTGCTCCCCGTCGAGGCAATACACCACCGATCGGGGGGGCAGTCGTTTGGCGAGCGACCTTGAATGGCCGAAGGAGAATGACGAGAATCGAGATATGCAAGTTGAGGTCGTTTTTCGAGGTCGGGGCTGAGGTCTCGGTTTGGGGAGGCTGGAAGGGTGGTTGCGGAGGATTCTAGCTGCGTGGTGAATGGGAAACGGTGGAGTTTCGGCAGCAGCAGCGCAGGAGCCAGCAAGCCAGGAAACGTGCGAAATTCGAAGGCGGGAACACGGTTTGGGCCAATCACACCCTCGCTTGACGCGTTCCGTGCTTTGCCCCACTCGACTGGCGTTAGTACGTGAATCCCTTCCTGGTCTGGTCGCTGGGTCGCTGGGTCGCTGGGTCACTGGGTGGTCACTGCTCACTGCTCACTGCTCACTGCTCACTGCTCAACACGAAGCCAATTGGCCTGTGCTCCCTGGGGTGCTACAGTACTCTCGGGTCTGGGATTCCGCAGCCTTGCATGGTTCTGCGCTGATTATCAAGTGATCGGTAATGGTGCGGCTAACTTGCATACGGTTATGGCGTCGACGTGGGTTATTCGGCTCGTCCAGGCCGACAAAAGCAGTGGCCCGATTTTGATCAAAGTGGCACAAAAGGAAGGCGGCCATGATCTCGACCTCGACCTTCTTGCGACGGACGGCGAAGCAGCCTATGCAGGTAAAGGTAAGGCACCAATTTGCACTTGGTGTTGCTCTTGCGCTGAAACCCGTGCAGTCAGGCAACGTAGCCTCAAGAAATTGCGAGCGAGGAACTATGACGGAACTGACGAAGACTGGGCCAACATCATTGCCTCCATTCTCGGCGCGAAATCGGACGTCTCAATCAGCATCCAGCAGAAGAACAACCTCGAGGCGACGTGCTCAATATCTGGCAAGGATCCCAAAAGCACCCTGTCCATCGAGATCAACCATCGCGTCGAAGAGATCACACAACGCCTTGGGACTATCGACTTGGCTCAGACGGAAGACACCGACGATGTTGACCTCTTTGGCTGGGCATCGCAGGCAGTCGAGAAGCGAGACGACTTACAAACAGACATAACAAGTCTGAAAGAGCAGGTCAAGACAAAAGATGAGGTGATCAAAAGTCTACAGCAACAGATTGACGAGCTAGTGGAAGCCAAAGCCGAGCATGAGAAGCAGATGCTTTCCAAATTTGCTCTGCTCCTCGACGAAAAGAAACTCAAAATTAGGAACATGCAACGGGTCCTCTCCACTGCGAAGACTGATGAGAAAAAGCTGAAAGAGTTACAAACCGTCATTGGGAATGGACCAGCTAGTGTGCCGCGCCGGAAAAAAAGACCAGCTGACGACACCGATCGGGATGAAGATGAGGAAAGTGATGGTTTCGAGACTTCAGGTCCGGAACCAGTCACTCATGCCGAGAGCGAGCCTGACTCTCCCACATCTGGTGACTCGCCCCCGACACCTTCAGAGCGTGACGAGGACACGGACGAGGACAGCTTAAATGGAACAGCAGCATATTCGAATCATCCAAGAACACGAGAAATGGATTCAGCGCAGGATCGAGGACAGGGCCAGACACAAGGTAATGAACCAAACAGAGAAATGCCCCAGGCTGCAACGACGGCACAGGCCGACGACGAGGAGACGGCAAGTGAGGATGACGAACTGTGATGGAAGGATCTGGCGCGATCCCTTCTGATGATTCACGCAACAGCATTGGATACCCGGTAAACAGGATGGTTCTTGGTTGGTAAATTCATTTACTTTCATTCGATTCCGATGCTTCTCAGCATAATCTACCCGCGGCATATCAGGACAAGGCTTTGGTTATATTCTCTCGACTCTCCTGTGTCAAGGGTCCCATCATACTTGTCCACCGCAGCCAGATTCGGTCCTCATTGGTGGTGTGGCTACTTCAGTAGTTGAAGTTTGGCTGGTCACGTTGATTTGGGTCATATTGATCCATGTCCCCATAATGTTGGTCGTACATGTTCTCGGCGCTTCTCTTAGCATGCTCTCTGGCCCTAATCTTGTCATATTCATCCAAGCCCTTGGTCTCGGCAAGTTTATCGACTTCGGCTCCAACAAAGCCGGCAAGGAGTTCTTTGGCGAAGCCGTGATCGACTGTCTTGCCTGTTCATCGTAAGCTCAATCACGCCGCTGGTTCCTGGAAAGAAGTATTCACATACCTTCCCTGCGTTGGCGGTCCTCGTAGAGCTTCATGCCCTCGAAGGCGGCAGCGCCACCAATGAGTTCATGGGAGAATTTGGCTTGGTGGTCCTCGTCCCCTTGGTCTAGGTTGTCGTCAGTATCGGAGAGTTGTATTGGTCCTGCCGTCCCCGGTCCAGGCGTCCGAGGATACTTACAGACTTGCTGGTGAGCGTCGCGGCTTTCGTCTGGAGTAGCGCAGTCAGCATGGAGGGGTATCGAAGAGGTAGACGGTCAAGTCAACTCACCCCAACCAAACATCTTGATCGAAGCAAGTTTGATAGATGTATTCGGAGTTGTTCTAGTTAATTGAAGAGGGTCAGATGAGCTTTGAGGGTTTGAGTATGATGGGTTTGAAAAGAACAAAGCAGAGGACGGGGGGGAAATATATATAGGCATCCAGGAAGAATGTCAGTCACCGCTTCAAGGGCCCGAGTGACACCAGACAGCAGACACCAGACACGCAAGTGACTTGCCCCTCGATCCATCGCCATCTTCTCGTTGGCAGCTTGCCATTGGGATTGCGCAGCTCCGACTCCACCTCGTCACAGCAGTCGCCAGCCATTCAGCTTGACGTTTGTTCGGTTTCACTTTCTACGAGCATTGCGTCAACAGAGTGAGCACAACTCAAGGTACTCAATACTCCTATGGACCCTTGACCACCGTCTCAGATCAATCTAGCACTCCAAAACAAAAACCAGAAAAACAAGAATTCAGCTGGCTCACAGTGGCTGTGCATCACCATGTCTTTATCCCCCCCATCACTGATCAGGGCTTTGCCTCAATGATGCTGGAACCAATGCAGGTCCACCACCCAGGTCCACCCCACATCTGTTCAGCTCGCTTGTTCCCGCCTGCTCAGGGTCTTGTCGCTTCGCACGGCAATTCTTTCACCAACTTTTTCGGATCAAAACATCATACTGCATACTATTACACGGTCTCGGTCCAGTTCGAAATTTCACATGTAGCCAGCTCACTTTTCCTGGTACATTATGGCGGATTGCGGAAGGATGTGGGCTGCTTCATGACTTCAACGAGGGGTGGGCAGAGGGGGGATGGTGCAGGGATCAGCCAGCTTGGGAGCCAAGAGCCAAGAGCCAAGAAGGAGGCAAACGTTGCTTGACGCTGGAGCCAAGTTGGAAGGTTAAAGCTTACCCAGCGAGCCCAGGTACCCTGCGACGCCTACCGGGTACTTCTTGCTTGACTCCGGTTCCTGGCAAGCTGGATCCCGGGGCCAACCGCCCACGTCAATCTGTTCGATATCAAACTGCCCCTGGCGGCCCCTGCTCTATCCACCCACCACCAAAGATAGAAGGGTTGCAGGATCGCTGACGATACATAGGTTCAAAGTACAGAGGACTTGATAAACCCCCATTTGCATTCTCAGAAGCCTTGTTTTTAGCTCAAACAATCCTCAATTGCTGCGCCACAATGCCTCACCAGCCTTCTGGGGCCTCTCCAACCGCCAGCGACTTGCCTCCAACCCTCAAACCAATCGTCCATCTGCCACCAGACAACAAGCCGACGAACGTGATCATCTTCCTTCCGGGCTTAGGTGACACAGCAGCCAACTTCTCGTCCCTCCCTCGCGCGCTGAACCTCCCCGACGCTTTGACCATCACTCTCAACCCACCTTTTCCGCTACCTTTCCCTCTTGGGCCGGGGGATCAGTGGTCCGAGGACCTTCACGTCGACACCGCCACGGGTGGACTTGACTTGGACTCTCCTCTAACCAAGTCAGTGGACCTCGTTGCTCAGGATGTGATATTGAAGGTCCTGATTGAAAAGTTCAAGTACCGACCTGACCACATCCACCTCTTTGGCTTCGGACAGGGCGGTTCAGTCGCTCTGACAGTCCCCTTACACCCATTGATAATATCATCCCAACCCGCTTTGGGAGGCGTCATATCAGTTGGGGGAGCTTTGTCGCTATCTGCACCTCTCGCGGGCACGAAGTCTCGGAACAAAACACCGGTCCTGATCCTATCAGGCTCAAAATCACCGCATGCAGCAGTGGGCTCCAGCCCACTAAGCCGCATCAAGTCAGCCTACGAATTCGTCACGTATCATCAATGGAAGAAAGCAGATGACTCCATGCCCAAGGACCGCGGCGAGGTTCTCCCGATGATGCAGTTCTGGGCACGAAGGTTGAGAAGCAGACGTGGCGTTCCAGACGATGCGATCGAGATAACTTGACTCGTGGGTCAACGAACTCTTGATTACATATTTTCAAACTTGATGGAATTCACATATTACCAGTCGGAATCTGGTCGATCATTTCTGAAGTCGATCTAATTCCTCTTTGGCTTTCGTCACAGCATCCTCGGCCTGGCGTCGACTCTGCAGTTCGACCTCATCCTCCACAACTTGACTAGCATTGTCAACCAGCTCCTCCATCCTGCCCACAATCCTCTGGATAACAGCCCTGCCTTCGTCGTATAGGCCGTGTTCCAATGCCTTCGTAGCCTTGAACCAGTCTCCCTGCATGCGCCACAGGGCGTAGGCTGCACCTACAGCTGCTATTGTGCCAGCTTCGTACATGCTGCCTGGTGTGATGGACAGGTATGTCAAGGCCGAGAGACCGGCGGACAGACCTGTAATTGAAAGGGTCTTGAGAACAATTTGCTGGGCTGTGCTGGTGAGATCTGCGATCGCACGCTCCATCTGCGCGGTGCGAGTACTGGATATGGAAGAAGATAAAGGTATGGCCTGAGGGACAGGGGCCATTTTGACCTCGGCGGTCCCCGTGGGGTTGACCAAGACTGCGCGCATAGGAGGCTCGGTAGCAATGCTAGCTTGTGCCTGTAGAAGTGGCGTGGGTTCTGTAAGATGGTCTGTTTTTGTCTCCGACATCGTGAGTTGTCCCTCCTGTGGCAGTGAAGGCAAAGCATCCGTTGGCGAGATGCCCGCCTGTGACAGCCGACCGGATAGTTCATAGACCGCTCGCTCAGTACGCGGAAGCCAGGCGTTTGTGATAAGATCCGTAATGATCAAACCAACATCATCCACACGCCAGAAAAGCTTGTACCAGGCCAACTTGCGCCAGTTATGGGAGCTCCAAGCTGATGCGAGTCCGGATTGGAGCTCCTGGTGGGCATTGCGAGAGAACCCTTCAATGGCGTCTGTCAGATTCGCTCGTGTGGCGGGGCTCAAACTTCGAGCTGCATTCGATCGAGCTTCTAATGAAGCTTGAACTTGCAGGTTGGTCATTGCAGTTGTCAGTAAAGAGGAAATCAGGGCCTTCACGGGTGCCGGAATGGGTCCTTCGGATCTTGCAGCTGAGGTCAATGTGAACCAGCTCGACAACGTCGGCATGCCTGAGTCGACCCATTTGTGTTCGTACTCGGTTGCTTCTCCTATAGATCTTCGGATTGCCGCCAGACCCTCTTCTGCCTGCGCGACATCCACGACCAAGACCTGTCCCGGTGCCTTCTCCTGGATGCCTTTCAAGTCGAGTACCAAGCTCACAGATTCCCGATCTTCCCGGGCTGTAAAATTGGTAGACGCCAACAACTCTGCAGCCAGCATGAGTCCATCCAGTCCCTTGGTGACCAGCAGACAGCTATGCACTGGCTGGCTGATGGTTGTCTGTCTTCCAGTCGCGGCGGTCGGGGTCCCAATCGAAGGTGACAGCAATGCATCTGAGGTCACTGTGTGTGCGCCTTGTAAAAGCTCACCGTTTCGGGGCCCACTGACACTCGATACCAGTATTTCCATATTGTTCCTCTCGAGTACGTCTGATGGCACGTACAGTACTGGAATGCTTGTCTTCGGTTGAGGGAGGTTTGGATTCGGCGACTGTCCATAACGTATCAAGACGCCTCGATTGAAGTCCCCGCTGCCAGCACTTTTGAGCAATTCCCTCTCCCATCTCCCTTCGTCTTCCAGCGCATCCGCAAGTAATAACCTGACCACCCTGCTTGCGGTGTCTTGTACATTCAATCCCAAAATAGCCACTCTGGTCACTGGGGTTTCGGACTCGAGCCCTTGGAGGGCAAGGTGTAGTCGGCTGAGATTCACCTGCGCCGAAGCCTTTCTCTGGACATTGAGAAGGGAATCGTAAAGGGGTTTGTACCGCGGAGGGACGATCTTTTGCGCGTTTATGGCGGTGGTGGAGGTCAGGGTTGGAGCGGAGGTTGAGGCATACCGACGGCTGCTATTTCTGCAGCCGCTGCTGGAGCCGGAGGAAGCTGTCCATCGCAGAGGTTTGGTCCTTCGCCATGTTGTACATGAAGGGCAGAAGAAGAAGTTGTCGAGAAAGGCCTCGATTCGGTAGCCGGAGGAGGCCCCGGGGCTTCTTCTCATGATGTGCTCAATTCTTAAGCAGCGTGTGTCCCTGTGAAGTCGTCATGATGCCAGTTGAATTGAATTGCGAGAAACTTTGCTGGCGTGTAGATGTGTCTGTATTCCGCTGCCGCAGAGCCCGAAGTTTTGCCGCAGATGCAAAAGGCGGCGAGGCGGTCGCCGTAATCGTGGGAGAGCCAGGCCAAAGCGGTTTGCCTTCTCCACATGTTCATCATCGTTATTCGGTTCGGCTTCAAAGCCTGGCCTTGAAATATTTGGCTCTGACTTAACGACATTATATGTCTTAGCACTGCGATCAGGGGCCAAAAAAAGAGTCCCAGGAGAAGAAGCAAAGTAACATCTTATACCGAGTACGCGCCATAGTTTGAATTTTGCATCGCTCAGCCCATGAGAGACGCCTGACTTTATGGAAGTAAATCTATTATTCATCATGGTGGGATTTGAAATCTACACATCACTGTATCGGGCGCTTCTACATTAGCTCTCTACAGCAGGAACTAGCAAGCAACGCCCTCCAATGATTCAACAACATTGGTTTGGAACCATGCTTGGATCTCAACCCCCGAGTCATCTTCCCACGGCGACTTGACCGTGAGACAGAGTAGAACCACTTTCGCATACTCCTCGCCCGCGGCAGCGGCCAGCCTTGTCCGGGTATGCTCGAGAATTCTTTGACGGACTAGTTCCGGATTTTCTCGCCAATTCTTGAAGCGATGAGATTGGAGAGAGAACACGGATTCCCATAAGCCGATTTCAAGCAATATCACCCCGAGCGCATAGAAATCGTGTTGAGGCATGAAATATTTGGCCGGCTTGCCCCACCGCTCCGGATGGCGGTAGACATTTCTCGCGATGCTGGAGTCTGCGTACCGCAATGAACCGACGCCAGGTTGAGAAGGACGAGAGTATTCGAAGCCGCAGATTCGTAAGTTACTGAACCCATCGTCCGGAAATGGAGCGTATTCCGGCCACGACTGACGAAAGAAAACGACGTTCGCGCTTCGAAGGCTTTTGTGAATCCAGCCAACTGTATGGAAATTTGCAACTGCACCTACCAACCGCCGCGCAAGCCAGACCCGTTGCGTGAGAGATGGTTTGAGGAATTGATGTTTCTGCACAATTTGCTCGAGATTCTCCATCTGGAGAAAGCTAGGATTTCCAGGTATCTCGTAGAAGAAGGCGAAGCGGTTCAAGGCCGGTTGATGTAGCAGACCGGTTGATTGGAGAGCCAGAAATTCAGCCGGTTTCGGGCTCTGCATAAGAGCTGCCAACTGTCCAACCTGCTCGTGAACAAGAGGCGGAACGCTGCCTATGGCGGTAGCGGATATATCCACGGTATATTCGTGGTACTCGACCAGCATCAACTGGCCTTGAACCGACAGCTTCTGCAAGGATGATGTAAGCTCCTCCGCCGCCTCCTCCGCGGGTGCCTCCTGTTCTCCTATATCCAAATCACGCATGTCCAGATCCAGTTTGATGATTCTGACATCGGGCGGCACGGCTTCATACGCTGTAATGCGACGAAGGCGAGCATCCTGGGCTAGACCAAGTGCTGCCGCAGGTCGACTTTTCTCCAACGCAGTAAGTCGGCGATCATTGGTTTCAACAATCAAGAGGTAATCTCTGACGAGTTGAAAAGCCATGCTGATCCAGCTCCCATATTCTTCAACCATCTTCTTCATCTTTTTGCGATCTTTGATTGCCCACTTTGCCAACGTCGCTGTTCTTGCCTTGCGTTGCATAATCTCTTCCGGGGATTCGTTCAGATGATCGAGTGACTTCATTCCCACCTTTGCTTCCATGCCTGTCCTTTGGTACCCTTCGAGACTCGGGTACCGCGCGGTTTCCACACGATCACATTGGCGCAGACAGTCAACAATGGCTAGTTGGACATACTCAGGGATTTCATCAAAAAGCTGTGATCCAGTGCTGGCAATCTCTTGCCCCGGTGCTGTATCTCCAAAAGGGTCGAAAAGCAGACCCTGCAAGGCTGTTGCTCGAGCTCTGTGCGCTCCTAGTGCATCTTGAAGCTTGATCGCCTCGTCACCAAAGTTTTTGGCTGCGTCGATTGCTTTCTTGGCCGCTAATGCGATCTCAAACAGCTGCTGGAATGCCCCAGCGCACGCTACCGCAAGACCTACTGGCTCCATCGCGTCTACCTCTACTTGGTATGTGATCTGCGTATTTGGTGACTGCAATTCCAGGCGCAAAACCAGGCGGCTTTATCCACCCAGTACTGTACCAAGAACAAGTAACAAGTACAAAGATTCCGGTCTCGTCGTTCAAAGCAGTTACCACGCCGGAGAACTCAGAAGTCGAACCACCATCAGCTGATTGACTAGCTCCATGGCCATCTATTCGCTGCAAGCGCGCGTCGCTATTCAGTCGTGTCTCGGCAACACCGAGTAAACGATCATTCGATTTTATATGACTGCGTCCCAAGGGAAATCCATAATGGCTCGGGTTCAGGTTTGCAGCTTTACGGCAATAATTTGTCCCTCCCAAATTCCTCCACCAACGCCTACATGGCCGTACCGGATCTTGGATCGTGGATACCAAATGTTCACCGTGTGCAAAATGTCTCTGAAAGTTTTTCAACGCAGTCCCCAAGATCTTCCCTCTTCGACACGACAAATATTTATGTCGAAGGGCTCCTCACCACTAACGAGCTCCTTAAGCAAGCCAAAGTGCCTTTCTGGGATAGTCAATCTTTGAAGCAACTGCTCTCCGGAGGTATTGGGGCAGGGTCCCAAGCCACAGTGGCTTCGGGTTGGAACTCGAGAGATGTACTGGCACCATCACCTAGTCAGTCTCCGGACGTTGTGATCAAAAGAGTCCGACGGAGCGGGGAGGCAGACACCGAGTATCAGCAAGACTTGGAAGCTGTGTTGAGAGAACTGCATGTCCTTTGTCACAATCCTCTCAGAAATCACCGCAACATCATCCAGCTCACCGGGTACGGTTGGGAAGATGCAATCACTTCCCCCATACTGATACAGGAAAGAGCGGAATACGGAACTCTTCCTCAATACCTCTCCAGATTTTTTCCGTTTGCAGTGGACGCGTACACCCTCGACAGCTATTGGATGAGCGCATTGGCAATCTGCAGGGACATCGCTACCGGTCTACAAGCGCTACATGCGAGCGACATAGTCCACGGGGTAAGGCCATCCACTCCTATACAATTCCTTCAAATTAATACTCTACTAAGCCAGTGGTAGGACGTCAAACCAGAGAATATTCTCGTTTGCCTCTCCGAGGAGAAGAGGAAAAATCTATTAGACAAGACCTTCTTCGACTTGGGCGCCGTAAAATTCGAAGGTAATGTCGATGAGTTAGTGACCGCAAAGTTATCCGATTTTGGTCTCTCCCTTTTCGATCTTGAGAATGGTGTTGGGCAGTATCAAGGCACAAAGCTGTGGAACGCCCCAGAGGTTCGACGACAAACACCGTGGCTGTCGATGGAGGACCTGAAGAAATGCGATATCTTCTCTTATGGTTTAGTTGTCTGGGCATCGGTCAACAAAGGGAGATACTTCCAACCAGCGTGGATGAACAATCAACCTACCGATGATGAAGCCAAACTACAATTCATCGACGCAGCTGAAGACGATTTCTTGCTCCAGGAGGGGCTCAAGGTTATTGAACGCTTCTCTGACGAGCCAAAACCTTTCTTCCGGAAACTGTTGAGACAAACTCTCCAGAGCAAGTCGCACTTGAGAGGTTCAATTGAAAACATAATCGATATCATGGATGAGCACATAAGGTGAGTCCTCAAAATAGCGACAGACTACAGAAGATCAACGAATTCTTAGCCCGGCGATCCAACGTTTGACAGATTCTAAATCTTTACGGAGATCGACAAGCTCATTTGAAACGGTAGTTCGGCCTTCTCCAAGCCTAAAAATTGAGCTGACAATTCCAGAACCGAGACTTCAACATGCCCTGGCATATTCAGTCACGAATTTTCCATGAAATAAAGCGCGATACCGAGAAACCTCTTCCAATGGTTCAGGCTAAGAGCAGATTACTGGATCTCGCACGATGCTATGCAGACGGCTTCGGAGTCGATCGTTGTCCCTCCCAAATGCTGAACTGTTTTAATGCCGCTGCAGTCCGGGGCGACAGATTTGCCACTTTGATGCTGATTCGACTGCAAGAGTCTTGGAATGATTCCGATGGCGAACTTCTCCGGTCAAGGGCCAAACCGTTCCTGGCCACGAATGAGGCCGAACCCAAAACCGAGAGCGTGCAGGGAGAAGGGCAGGGTTTGCAAGAATACGGCGAGTGGGAAGGAATTGTGAAAGCGGCAGAAACTCTCCGTACCCTACCTGAAGAGATCTACCTTTGCACCTTCCTCCAGGAAATGCCTAAGATCACTCGGCCACAGTCGGTTGGGCGGTATCTCTCCACCCAAGCGGAGGAGAACCGAGAAAGTTGGTGGGAAATGACAACCCTCTTAACGGCCAACCTGGAGAAACTGAAGGGTATAGAAGTTGCACACAAACAAGAAGCAGAGACACAAAACATGCTTGGAGAGACACCACTTGTGGCAGCCTGCGCTAACGGGTGGACACCTGTGGTGAAGATGCTCTTGTATCTCGGCGTCGACGCAAGTGTAACGGACAACCGTGGCGTAAATGGTCTTCATTATCTGTGGAATGTCTCTGACCACAATAAACCCGAGGTTGCTGGGTTGCTCCTCCATAGAGGTGCCGAGCTGACCCAGGTTGGTGCCGCCTGGGTGGGAGATCTCTATCTACAAGGAACGCCGCTCCATTGGGCCATCCAAGTGCGATCCCTGTCGACGATTCAACTCCTCCTCAACGCAGGCGCCGACGTTGACGATGGCCACTGGAAGTTGAACCCTCTCGAAATGGCAACACGTTGCTACTTTCCAGAAGTGATTGAGCTCTTGCTCTCTCATAAACGAGAGGCCTCAGATGCTCGGTCTCAGCATCGGTCTCTCAGCCAGAGCATGAAAGACATCTTTACGAGGCACAAATCAGATCGAATTGGGAGACCTGGGATTAGCAACCATGGATCCGAGGCCTCCAACCGATTGCAAAGCTTAAGCAACGCCGCCTTCGCTGTTCTTGAACGGCCCAGCTACTTCAAAACTCGCTACATGCACGGCAGACGGTATGAAGATGATGTCGCAGGCACCCTTAACCTATTTGCCCGCAGAGGCGTGGATGCCAACGAAATCACCAAGGATGGCATCGGGATGCTGCCGCTGGCGACCCACCCCGAAGTCGACGACGTGCTTTTTGGCATTATCATTAGGCACGGCCTCAACATGCATGCTGTTGGTAAGGACGGGCAGACAGTGGTAGATTGGCTGGTTCATGCAGCAGGAATTGCCAGCCAAAACCACAGCGGCACTGAACAACTCGCAGTTAGAAAACTCAAAACATTGGCACAGAGTGGATATTTGTTTCCAGAGCGTACAAGACAGGGGAATTCGTTACTTCATACATGCGCGTCGGAGAATCTTCCCCTTTTCACCGAAGAATTGATCATGAATGGGTTCGATATTGAAGCCCGCAATAGCACCGATTCCGGCTATTATCCACACGGGAGACAACAAAAGTTCGACTTCAGCCATGGTTACGCCACGCCGCTTTTGAGCGCCGCTAACAACGGTTCGCTGGAGACGCTGAAAGTCCTGTTGCAGCATCACGCGAAGACTGAGGTGGTTCTCGAAACCAGGCCTTCGTACCTACAGTTCACACCTATCATGTGCGCAACCGCAAGCGGCTTTCCCGACGTCGTGGATGAGCTGTTACGACAACCCTCGGGGACAATCTGCCTGCCAGAAATTGACGGCGAGATTGGCACATTGCTCAATCTTCCTCACCACTGCATGCTTGGGCCGTTTAAGCGGAGGCAGAACATGGTTCGCCACCTCTTGTGGACCTGTAAGCATGCGATCAGGAAGGAGGATGCCCTGCATCGAACGTTGGCCGGGTTAAACCCACTGCACCAAGCTATACTTGCCGGTGACAATGTGAGTGTCAGACTGCTGCTGGACGAGGGGGCGGACCCCGAGAAGCCGGCCAACATGAGACCTGACAACCCAATGAGGAGACCATTAGAGCGTGGTAGCTTTATTGTCCAGGACAACGAGGGGGTTATTCGTGATATTCCGGTCAGTATGATGTTAGAACAACATGGATACCACGAACCGCCACCCAGGACTGTTCCACCACCTGGATCGATATCGTCTCTCCATCTAGCCATCATCACAAGGTATTCTGTTTCACAGCAGCCATTCAGCAAGGCCGTGATGGAAGCATTGGAAGATTTCCAATCAAACTTTTCAGGAAAAATCATCTCATTCACATCCCCCGATATTGTCGATGGTGCCTCTCAGTTGCCAATGCTCAAAGCCAATAATGCCATTGTGAAGATGCTGCTCGAGCATGGCATGAAGCCGACATTGGAGGACATCGCAGAGATGTGCAGAGAAAAGGATCGAGCTATGTTGCGTCTCCTCATGCCGACGGACGATATACGAACGAGATTTTTGTCAGAAAAGGACAGCACAGGTCGCTCTTTGCTTGATATCGCAGTGGAATCAGGAGACAAGAGGATTGTTGACTTCTTAAATGGCGAAGACGACGAATTCCTTCTTGATGAGATTTGAATGGTAGGGTTCGTTGCAGCAGCTATTGTTCGGTGGTATGTACTATATTCCATCGCTTTGGAAAGGAGGATTCTTGTCGCAAGGAAATGCCTCTCAGTACGGTCGAGTGGGTGGGTACTAATTGACAATCTAAAACAAAATGACTGAAGAAAAAACTCGTCCGTAGCATTCTTTTTCATTGATAGATCTTGGATCTTTAGTTTCCGAGTCTCTCAAAAAGCTGACATGTTGTACCTAAACTCAACTCGAAAAGGGAATAGCGCATCGCGAATTGGCGCCAAATTGCCCGGTATTGCAGGTATCGACCCCTTCATACCTACGAGGGACCCTATACAAGTAGGTCTTCTTGGTCCTCATGGCAGGTGCAAGGCGCTGTCTTGCTCGTGTCCTCTTTCGCGAGACGTTAAACATATGATGCTAACCGACCTGTGTTCACCAAAGGAGCTATCATGGCTTCTACGACCACCATAAACACCTGGATGGAAGAGCTCGTGCTCTCTTTCCTTCCGCCCTCCACACCAACCGACTTGCGGAAACTCAAAGATAATTTCATCCGCACAGTCAAGCATCACAACTATGGCCGGACCAACCAGTTTGCTGTCGCCGAAAGGCTCACCGGACTGGAAGAGAAGTTCCAGGTTTACAATCTCGGCGACGTGGCTGCAGAACTTTTCTCGCGACGTGCGGAGCTGAAGAGAGACCACGACGACAAAAAGTGGTTGCCCGATATTCTAGATTTCTTACTGCATCTTTCTCACGACCCTGTGCACTTCAGCCGGATTGAGAATCTTGAGAAGTTGCATCCTCGTACAGAGACCCCTCTGCCATTGAAATGGGAGGAGGTTGAAGGGGATGATCCTATCGATCGCCAAGATGAGATATGGCGGCTTCCAAAGTATTCTGATTCCAGCTCTGAGGAGGACGATGCTGTCCCTTCGAGTACATCAACTTCACCAGCCACTGTGAAGCATGATCTCGAGAAGGAGATAGACGTCGAAAGGGTGTTTGAGGCACCTGCCGCGCAAGAGTCGACAAAGTTGGACGCAGCGCAATTCTGGAATCGGCCGGGGCCTTTTGTGACCGTCACAGAAACTCAAGCTGTAAGGGAGGTACTGTTTATGCTCACAGGCTTGCCGACATCCATCTTCATCTCCACAAATGACGGCATCCGACCCAATGCACGATACTGTCTGGGTCATCTCGGGAGCACCACGTCCAGGTCCTTACTGGAGGAGGTAGCACAGCTTGGCTCAGATATTGACTTCGTACGTCAATGGTTGCGGACTCCTCAGGATTCGGCCGTCATGCAATTCATTCAAAGCGCGATCAGCAGTATCTTGACAAGTTTTGAATCGACCATATCTAAGGAGCACACTGCCATCCTACACCAATCTTCGCCGACGGGTGTGATTAGCCTCCTTCAAACGTTACAAAGGGTCGACAGAGCAAGCCGTCCTTTGAAAGCCGTCACCATCATCGCGTCTCAATTCATTCAGAGTGACCACATCGCCGCCCTGAACACCATCTACAGCCATCTGGACACCGCGCATTCTTGCTCTAACTCTGTCGAAGTGGAGACATTCCTTCCCATTTTCCTGTCTTCCCTCGCGCTATATTCGAAACCTATCGATGTATGGTTGCTCACCGGCAGAATCGAGCCCACGGAACCGTTCTTTGTCTTTGAGAACGACAGGAAGACGCGGGTGGCAAGCACCTTGTGGCATGATTGGTTCACCCTGACGCCGGCAACAGACAACACGATCCCAATATTTCTGAAGAAGTTTTGTGAACGCATACTCACAATCGGCAAGACTGCTGCCTTCTTGCACCATCTCGGACGAGCCACCTCAAACAGCTGTAACCATGATCTGGGACTCGCCGCTGCGGCAGCGGAAACAGCCCATCTGATAGCGAGCTCGCCACTGCCCTTTTCCGCGACTTTCGAAATGGTCCTTGATCGACATCTTACAGCTCTGCTCGACATTTCCACGAGTGCTCTCAGGCACGTTCTGGAAACAAGCTGCGGTCTGACAAGGTTCCTCGACGCGCTTGACTACCTCTATCTTGCCAAAGACGGTGTCCTCCTCGATGGCATTGAAAGCAAGATGTTCGATCAAATAGATCGCTGTGTAGAGATGTGGAACGACCGCTTTCTTCTCTCTGACCTTCTATCTGAAGCATTTCAGAACACTGAATGCGTGGATGTCGACGCAATCACAGTTCACGCAGCGTATACCTCCTCGCGAAGCATGGAAAATCGACGTCGCTCTGTCAGGATCCTGGGCGCCGTGTCAATCTCGTACCATCTCAGCTGGCCAATTGCAAATATCATCCTCCCTGCTTCTATAATTTCCTACCAACGCGTTGCTCTGATACTAAATCAAATCCGCCGCGCCAGGGCCCTGCTCGAAAGCCGAGCGTATTTCTACGTTCAGCACGTGCCCTTACCCTTTGACCACCCCAACGACCACAGACTCGCCCGATTGATATTCTGGCAGCTGTCTCATTTTGCAAACATTCTTTATAGCCATCTCACGGGCTGCACCGTCCAAGCTTTCACAACAACCATGCGCGAACGACTACATTCGTCCTCTACCAGGAGTGTCGACGACATGATAGCTATCCACACCCAGTACATCACCGGGATGGAGCATGCGTGCCTCAGCAGCAAACGAATCAAACCTCTGCGCGACGCACTGATCGCAATTCTCGACCTGTGCATTCGATTCACAGATCTTGTGACCTCGCCTTCCACCGTCCCCGAAGTGCGCCCGGGTTCGGGAGACGCGGACGGAGGAGACTTTGAAGCCAGCAGTTTCATTTCGGCGCGCAGCCAGCGAAGGCACCGACGAGGAGGAGGAGGGGGGGGGAGGGGGAGACAACAACAAGATGACGTGTATTCCTCGTCAGAGGACGACGACGAGGCCGGAATGGGAGAGGGGGAGGGATATTCCACGTTCGTCCTCGAGGAAGACGCCTCGCTCACGCAGGAGATGATCAAAGTGCGGGACACGTTCAGGAGGCACGTCCAGTTCTTGGTTGCGGGCTTGAGAGCCGTGGCGAGGAGTTCTCGTTCGAATTCGCCTCAGGGACAAGGGCAAGGGCAAGGGCAAGAACTGCAGGTCTGGGAAGTAGGCGAGAATTTTGAATTGTTGGCCGATTCGCTTGAGGGAGTCTTCCCTGCGAGCAGGAGGGTTCTTACTTGATCCCATCTGGGTCGGATCCGAGCCCACTGGCCAAAGACAGAGAAGTGCGCTATAGAGGGGTATTTTTTGTTTTGAATCGACGCTTCTATCCCAACATCGCTTCTCTTCCTCCCATTTTCTTCGTTTTCGTCCTATTCTTACAGTGATTCGTGGTCATGCGTCGTCGTAGGATGACTGAATGCCGGATTCAGTCATTACGACTGTGAGAGGAACTGGAAAGGCATTAGGACGTTCTCCGCCACTTCGTCTCTTCTGTTTCTCCATCGTCCGCTGCATCCTCCTTACCTTGCTCTGTATCTTGCCGTGGCCGAACAGTGCCAGCGCCAGGACCCAGAGGCTCGTCTGTGGCAGCGCCTTCGCCGTCGTCACGCCATTCCTCTTCTTGCTCGTCCTGGTCGCCGCCGCCAATCCAGATTCCCTCCTCGTCGAAATACTCGTGCATGTTCTCCGCCGTGATCCATCCGCCACTGCCCGGCATCACAGGCGGCAAACCGCCATCCGCACTGCCTGGGAAAGCTAGCCCCGCGCGAAACAGACGACTTCCACCACCCGCTCCGTTTTCTTCCTCTTCGCCCGCGTCCTCTGGGTCAGGATGCAAATTGGAGCAAGTGGAGAGGGCGTTGAACATGGCTACCACGGGCGTCTGTTCGGGTTTGTCTTCTCCTTCAAGGCCGTCTTCGGTGGTCCCCGAGGCGGTTGAGGCGACTTGGGGAGGAGCTGAAGCAGTCGGGATCACCGTGACGGATACAGAGTCGGGTTCGGAATCTTCGTCTTGCGCGATGCTCTCTGGGGAGGGGAATGAAATTATCTGCATGTATAGACCTTGTTGTTCACCGGGCGAGGGTTGTGGAAGGGATTGGATTGCGTGGAGGGAGATGGAGGGGTACGGGATTGAGAGGCCTGCGTTTGCATCATTTGAGTAGAAGAAGACCTTGCTGTTTACCGGTCAGTTTTCTTTCGTGCGGGACATCGTGGGTAGCAGGACTCACTCTGAAGTCACCCATACGTCCACATTGTCGACGACTCTTTGCTTCCCTCTCGCTTCGCTATCTCCGTTGGCCTCAGTGCCATTAGCATGAGGCTGCTGGGGTTGTCCTTGAGAGCTGGAATGCTCCAGTAACGGCGCGAATGCTGGAATAGAGCCGGCTTCCTGTTCCAGGACAATGAGTTTGCTGCGGTCGCTGTAGTAGTGGAGGACTGGTGGTCCGGTGTAGAACGAGGCGGGCGTAGCAGACTGATGCTCTATGAGAGGGACGAAGGATGAGGTCTTGGGAGGCTCGCGGAGGATTTCCATGGTGCGTTGTTGAGCCGGGAAATGTATGCTGATGTTTTTGGTTCTATTCTGCCCAGTATGCCGTCGGGATGAAGGAACGACGGAAATTTTCTGCTCGAGGTGGCAGTCGGCGGGGATGTTTTTTTTCCCCCTGCGGTGCCTGAATTAATACTTAGTAGATAGAATGCATTGTGCCTGCGGAAGAGCCACGAAGCGCCACTGGGCTGGGCGACTGGCTTGGACTGGGGTAAATGGAAGCCTCGCCTAGATGTGGGTCCCTGGCCGCGCAAACGAACACGCAAGATTCGATCCATCATCACGTTGGCTTCTTTTTTCCTTTCTACTAGTTACCTGTACCGTGTACATGTCTGCAATCTCCTGGCTCGGCTGTATCATGGCTGATGGCTAACAGCCGCCCTCCAATATGGCCATCGCAAAGCCCGTGCGGTTCCTAGGGGCACTGTCCGTGGTTCTGGTCTTCTTCCTCATTTATCAGTATCTGCAGCCGGTCCCAACAATTGACACCCCAGGCACCGTGGTCGGCAATGGCGACAAGATTGAGAACTGGGAGCAGGACCCTCTTCTAGAGCGTATGTACGTCCCCTCTCAGAATCTGCGCGACACCGCTGACATCCATCTTAGCAATCGGCGAGCCGCCTGAACCATTATGGCGACACACGGACCACGACTATGCCCCCGAAAGCCCCAACTCGGCGCGCATCAATGCTACCCTCCTCTCTCTCGTCCGTAATGAAGAACTCAATGAACTTCTTCCGACCATGAGACAGCTCGAAGAGACGTGGAACTCCAAATTCAACTATCCGTGGACCTTCTTCAACGATGTCCCGTTTACCGAAGAATTCAAACAAGCCACCCAGGCTGTCACAAAGGCCAAGTGTGCCTACCATGTAATTCCGAAAGAGCATTGGGATATGCCTTCCTGGGTCAGCCAGGAACTTTACGAGGAGTCTGCGAAGATTCTGAAGGAGAACGATGTCCAGTACGCGGGGATGATATCATATCACAAAATGTGTCGATGGAACAGCGGCATGTTCTATCGCCATCCGGCGCTCGAAACCGTCCAATACTACTGGCGCGTCGAGCCAAAAGTCAAGTTTTTCTGTCACGTCGACTACGACGTGTTCCGCTACATGCACGACCACAATAAGACGTACGGCTTCAACATCAATCTGTTTGACTCGCCGGAATCCATCCCTTCTCTATGGCCGGAGACGATCAAATTCCTCGCTGCCCATCCAGAATATCTCCACAAGAACAACGCCATGGCATGGCTGGTGGACAACACCCGCAGACCGGAAAACAACATCAAGGCACATGGGTACAGCACCTGTCACTTCTGGTCCAATTTCGAAATCGCCGACTTGTCGTTTTGGAGGAGCCAGATCTACGAGGACTATTTCACTCACCTGGATCGGAGCGGGGGGTTCTTTTATGAGAGATGGGGCGATGCCCCTGTCCACAGCATTGCATTGGGGCTTTTTGAGGACGCCAGCAAGATTCACTGGTAAGACGAGCCCGGTTTCCACCGAGACTCGAAATGGAGACTGACTGGCAGCAGGTTCAAGGATATCGGATACAACCATATCCCATTCTATAACTGTCCCAACTCACCTAAATGTAGTGGGTGCACGCCCGGGCAGTTTTACGCCGGCGAATCTTGGTTGCAGCGAGAAGACTGTCGACCGTTATGGTTCAAGTATGTTGGAATGGGCTGAGCAGGAAAGGTCCGGGTCACTTTGGATCACACAACCAGAAGATAACCGGCGCTTTCACCACGCTTTTGTATATGAACACCATCCCTGCATATGTCGCCGAGGCCTTCCTCGTGCTTTTGCACTACATACATACATACCTAGGTAGTGAATGGGTCCGGTGGCCTGCGAGATGCACTCTAGGAAGAACGTATTAGCTGGTCTAGATTCCCCGACCTTGCGCGCATGCACGCCGAGATCCTTCGTCCGGGATGTCGTCGATGTATCGAAACTTCCACATCGGAGCCGAACGGAGGTTGGAGAGCCCCCGTACCGGCAGTGGTGCGGTTGGTGTTCTGACTGGGTTTTCAACTGGCGGAGACAAGCATTGCGGCAGGCGCAGATAAGAAGCGTGGCGTTGAAGCTTGGAGGGCTCTTTGGGGGGGGGGCTGGTGAGCCTCACTAGCCTCTAACCTGCACAAGTTACGGGAGTAGCACGGGGGTTAGGACGGGCAAGACGGGGCAGGCTAACAGCCCCCCAATAGAGTGGACGGCCGAGTACGGGCAGACTCCGTGGGGAAGGGGCTCTCCCTTTTGGCCTCCCCAATCCCAACCACCTACCATCGGCCTAGTGAGCCCTTCTGGTCCGTCCCCCCGTGGTGCCGTTCACGGAGCAAGAATCAAAAATACGGGGTATGATATCAAGGCCTCAAGAGTTCCATCTTCTCCAATCCCTTGGCTGCGGTGGCTGTTTCTGCCGACGGAAGTACCGCTAGGCCGTCAATCTGCACTGATCACCGCTCAATGTCCGGTTCGGCAGTCACATCTATGGCCTTCGAGAACCTGTCCATAACCACTTCTATCCCTGTCTGTCACCAACTGATGGCCCTTTCAGAATGGTCCAAACGGCGTACACGGTGTCCTAGCCCGGCTTCTATCCAATAACTCGACGGAGGCGACTTCTTTTTGCGGGGGCTATCAGGTGCCACGAGCGAGAGCGAGCGAGCGAGCTCGTGGTTACTCAACCGTTGATCACTGCCGTAATGCACCAAGGGATCAAAGAGGGACCCAGTTCGCCTGGTAGATCGACTACCACGCGCCTGGGTCAAAGGTCGGCTCGATGCATCCCAATAAAAAGGTAGGGGTTCCCCAGATGTGAGCTGCTGGATGTTACCTCCCAGCTCCCCTTCTTTTTCGGATCCCCCAGCTGGGTTGCCAACCGCTCTGCAAAATCCTCCCTGGGACGCTCTCAGAGCCTTTGAAGCATGGATACCAAAGAGATCACCGAGAAGCCTATCACAGGCGTGACCCCTCCGGATGCTGTGCATTCGGCCTCCTCCAAGTCGTCGAGCAGTGATGAAAAGCCCACTGTCACTACGGCCGAAGAGGTTCCCTCTGAGAAACACAACGCTATCAGTGCCCATTACGACCCTCCTATCGCCCCTCGATATACCAAGGAAGAGGAAGATGCTGTCATCCGCAAGCTCGACTGGCATCTCATGCCTCTCATTTTTGTCCTGTATTCCCTGTCCGTCCTCGACCGCTCCAATCTGGGCAATGCCAGGATTTCCGGTATGGAGAAGGACATCGATCTCAGTGGCAAGCGCTACGATTGGCTAGGTAAATGGGATCTGTGCCCCGTATAAACTGTCTTCTAATCAACGAGAATACTATAGGTACCGCCTTCTATATCAGTTGTATGTATTCCCATGTTCGCGAGACTGGAAGGCCAAAACAACCACCCCCCTGAGAGTCCTTCCCACTGCTCAAGACCTCTAACTAATCTGTTTTTACGCAGATATCCTCTCGCAATGGACGCAAATGGGTTGGAAGGCCTTTCCCCCTCACGCCTGGGTCGCCTTCGTAGTCTTCGGTTGGGGGGTGGTTTCCACCTTGCAAGCAGCATGTAAATCTTGGGCTGGCGTGATGGTCTGCCGAGTTATTCTTGCCATTTTTGAAGCTGCTTATGGTCCCGGTGTCCCCTTGTACCTCTCATTCTTCTACCCTCGCGAAAAACTCGGTCTACGAACCGGCTTCTTTTTGAGCGGCTCCGCCGCCGCCAACGCCTATGGAAGTGCTCTCGCATACGGCATTGCACAAGCAAAGTCCTCAATTGGGCCATGGAGAATCCTCTTCATAGTCGAAGGCGCTCCTACGTGTCTTTTGGCCATCGTGGCGTGGTTCTGGCTGCCAGATTCGCCTCACCATTGCAAGTTCTTGTCAGAGCGAGAAAAGGAGATCGCAGTGGATCTATCCTTAAGACAGCCCGGAGACCGGACTGGAAAGAAGGGGCTGCAATGGAAACAGGTTTTAGGAGGGTTGATGGATTATCGATGTGAGTATTTGTTCCTCTTCGCGCGGCTGTCCCGTAGCCCCTGAGTGACTTTGATACCACTACACCCGCCCGCGCCGTTATCTTTAAGGACAATTCAATCGAATGCACCTACCTGTCTACTTTTTGCCTGGGGGCCATTCAATTGAACTAAAACGCAACTATCTTTTTGTCGTTGGAGAGTTGTTCGATCCAGACACAACCATCCATATTTTGCCGTTTATAACTTTGAGAAAAACTCGCAACTGACAACTCTGTTCACAGCCTACCTTCCGCCCCTAATGTACTTCGGTTGCAACGTCTGCTTTGCCTCCCTCCCGCTCTTCGTCCCCACGATCATCAGCGAAATGGGCGCCTTTTCCACCATTCAGTCCAACGGTCTTTCAGCTCCACCATATGTCTTCTGCTTTCTCGCAATTTGCGGCACGGCTTTCATCTCCGACCGCCTGAACCTGCGCGGCATCTTCGTCGCCATCCCCGCGCTGATCGCAGCGGTTGGTTACATCATCCTGGGCACGACCTCGGGCGTGGCGCCACGGTATTTCGGCCTGTTCCTAGCCGTCCTCATCTTCGTCTCGGTGGCAATGACGCTGACCTGGGTCGGAAATACCCATGCCACGGACAGCAAGCGGGCTGTCGCGCTGGCCATCCTCGCCACGGGTGGCCAGTGCGGGCCCGTGCTGGGCACGAACATCTTCCCCAAGAGCGACGCGCCGTACTATCGCAAGGGCATGTGGATCTCGTGCGGCGCGTGTCTAATCGTCGTAGTCACGAGCTGCATGCAGATGGGCTTGCTGATTCGGGCCAATCGCAAGCGCGACCAGAAATACGGCCGCAACAGGGAGACGGTGCACCTCGAGGAGCCTGGCGAGCGAGGCAACGATAAGCAGTTTAGATATATGGTGTAAGCATGGAGCGGGGAGATGAGTCGTGATATGGACATTATGAGGGGGAATCAACCTAAGGGATACGTCTCCGTACTGGGAGAAAGGAGGATGAGGGGGGTTGTAGGAAGAGGAGGAGGAATCAGTCCAAGGTAAAGAGGCTTTTTGTCCTCAGAAAGGGAAGCCTATGCTCAGAACACCACCTTAACGCCCGGGGACAGTTTTACGGCTGTGGCTTTCAGAAGTCTACGAGGCTGAAACTGAAATTGAAACTTGCCTTGGGATTCACATCAGTGAAACGACCAAAGAATGCAGAGATACAGAGCCGTAGATTTTTCTCGAGCTTTGCCAAAATGCTACATGCGTTCCGATGCCATCCATGATTAATTAGATCTATGACACTGTGGCCTTCTTAGTTGGTCAGGTGGTTGACGGAGTGATCAATGATTATACGACGGATTCCATTTTCTGCTCCTGTCCTGCAGTAAATCACAGCCGTCACGAGAGCGTCTTCTACCAGGGGCATACACAATGTACTATATATACTCCATGTCTCGTCTCGTCCCTCTAGCTAGAGAAGCGCTGGAGCTGTGTTTCTATATGCCCATGTACTGATGCGGCTGCGGGGTAGGTACATGGGTTCCCCCGTCGCGGCCTCGTGGAAGGGCGGATATTTCTGCGTCCATGCTGTGGGACAGAGATGTCCTGTCGGTGGTGCTTGTTGCAACGCCAGATCTCTGCCCACTGGCCATCCGGTAGAAGGAGAAGACATTATCTAGTGCCCCATCTGCTCCTCCTTGTTGAGGGTGTCAAGACACCCGTCTCTTCGGTGGCCCTCTTCATCCAGCCGATCATTTCCATCCCGCGACCCCCCTTTTTCCTACCGCCTTGACGTCCGCCAGGCCCGTTCGGCTGCCTCTCCCTGGCTGCGCGACTCGACCACGTCAGTATCCAACAGATGCGCCGCCACGCTGGCCGCAAGAAATACCGTCAAGGCGAGCAGCGTGGCGACAGACCAAGGCATCAGCGTCCGAGCTGCGATGTACCACGACGCAAGGGCCATTGATCGTGCGCGGGAACTTCTCGACCCCCCCCCCCGACTGGCCCGACTATCATGGTCATCGCATTCAGTTCCGTGGCGACCATCAGGCCCGCGTCCTGGGGAAGGTAGGCGCGCTGCCCCATCGGCGCTGCCAAGGAAGGGAATAGATTTGATTGCTCGGCTGGTAGCCACCCTTCCAGGTCCGAGGAGACTTTAACCCACTGCTGAAGCCCAGCGCAGCGACGGCGGCTGACATGGAACAGGAGTATATCTCCGTATGTTTAGGAGAGGTGGTATTGAGGCATCGTTTGAACCGCCGCGAAGAACAATCCAAAGGCTCCGTGGGAACGTCGTCCTGAGGGGCCGGACAAGATGAATACATATGCCGCGACGGCCACTGCCCCTGTCATCATACATGCTCTAGACTGTGGTGTCGAAGAAGAGACGGTCTTTGAGGTGCCGGTCGACAACAGAATCAGGTTACACGCTGCCGGGAATGCACCACTCTGTGCGCCTATCTTGTTGCAGATCCAACATTGCGACCACGTCTTGCTCGTCGGGGCGAAAGTTCTGGTCGTTTGTTGACTTTGACGAGACGACGCCGATGCCGGGGTTTGTTGAGATTCAGGAGAGCGAAGATCGGTGGAGGCCGGACTTCAGGTCCAACGCATCGCAGGCTCTCGGCCTTGCTGTATCATGACCTCCACCGTCTCAGCAGAAGCAAGTCGGATGTGCAAGAAACCACGGCGAAGACAAGCGAATACGGAAAGCGAACGCAAAAAGGCTTAGCCGACAAAAAGCCCTCTCTGGAGAGTTCTCGAATGGGAAGTTTACGAACCGTAGCGGCCCGCATGGCTGTGAGAGCGGGCTCTTCGATTGGGGGAGGCTGCAAGCCACCCGAGGCCAAGGTTCACGCGGATCTTGAAGCCGTGTTGTCTCTTCGAGAAAGAGGGTAGATGGGACTCTTCTCAGCCTGATCTCGACACAGCAGAGCTTCGCGCCCCCGACAATCAACCATGATATTGACACATCGACAGCCGCACGACAATGTACCTCGCCGAAGCCAACCATATATAGAATAACATGTATGTTAAGTAGACCTGCTCCGAACTGACACCAACCCCGGCCCCAGGCTCAGCAGATAACAACCCTCCATACACGCACATTCTGGATCTATGTCTGCCTGTCTCTGCTCCCTCGAGTCGCCGCCAGAAACTGGCCTCGTCGACTCGCGCCAGATTGTACCCGTACTGCTACCCCTAGCGTTGACGATTCCGCATATACTGTTCCTGTCAGCCTCGTGCGGCAGGCGTGGGAGGTTGATGGTGGCTGAGCATACTCATCCGGGACATCGGCGGCGGCAGAGGTCAATCATTTGTCGTTTTAGTCCTCAATGTTGAGGGCGACTTGAGAGCCTCTGAGCCGAGTGGGTTTCGAAACCAATGTCGACAGGAATGAATCATTGATTGCGTATCAATCGGTAGTCACCGTGTCAGGAAAACCGGGTACGTCGTTGCACAGAATGGAATGTCCGTTGGAGTCGAAACACTTGCCTACCTACATCCTCAGTTGTTAGACTACCTTAACCCCTTCGATGTTGGATTCGCGGAACACAGCGAAGAAGGAAAAAATGCGGAGAACCAGATGAAATCTCTCAACCCCGGATCTGCTCGTCTTTGAAACTGTACATTTTTACTACGGCGTAGGTAGTCTTTGAAGATGCTGCGCACAAAGTATATGAAGGGAATACATGCGTGGGCCCCTCATTCTGGCTTCTTCTGGTCCGAAAGACACCATGCGACTCTCCTGTTCCATTTTCCCAACCACCGATGCGGAAGCTTGATGGCCAGTCTTTCCCGGTGCCCCTTGACTTTTTCACAGCTTAGCCTATGGGTTGTGGTATGGGCTGTCACTGTTCTCGGGATAGAGGTCTTCCTTAAGATTAATGCCGAGCTCTTCGCGCAGGGGCTTCAGTTCGTCTAGGTATTCCTGGTATTGTTGCATGTTTTCGACCTTTGCCTTGATACCTACATTTCCGCAATTAGACATCAACTACCTCGCCGTAGATGAGCTCATCCGAACGAACCTTCAAATATTCTCACGGCAGTGGGGAAGTCGTTGACGCGTCTAGCAGCTTTCAAAGCTGCTGTGACAACACCGGGAGAAGGGACGAGATCGTAAGCAAAGGCATTGTTCAGGTTCCGCTGGTGACTCGGGTTAGCCTCAACAATGCGATCTGGAGCTTGGAAACTTTACCTGCAGCTCGAAAACATCCTGCACCGCATCGAATTCCTTCTCATATCTGCCAGATATCAGATCAACCCAGCTCCAATTACAACCTTGTTCTTTTGGCAACAGCGCGGGACTTTTTTTGGGCGAACAGTGCCACAAGAACAAGCTCAATTGGGAGCCTACCTCGCAGAGAATTCTTCAAATGTTTCGTCTTCGTGACCGGCGCTTCTTTGAATGGCAGAGGAGCTGAAGGGGGACCTTGCGGAGACCGATTGAACTGCCGCCGGAGCTCTCCTGAAGGACCGTGTGCAGGGTCTAAGGAAGGCGGAAGTGGCGGGACGAGCTGTGAGACGAAGCATGGCAAGAGAAGCCATAATGCAATCGGCGAGGTTGAGCACAGGAGGGTTGTGTAGAGTGGTAGAGTGGTAGAGTGAGAGGTGGTGGACAAGCTGCGATGTGCAAGGTCTGGGCAGATATTCGATTGAGGTTCTTCAGTCACCTGAGACTTGCTTCGATTCGCGGAGCTTCTGACTGGTTGAAATGACACAGGTCAGCCAAGACGGACCTGTGTGAACGGCAAGGAGCGGCTGGTATTTGGTCTGTACGTGGGTGACAGGCTGTGTATTGTGAATAGCTGGTCTTTGATTGGCCCACAGTTTGGCGGGCAGCTCAAAATAATCGTCCACATGCTCGACCCGGAGTATTGATTCTCCGAACATAAGTACCCTGCCCAGTCACGCTCTTCCAGCGGCTACCGTTCTGCATACGATATACGCGCGGCAATCGCACAGATTTCTCCCCTAGGCGGAAATTGACACCCAGGCACACAGCCAATGGGAAGAGGCGGCTGAGGCGGGGCTTGGCTCTGTCGTAATGGCAGCGCGCATCGTGCTCGATCGTGCCAAACGATTATGCACGATTTTCCCCTGACTTTTTTTGATTATCCAAGAATTGGCACTGTTGGCAACTTCCATCTTCCTCGCGATCGCCCTGCAATTTTCCCAATTGCCTCCGCCCGCGCTGCCGGCTCGAGAATATATCTCACTTCCTTCCACCCTATTCCGGTCGACAGTTACTTTATCCCTCTGACTGTCCGTTTCTCCCCTTCATTTCTCTCCTTTTCTTCTTTCACGGCCTCATCAGTTGATTGTTTACAGTCGCTCCTTCTCTGTCGACTCGGCGCCTGCGCTCACATCCCTCCAGCCCATTTGCAGCCTGCCACCGCGAAACTAATTGACACCATCTCATCTCAACATGTCGGGCGACATCCTCAAGTCCATTCCTCTCCCTACCCTCGATCGCCCTTTCGGCATCGAACTATGGCCTATCTTCGACAAGGCCTATTCCGCTATCGTGGGTTACTCCCCCATGGATTTCAAGTTTGAACCAGGCAAGACCCCTATGTCGACACTGCCAGAAACCGCCATCGCCTTGGTCTCATACTATGCCATTATCTTCGGGGGAAGAGAATTGATGAAACATCGCAAACCATTCACTCTCAACGGCGCTTTCATGGTCCACAACCTCTACCTCACCCTCATCAGCGGATGCCTGCTGGTACTGTTCGTTGAGCAGTTGCTCCCCACTCTGGCCCGGGGCGGTGTCTTCCACGCCGTTTGCAGCTACAACGGAGGGTGGACACAAGAATTGGTTGTGCTGTACTATGTACGTCTGGCTGTCCCTTCATCCAGCCGGCGCCACGGTCTAACTCCCGCAGTTGAATTACCTCACCAAGTACCTCGAACTCATTGACACTTTGTTTTTGGTCCTCAAGAAGAAACCCCTGACATTCCTTCACACCTATCACCACGGTGCAACGGCGCTTCTCTGCTACACTCAGCTGATTGGACACACCGCGGTCTCATGGGTTCCCATTACGTTGAACCTGACCGTGCACGTGGTCATGTACTGGTAAGGGAAATTGGCACACAAAATTGAGCACGTGGCTGATGATTCTCTAGGTACTACTTCCAATCCGCTCGCGGAATCAGAATCTGGTGGAAGAAATACATTACCATCATGCAAATCATCCAATTCGTCATTGATTTGGGCTTCGTCTACTTTGCTTCGTATACCTACTTTGCCAACTCCTATTGGCCTTGGCTGCCAAATGCAGGGACCTGCGCAGGGGAAGAATTTGCAGCGATTGCGGGTCTTGTCATTCTCAGCTCTTACCTCCTGCTCTTCATCTCATTCTACTTTGCGACCTACCGGAAACAGACCATCCAAGGACGACCGAGAAGGAACACTGGCAGAGAAGCTTTGATCGCTATGAGAGATCTTCCCCTTCCTGACCCACACAGGGTTCCACCTGCATTCGAGGACGAGAAGAAGACCAACGGCGCTGTCACCACCGGGCGATCAAACGGTCCAACAACCAGATCGCGAAAGGCTTAGACGGCCGAAGTGGACGAGCGTTTTGACAGGGAAGTCTTTCGTTGTTCAACGCAGGCCCTGCTTCCGAGACAACACAACCACAAAATTCGATTTGGGCTGGAAGAAACCAGACAACAGTTGGATTATGTTTTACCGGACGACTGAACGGCAGCGCAGGCGTGGCGCCTGGCAGATGGTGATGTGAAGCACAACTAGAAAGTCTAGTTGAGAGGGTATGTCAGAGGAATGTCGTGGACGACTAGAGATAGAAGAGACCGGGCTAGCTGATGACCGACATTTCAGAGTGTACAAAAAGTTTCCTGAGTCAAGGGCAGGCATGGGGGCTCCGGGATTTTCGTGTTGAGGTCTTGGTGGATGCTACAGGCTACGCCGCCATTTCTGTTCGTTTCTTTTTGCATTGTGTAATTAGAAGGTACTCGCTATTAATGCACGAAGTCTAATGCGAACAAAAAGGGGCTCGTAGTGTAGGTGATATAGCTGCAAGAGGTCAAAAAAAATAGTTGAAAACTTCTAGGAACGATGTCATAGAGCTCGCGTCATAGCATGGTCATCTTTTCGTGAATTCGCGAATATCTGGAAATTTAGAAATCCCAATATATTTATCCCAGAATGTCTATTACTGACTTCCTCGTATGAGTATGGGCACGGGAGGTCAGCCAGCCTTGCGGCGTAGCGAGTCGGATTTACATCGAATACCCCTTTTCCATGACTACGATCAAGCCAATCCCACCATAGCGCACAGGATTGAACGACCTCCGCAAAATCTTTGCTGCCTGCCCACATACACATCATTCCACGGCTGGCAGCATCAAAAAGTTCGTCGTCTCATCTCCCCTCGCCGAGTATTCTTCTGTGCTTGAACATCCTCCCTTAACCAGCACATTCCTCCCCCAACTCTCAATACCGGTCTCATTTTGTCAGGGGCTGTGTCTCTTATCCAACCCATCTCCTCGCACTCTGGAAGAGTCTCATCCACGGCCCGTGCTCGCCCCAGTCGCCCCATGCATCCTTCTCCCCCATCATCGCCTGCTCGGGGATGTAACTCGCCACGCCGCCCAAGATCGTGCGCTCAGGATGCGGCATCAGGGCCAACACGCGTCCATCTTGGCTTCGCACGCCGGCGATCCCGGCAGGACTCCCGTTCGGGTTGGCCGGGTACGTCGTGGTGGGCTGCAGGGATTTACTGTCCACGTACCGGATTGGCGCGAGGTTGGCGTACGTGAAGTCATGCGCGAGAGACGCGTCCCAGGTCCTGTTTCCCGTATGCGGCGGAGGGAGGTCGTTCGTGAACGAGGCGCGGCCTTCGCCGTGTGCGACGGCGATGGGGAACGAAGAACCGCTCATGCCGTGCAAGAACACGCTGGGCGCCATGCCTGACTCCACAGGCGGGTCAGAGACTTTGACCATGCAGACTCGCGCCTCGTACTGTTCGGACTCGTTCCTCTCGAAAGACGGCCACTTCTCCGCCCCGGGAATCAGTTCTTTGAGTTTGGAGAGGACTTGGCACCCGTTGCAGACGCCCAATGAAAAAGTGTCTCGCCTTTCAAAGAAGGTGTGGAATTTTCGCCGGGTTGTGGGATGGAAGAGGATCGATTTCGCCGACCCCTGACCTGCACCGAGACAGTCGCCGAAACTGAAGCCGCCACATAGAGCGAGACCTACAAAGGAAGAGAGGTCGTGATCCACGCCGAGGTGTGACTGGTGTGGTTTCGGGTCGAGGATATCAGACATATGGACGTCTACCGCAGTGAATCCGGCGCATTCAAACGCGAACGCCATCTCCGCGTGGCCATTAGTGCCTTGATCTCGCAGGATGGCGACACGTGGTCGGGCAGTGGGACGCATGTAATTGAGGAAGGACGCTTTGTATGTATTGATGTTCTCCTTGGGTTCGAATGTAAGGTTATAGCTCAATCCTGGCTCAGCGTCGTCGAGGATTGCGTTGTACTCCGAGTCCGCGCATGAAGGGTTGTCTCGAAGTCGTTGAAGCCAGTATGACGTGTTTGACCATTTTTGTTGTAACTGACCACGAGTCGCGCGGTAGATTAGTTTCCCACCGTGATAGATAGCCATGTTTTGAGAGGAAGATTTCGTGGATACACGGCCGATCTTGTGGATGAGACCAGGAGGGGGCCCGCACGTGGCGAAACAGGCTTTGAAGTGATTCTCATCAGATTTGCGAACCTGGAATACTGCTCCCAATTCTTCGTTGAACAAAGTGGAGATTACGTCCGACGTGTGCGGCGTGGGACATATGTCGTTAATCATGATTTCTATGCCACAGCGACCGGCAAACGACATCTCTGCAAGGGTCACGAAGAGGCCACCGTCCGAACGGTCGTGGTAAGCCAGCACGAGGCCTTGTTCGTGCAGTTGTTGTGTGGCGTCAAAGAAGTCTTTGAATAAGGAGACGGAGCGGATGTCGGGTGCTTCATCGCCAATTTGTTTGAAGGATTGTGTGAGGGCGGACCCTCCCAAGGCACGGTGCGCGAGACCCAAGTCCACAAAGAAGAGCGTAGATTCGCCCACTTCGCTGTACCGTTTTAGCTGCGGCGTCCACGTCTTCCTGATGTCTAGGACGGGGGCGAATGAAGATATCACGACTGATAAGGGGCTCGTGACTTCCTTTGCATCCTCGCTCTGGGGGTCTGTCCATTTCATCTTCATGGACATGGAGTCTTTACCGACAGGGATTGAAATACCGAGTTTGGGACACAGATCCATGCCCAATGCTTCCACAGCTTCGTAGATCCCAGCGCCTTCACCGGGATGAGTAGATGCACACATCCAATTTGCGGAGAGCTTGACCTGATGAAGACGGTCGGGTAGGTCTGCTGCAGTGAGATTCATCAGTGATTCAGCCACTGCCATACGTGCGGATGCTGCTGGAGAGATGAGCGCAATGGCTGGCTTTTCGCCCATTGCCATCGCCTCACCGGTTCTGATACTACTGGTAAGTGACGTTGCTGTAACAGATACATCTGCCACAGGAACCTGCCATGGTCCCACCATTTGATCTCTAGCTGTGAGTCCGCCGACTGTTCTGTCTCCTATCGTGATCAAGAAGGATTTGGATCCGACCGCCGGCATTTGAAGCACTCGGTCAATTGCTTCTTGAAGCAAACCGCTCATTGACGCCTGGGGCACATACATGCTCAAGCTGGTATCAAATCCTGGTAAATCAACTTCGCGTGAAAGCACGTCGCGAGTCATCTTAGGTGGTTTGCCGAAGAGTACTTCCATTGGGAGGTCGATAGGATCTTGTTGATCAGAGCCGTTCGTCGGGTGGTTACGGTCTGTTAGCTTCAACACTTGCTGCCTCGTGGCTCTTCCCACAACTGAGATCTCGCAACGCTCTCTTTTTGCGATTGCCCTGAACTTGTTCATACCTTCCTGTCCTACCGCGAGAACATACCGCTCTTGAGCCTCATTACACCAGATCTGGAGGGGACTCATACTCTTATCTGCACAGTCGATATCTCGAAGCTCGAATTCCGCACCAAGCCCGGAGTCTTTGGCCAGTTCCGGCAAGGCGTTCGACAGACCTCCTGCACCGACATCGTGGATGAAGAGGATGGGATTATGCGAACCAAGCGCGGTACATGCATTGATGACTTCTTGAGCCCTTCTCTGCATTTCGGGGTTGCCGCGTTGAACACTGGCAAAATCTAGCTCGGCTGACCCTTCTCCAGAACTGACACTCGATGCGGCTCCCCCTCCCAAACCAATCAACATGGCGGGACCACCCATGACAATCAAAAACGCACCATCTTTGACGATCTCGGGATCTTTCAGAGCATGCTGGGGTCGAACAGTACCTACGCCTCCCGCAATCATGATAGGCTTATGATAGCCTCTGATTTCAGTAGAGTCTTTGCCCGTTTTCATTTCGATAAGTAACGTTCTGAAATAACCGGTAGTACATGGTCGACCAAATTCGTTATTGAAAGCTGCACTTCCAATTGGTGCTTCGAGCATGATGTCGAGACTGCTAGCGATATGATTGGGTCTGCCATAGTCGAGCTCCCACGGCTGGTGGTGATCAGGTATCAGCAGGTCGGACACGCAGAATCCTGCGAGACCGGCCTTGGGCTTTGCTCCTCTTCCTGTTGCACCTTCGTCCCTGATTTCACCTCCTGAGCCGGTCGCCGCTCCCGGAAAAGGGGAGACGGCGGTAGGATGATTGTGGGTTTCGACCTTAACAAGGAAATGTACTGGTTCCTTCGTTGCTCTCCATTGGCCGTTGAGATCGTCAGGAGCCCACAGACTCCCATTGCTGCCGTTTAGTACAGCTGCATTATCGCTGTATGCACTGATGGTGCCTTCCGGAGTCTGTTTGTGCGTGTTTCTGATCATGCCAAACAAAGTGTTAGTCTTGGGTTTTCCATCGATAGTCCAGCTTGCGTTGAAGATCTTATGCCGGCAGTGTTCTGAGTTGACCTGAGCAAACATAAACAACTCAACATCTGTAGGCTTTCTCGGAACTGGCCCGTCTTTGGAATAGGCTTCGACAAGATACTGGATCTCTGACGGATCGAGTGCAAGACCTAGCTTGCGATTCAAATCTTGAAGAATCTCTGAGGGAGTCTGTCCGTCATTGTATAGGTCATATGTACCCAGTACGCCAGGCTCGTGGTGCATGAACAAGAGGTTGAGGTCTGGCTCATTTTCTGAGATAGTCTCTGTCATCCGGTCATGGAGGAAGTCAAGGCTCGATCCGCCCAGAGACTGTCCATCGTCAAGGTACACCGTAACCTTGATGCCTCGTTCGATTCGACGAACCACTTTCCGAAGTCCGCAAACATGAGCAATGTTGGTCGCTTTTGAACTCCAAGGAGAGATAGTGCCCGGCCTGGGCACAACATAAAGGACAGTGGAAGATTCGCCTTCCTTTTCCTGGGCATCTACATGGTGGCCGTCGGTCAACAATTTTTCCAGTAGCGCATGGCTCTCAGATTCAAGGGATCCCACAAGTTCCACATAGTGAATATACTGTCCCTGAACGTCGCGGGCGCCAACATTGGAGGCAAGAGCCTGACGCCGAAATTCTGAAAAGGCTGACGCTCCAGGGATGATGCAGACTTGTGGATGACCCATGGTTGACAAGGCGCTGAGTCTAGAAACTCCTGGTTGACAGCATGACCAGTGTCACACGGAGACACAGAACGGCGATCGAAGCCTGGGGATGTGAGAGAATACAAATGATCCCACTCGACAGTGAAAAGTGCCTAGTAGACTGATCGTTACGAAGAAATTAAACGGTCATCCGAGGCCAGCCGACGACGAATAGCAGATCAATCACGAGATAACTCTCCTGGTATCCATGGGAGTATTTCTGGGCTCTAGTCATAAGGCCCGTCCGACATTTACGATTATCCATGGATGCTGATGTGTGGGTTTGTGAGCACCTCTGAAAAATCTGCTGCCTCGGCGGCTTGGCGCCAGTCATGACGGGTTCCGGGTCAGCGGAGGTTGCGTGTGGTTAAACGTAGGCGGCCTGGGTGGCTTTTCCGGGACTGGGCGGGCCCCTGGGCTGGTGCCTAGCTGACTGTTTTGGGGCCTGTGGCTTCCCCGGAAAATCAACCTCCTCCCTATCCCTTCAGCGCTGCTACCTATGTACTGGTGGGTATGTTTTGGCCTTGCGCATGGGCCTCTCGCTTGTCAGTCTTGGTCCAATATCGGTCGGCCTGCCAGCAACGCCGCCCGATCAAATCTGGCATCCGTCATCCACCTTCTCACTAACACGACGTACTCCAATTGCAGAGCGGCCACCTCGAGCTTTTCCCTTCTCTATCTTTCCCCAAGGCTAACTGCATCATTTGACAAAGCCCATTAGGGTCATTCCCGCTGGCTATCCTCACATGGGAAAGCTTTGCCTACTCCGCTTTTCTCGTGATCGGTTCTCCAGCCCAATGCCATCGCCACCATCGCCGTTAATACCTAGACCAGTGACCGAGCCTGTCCCCTTTGCGTCTGATTGTTGAGCCCGACTCTCGATTTCACACCCTCTCCCTCTCGACTGCGCACCCGACCGACCCACATACCGAAAGACCTCGAAGTCTTCCTCAGTTGGACACGAGGTCTCTCAAGATCCACCTTTATCCCCTTTGAAAGGTCAGGGCCAGTCGTCCAGACTGCCCTTCTAACGCCGACACCATTTCTTCTCCTCGCCCGTCTACCGAATCTTTCCTCCACCACCGATCGCATTCGTCTCGTTCAAAAGCAAACCTGGAAGACCCCTCATCCACATTGCGGACTTCAGAAGGGAACGAAAAAGACGAAAGCAATCGGCGACCATCATACTCGGGTTCTGACTCTGACGACTTCTCTCTTTGGAGCGACACTGGAGATCTCGCAGAGCAGCTTACTAGCAACGAGGACCCCTATCGAATTGAGCTAGATCCTTTGACCCGGGAAGGTCAAAGGCTCAAAGACTCAGGTCGTGGTCACGGTGGAGGACGGAAGAAGAGAGTCGGATTTCGAGAACAAGATCACCTTGAGCGGGATCGCCCCCCTCTCGGTCTAGACAAAGAGGCTATCTTCATTCCGGAGCCTCCACCGAGGCAGGTTACAAAGGCAGAAAGAATATTGGCTCTCGTCATGGCTCCCACTGACCCCCAGACTGCCCGGGCCAAGGGCCTCGTAGGGAAGCCGTTATTGTATGACGACACAGATATCCTAGGAGTCTGGACGGGTGGCTGACAGGTGCAATGCAGGTACTTTACAAGTGTGTTCGTATCGCTAGGTGTATTTCTTTTCGGATACGATCAAGGCGTTATGTCTGGCATTATCACGTACGTGCACTCGGACCGCCCCAGCCGCGATTGCTGACCTGTCCAAGTGGTCCCTTTTTCAGAGATGCATTCAATCAACCTGGCCCGGCCGAAGTTGGTACCATGGTGGCCATCCTCGAGATTGGTGCCCTTATTTCATCACTATGCGTCGGACGCATTGGCGACATCATTGGACGTCGTAGGACTATTCTTTATGGATCGATGGTTTTCTTCGTCGGCGGAATGCTCCAAACTCTCGCAAACGGTATGCCCATGATGATGGTAGGGCGGTTGATCGCGGGTTTCGGAGTCGGTGCTCTCTCTACTATTGTACCTGTCTATCAATCTGAGATCAGTCCTCCTCACAACAGAGGCAAGCTGGCCTGTATAGAATTTACGGGTAACATTACGGGTTACGCTGCAAGTGTTTGGGTCGACTACTTCTGCAGCTTTATCCAGAGCGACCTCTCATGGAGAGTGCCCTTGTTGATGCAATGCGTCATGGGTGCACTGCTCGGATTTGGCAGCTTGATCATTTGCGAATCCCCTCGGTAGGACATTCCGGAGAAGAGGTTTTGAGGGTTCAACTAATGTCTATCAGATGGCTCTTGGATAACGACCATGACGAAGAGGGGATCATTGTCATAGCCAATCTCTATGGCAAAGGCGACATTCATAATGCGAAGGCTCGACAAGAATATCGCGAGATCAAGATGAACGTCCTGTTGCAACGTCAAGAAGGAGAACGATCATACTCGGATATGTTTAAACGATACTACAAGCGCGTCTTTATTGCCATGTCGGCCCAGGCATTTGCACAGCTGAACGGTATTAACGTCATTTCGTACTACGCACCACTTGTTTTCGAATCGGCAGGCTGGGTTGGACGAGACGCGATTCTCATGACTGGCATTAATGCATTCACTTACTTGGGATCGACAATCCCGCCGTGGTATCTGGTGGACAAATGGGGACGGCGGCCTATTCTCCTGTCTGGAGCAGTGGCGATGATCATCTCCCTGTCGCTCATCTCCTACTTCATCTTCATCGACGTGCGGTGGACCCCGACCCTGGTGGTGGTTTTTGTCATGATTTACAATGCAGCATTCGGAGCCAGTTGGGGGCCTATACCATGGCTGTATCCGCCAGAGATTCTACCGCTCAGCATTCGGGCGAAAGGTGCCAGCTTGAGTACGGCCAGCAACTGGGCGTTCAACTTTTTGGTGGGCGAACTCACGCCGATCCTCCAGAAATCGATCAAGTGGAGGCTGTATCTTGTACACGCCTTCTTCTGCGCACTCAGTTTCGTTCTCGGTAAGTTTGTCCGGACCACATTGACCTCACGCAGGCACTAATCACCGACGCAGTTTACTTTGTATATCCTGAAACGGCCAATGTTCGCCTTGAAGACATGAACGCGCTCTTTGGGGATGCCACAACAGCGATGCCAACTCCCTCCACCCAAGCGGAACGGGGATCGCTCATGGGTGTAGGATCGCCATCTTCTATCGACATCAGACAAGGAGCCCCTCAACCAGGAATCTATTCCTCGGACGCTGCGATCCCTGGCCTTGACATAGATCCTCCCGAGGTACAACTCGACGCAAACGGAAAGCCACGAGGTAGAAACCAAAGCAATCAGGAAGGTCTAGGGGGTTGGATTGGTCGAATGGTGTCCAGGTCACGACAAGATAACAGTTCTCGCGGCCAATACGGGAAGATTGGCCAGGACGAGGACTAAAAGCCACAGACTCTGGATTTTGAATGCTGTACAGTGTCGACTTGCTCTGTGTATAGATATAGAGGCTCCAGCGGCACCAGTGTCGCGGTCGAACGATATGGGGGTACGTCATTCCATCTCGGGAGTTAAAAAAAGCCTTCGAGTCTAGGACTCTGCACTGAAGGCGGCGGAAATCATGTCAAATTGCGCTGGACATGTACTGATGAAAACCGGATTTCGCTGGGATGGAAGCTGTATTTGTTGCTGTTTTCCTCGGGCTGACCACTCACGCAATTCGTCAAATTAGTATTGGGTATTACAGAGAAGGACGAAGTCATCGCCAGCTCGGGACGTGATGGATGACTAAGATGAGGCGCATGCAAGCAAGTCCGTCCAAGGCCATCAGGCTGGCCTCACTGGGACCTCACTGGGCCTCACTAGCCGTGGGGACGAGGCGAGGAGAGAGGGCGGAGGGCAAAGAGAGAACTTTTCCCGAAAGCTTTTCTGCCCGCGGGTGGCGCGCCGACGAGCCAGAGCCCAGGGAGCCACAGAGCCAGGTTCTCGCCGCCGCCCTTGCGACTACGCCTCGCCCCGTCCGTTGTGCCTTGTGGCCTCTGGCGTCAATCATACCCCCCCCCCCAATTGACTACCTCCATCTACTGCCGCTACCACTACCTACTTCTCGAGGAATTTGACCATCACCGCATATACAGTAGCGACCAAATTACCGCAGACTTGGGGCACGGCAAGAGATTCTAGCCCTGCCGGTCCTTTAGCAAAGACACTTCTAGCCTTAGCTTGTTGGTCGTGCCCCTCTATCTTCACATTCCTGATCCAGTGATTATTCACTGGCTCGCATCCGCCCGACCTGCCCTTGTGCAAACCGAATTGGCCAACTGCGACCATCCCTCCTCAGCCTTCTCTTCCTGCTTTTGCTCCGCCAGCTCTCTTGGTCGATTACGTCCTGAACAGTCCTTTGTCGCAAAGTTCGTTGAGTTCTCTCCTGTTCAGAGCACAGGCCGCGCAGATCGCAGCCAGACTGCGCCAAATCAGCCGTCACTGCCCGCCTTCGCGTCCTCCACCAGGTCGGTCAGATCCCCTCCGATCTCATTCTATGAAAGTTAATCACCGCAAAAAGGCTTCGTGCCCGCGACACAAACCAAGAGACCCCGAACCCTGCTCAATTGCGGATATGTGATGGGACCGTCTCATGAGCCGTCGATGCGTCCAGCTTTTCCTACTCAGAGCTGATCACCTTGACGATCTCATCCCAGACTATGATGGAAAGGTAACCATTGCCCGTTACCTTTTTGCGACAAAATGTCCCAAGGCATGACCAAGAGACCCCCGGATTCTACAGACTTGCCCAGAGGCAAGCAATCCGTTTCTCGCATCGTTGCTCAATTGGATGAGCGCTTCAATCACCTCTGCGACACTATTCTCCCTCTACAACCCTACCTACTCTCCGTTCCCTCCGACGTTCCCTACCGTCACAGCTCGCGTTTTGTCAATACGTGGTACGAGGGCACCCCATTCGATCGCAAAGAAGAGCAGCTCCAATACCTCAGCTTTCTTCCGCATTCGGGTGAACACGAGGCTTTGTTGAAGGTCGAGGGCGGGTGGGCCGACGACCACGGGAATCCCATTGCCGAAGAAGAACTCTCTCCAAAGGCCCTTCCAGCAAGTGGCCGTCATACCCCAGCCGACGCAAGTAATCGCAAGAAAATCAGCCTGAAGGACTACAGGACCAAGGCAAAAAGTCCACCGCAGGCTGCACCCGAATCTCAACCTCCTCAGAAAGTCGAGACCCCGGCCAACGGACCCTTGAGCCTAGAAAAGACAAAGCACGGTTCACAATCCTTGCTGGAGAAGAAGGAGGAGAAATCGCCGGCTCCAACAGAAAGTAACGGAGTCAAGGATCACCAGCAACAAGTCGCACGAATGGACGGCCATAATTCCCCAAACATGGCGCCCAAGGCGCATCAGACCGACTCGCCGAATCCGGCTAAACGACGAAAGCTGTCTCCTGCGATTGAAGATCCTAAACCTGTCGCGCAATCTTCAAAAGTTGAATCCCAGTCTTCCACCATGAGAATGCCCAGGTTACTCTCCCCCACTCTACCATCACCTGAGAAGGAGAACGGCCTACCACAGCTATTGTCTCCAGTCCTGCCTCCGTCACTTGCAAAAGCTCTGTCAACGCCCCCAAACACCGCATCAATTGGAAGCCCTACCAGTGGTGTGCCCAAACGATCAGACCCCGTGCGCTCGATCCTCGCTGGTGCCGACCTTGACAGCGATCCTCCGGGCGATCGAAGCGGATTTGCCCCTGGCGGGAGTAGAGCTCGCTCAGACAGTCAGCACTCAGCCAGGAGTAGTGCTCCAGGGACTCCGAATGCGGCCAAGGGGGCTCTTGGAGCGAAGCTGCTGGCGAAGAATGGCATCAGAGCTGGGACACCCCTCCACAATGGTATTCGGGCCAGTCCTGGTCCTCGACAAAGACATACAATCATTCTGAAATACGGCAAAAAGAATAGGAAGAGAGTGGAAGCGCTCCTCAAGTTCGCGCCGCGGCCGAAGAAAGACCTGCTTAAACAAGAGGCGCAAGAATCCCCAAACATCTCTGACGCACATGCAAGGAAGGAGACCACCAAAAAGAACCATGTCGAACCTCAGCCTACTGCTGAGTCTAAGCCGAAACCACCCATCATCGATGATATCAAGCTAGAGAAGAAGAGAAAGGCGGAAGACAGCAGTCCTGGACCATCGCTGAAGAAGGCCAAAGCTGTTGAGATAGAGAAACGACCTGTTACCCCGGCTCCCCCGACTGGTAAGATGTCTATGGTATCTCAGTCAAAATCAACATTATCCACCCCCAAGAAGGAAGTGAAACCTACGCTGATGAGACGGGTGGAGTCGTCGGACGGTGCTGATGCCCCGACTCCCTCTGGGGACAAAGCGAGGGTGTCAACGCCACAGACGGTGCCGAAACCATCTCCCCAGCCTCCAACTAGCTCTAATTCTTCTCGGGAAGGGGATCGGCAAAAGTGGTCCAGCATCAACTCCAAGTTCTTTGCACTGGGCCGTTCTCTCAAGCACGAAGGAGCGGCTCTGCTACCTCCTCCTGACAGTGACGCAAAGCCTTCCCAGTCCGCTAAAGCGGTGCTGATACTGATTGAGGCGCTATTGTGCTTCATGATCAACATCTCGGCTCAATCCCACGCCCGACCAAGTATCGACCCAGGCTGGAGATCGATCATCCCATATCACATCTCCGTGTTTCGAGCGTCGAGGAAGTTTCCACATCTCCACGGTCTTGTTGTTCAACTTGGAGCGGTATGTCGGCAGGTTATTCACAAGTATGACGTGGATAAATTGGCGCGGGATCCTTTACCTGACGACTATTGCAACTCTGCACCTACCCCCGGCAGTGATGGTAATACCAAGACAAATGAGGATGGAGAAAAGTACAAGAAGCGATACGTGGAGTTCCGGGATGAGTTGATCCAGAACGCCCGTGAACTGCAGACTGCCTGGTTGGATGGGTCACGCCAACTGTCGCCTGATCTCCTAAAACGCGAGTATCCCGTTACTTGGTCGAAGCGGGCCAAAGATTCGAGCGCGAGGCTCCGAGAAAAATTGACGCCGTCGAGGATCCCGCAAGATTTCTACCTGCCAATGGATGCAAACACTACAGCATTCGAAGCAGCGAGATTCGGTACGTCTTTTCTTCGGGAATGGGCGGAGAAAGAGAAGATTGAATGGAAGACGAGGATTGATCTATGATAATGGCTGCGAAGCAAGTGTTTGCAGCGGATAGGACTTTATGACCGGAAATGATTTCAGCTATTCTTGGGCGGAGGTTTGATCATACAATGGGTCAGTTCGGCGGCCGGCATGTGCAGCATTTTGGGACGTTAGAAGATACCACATGAGCGATGAAAAGAGCTGAAATTCGACTTACCTGCCTCTTGCGTATGCATACATTAGCGACTCTATGTTGGGACCGTGTAGGGTTGGTGTAAACCAGTCAAAAGATGGCCGCGGTCTCTGCTTGACTATGTACAAATATGATGTCGAAGGCTGCCAGCCTTTGTTCGGGGACGTCCTTTGGTGCGTCCTTGGTGCGTTCCACCTCCATTTCTCTTGAGGTGCGTTTCTGGGCGGTACAATTTGCGCCCATTCTCTTGCTCCTCACGCCGTTGACCGGCCGCCCTCGTCGAAATCGATGCATCGCAGTCAATAATGGCCACGCCGCTCGAGGGCGAAACGGAGAAGTATGGACTCGCTCGATGACGACCCTACCAGTTTCGAAGGCGTTCTGCCAGTGATCCCGCCTGGCTCCCCTCCAGTCTACAAAGACACGAAAAGCAATGCGGCAACCGGCGCCTCCGCCGCGGGAGTTCGAGCATTTACGGCACAGGCAGTGGCATTCTATTTCCGCGCCCCCGTGAAAGCTTTCTTTCGGACAAGGGTGGATTACCTCGCGTACGCCAAAAGCATAAACCCGGATATACAAACTGGTCGCTGGTCGTGGAGGTCCACCACACCAGGCCTCCTGGCGACTGCGATCAAACACTACGGTTGGCGCTTCGTCCCAGAGCAATTGGCGCTGCCACTACTTGCGAATGTAGCCGTCGGAGCAGCGCTGTATACGAGCTACCTGCAGATTTTGGGCGTGTTGCATGAACCATCGGCGCATGCCAGGAAAACGGTATATCCACCCCCACCGCCGCAGAGCACGTTTCTTGCAGGATTCGCAGCTGGCTCTATTCAAAGCGTGTTGGCAGCTCCCTTAGATGCTCTTCAAGTGCGATTCGAACGACGAGGGCCAAGATATGAGGACAAGACTATGTGGGAATATGGCAAGGGAAAGTTAAGAGAGATTGGACTTAGAGGGATATTTGCGGGCTTCGGACTGAGTTTCTTGAAGGATAGCTTTGGAAGTGGTATATTCTTTTGTGCCTTTGAATGGGTGAAGGCGCAGGGGTACCATGGATATGCGAAGTGGTATTATGGGCATAAGATCGTTAGAGATTGGGAAGGGGAAGAGCTTGGGATGAAGAACAGAAAGCCAATACAGGCCACCGGGGACGAGGGATCACAAACGAAGAGAGACAATGAGGGGCCAGTGATCAGACCACATTACGCCCTCGAACCAACCTTTCTCATGCTCGCTGGCATTACGGCTTCGATCGCACAGCAACTCGTCCTCTACCCTCTCTCGACAATCCAGACTCTTCACTACGAGCGTCTAGAAGAACTCGACAAAAAGGCGATCAAACTTAACTCTGACAACGCACCGCTGGCGAGACGTGGACGGATGTTGAGGGCATACTATCACGCCTACCAAGAGACTTGGAAACAAGCTCGTGTACAAGCCGTGGCTGAAGGAGGAATCAGGCGATGGTTGTTTAGGGGTTTCTGGTGGTTCACCATTCGGCAGGTGCCAAGTACAAGTGCAGGATTGATTATATTCGAGTTGGTAAGGAGGAAGTATGGGCAGGAGGGCTTAGGCGACGAAGTGAGGATTTCTAGCAATGGGAAGTATGATATCCTCCTCGTCTGAAAAAGCACAAGGGTTCCTGGGGTGCGTTCAGCGTGTGCGTTCCGGCAGTATGGGCTGATAGAAGATAGATGGAGGGACGGGAGGATACTTGTTTGGGTTGAGGTCAAGTATCAACGGCCTCATCGTCGGCGGATGGTGTCGTCATGAATGTTCTCCCCTAACCTGGAAAAAAAAAATAATAATACAAAGACACTCCTTCTTATTGTCCAATCACCCATACCGCGCCTCTCTTTAGGTTTTAGTATAATTATTTGTGAGGAGAAACCTGAGGTAGTGGTGGAATATATCAAAGAGAGTGACGCGCTTGAGAACAAAGTAGGTTTTCGCGTTGCGGCGCGCAAGTTGGGCAAGTTTAGCGCGGCATTTGGAGAAATATCGCCCTCAACACCCTTCATCCTGGAACTTTGCCTTGACCGTGGGCCTTTGACTCGGCGGAGAGGACCATAACGTCCGTTTTCATATCTCCTTCTGCCTGTTCCCTCCTTTCTCATCCCTCTACTGCTGCTGCGTCTTTCAATTCAGACTCATCCCCAGGTCTCATCGTCCTACTGATAGATTGCGCGGAGATTACATCACCTGCCATTGATATTCCCTCTCACGATCCGCACGTCGCCTCCGCTGAGGCAGGCAATACACGATGAGCGAAATTGTCATCAACCCCGACACCTTCTTCGAGCGCCTTCAAACCCTCTACAACGCTTGGAAAGCAGACAAGAGATCGGGAAATGAAGTCTTTGGCGGCGCGGACAGCATCTTCATCTTGACGGGCAAGGCCGCTGATGAGACTGTATATGTTAAGAACAATGCAGTACATGTGAGTCGCGCCACCTCTGATTCGGACTCTACGCGATGCCGTAATGAGCCTCTGAACTCCAAGGACTGACGGGTTTGGGCTGCGCTACAGTTCTGGCTTCTAGGCTATGAATTCCCCGCCACATTATTGATTTTCACCACTGCTGCCTTCTACGTTGTTACCACGGAGAAAAAGGGTGAGTTTCGCACACATGGTGACAATAGCCGGCTTCCCCAGTATCTGACTGTCTTCTCCAGCAAAGCACCTCCAAAACCTCAAAGATGGAAAGATCCCCGTCGAAATCTTTACCGTCCATATGAAACAACCCGAGACGCGAACCCAAGCCTTTGAGAAATGCATCGATATCATCAAGAATGCCGGAAAGAAGGTTGGCATCATCCCGAAGGCCGATGCACACGGTCCCTTCGTCGACGAATGGTTCAAGATGTATGGCGACCTCTCCAAGGAAGTCGAGGAAGTGGACGTTTCAGGCGCCTTCTCTACTGCGTTCGCTATCAAAGACGAAAATGAGCTGAGAAATATGCGTACCGCAGCCCGGGCGGCCAGTGGTATGATCTCAGACTACTGGGTTGATGAAATGTCCAAGGTGCTTGATGACGAGAAAAAGGTCACCCATCGCCAGCTATGTGATAACATGTCGAAGAAGATTGATGATAATAAGTTTTTCAACAAGATCTCCAAGTTGCCGGGGGATTTTGACAACCAGCAGCTGGATTGGGCATATGGGCCTATCGTCCAGAGTGGGGGACAATATGATCTTCGACTGAACGCTCAACCGACCAACGACCATCTTCATTCCGGTTGCATCATTGCTGGGGTTGGATTCCGATACAAGACCTACTGTTCGATGTTGGTACGAACCTACTTGATCGACCCGAGCAAATCGCAGACGTCGAACTACAAGCTTTTGCTTGCTGCGCATGACGCCGCTTTGAAAGAGATCAAAGAAGGTGCGCTGCCCAAAGACGTCTACAACAAGGCTCTGGGCGTCATCAAGGCTCGTAAACCTGAACTCGAGAAGAACTTTGGTAAAGATGTGGGTTCAGCTATCGGTATCGAAGTCAGAGATTCAAAATTTGTCCTGAACGGCAAAAACACCAAACCTCTCAAAGATGGCATGACATTCAGCGTCACCACCAGCTTGTCGGATCTTACCAACGACAAACCTCAAGATAAGAAGAGTGGCAATTACACTCTTATTCTGACAGACACAGTGCGAGTGACCAGGGGGGAGCCGGTTGTTTTCACGAAAGAGGCACACACCGACCTAGACTCGATCGAGTTTTACTTTAAGGACGACGAAGAAGAGACAAAGCCGAAGCAGGAGAAGGCTAAGAAGCCCGGCGCTAGCGCTATTGTTACATCCAACATCAAGACGACTCGTCTCCGAGGAGCCAATCGGCAGGACAACGCCAAAGAAGAGGAAGAGGCACGCCGAAGAGAGCATCAGAAGGAATTGGCAGCGAAGAAACAGCGTGAAGGTCTAGAGAAGTATGCCGAAGCGACTGGGGATATAAATGGCGAGAACGAGAAGAAGTTCAAGAAGTTCGAGTCATATAAGCGCGAAGGGCAACTTCCTCCACGCGCCAAGGACCTGATTGTCTGCGTGGACCTCAAGGCGTCGACCGTGATTATCCCCATCATGGGCCGACCGGTACCATTCCACATCAACACGATCAAAAACGTCAGCAAGTCTGATGAAGGCGAGTACACGCATCTACGCTTCAACTTCTTGTCTCCAGGTCAAGGTGTTGGGCGCAAAGACGACCAACCTTTCGAGGATCCTCAAGCACACTTTGTCAGATCTTTGACCATACGCTCCAAGGATCAGGATCGCCTCTCAGAAATTTCGGCGCAAATCACCGAACTTCGGAGGTCAGCTGTTCGTCGAGAACAAGAAAAGAAGGAGATGGAAGATGTCGTGGAGCAGGACAAGTTGATCGAAATCCGCAACCGTCGGCCTATCAAACTTACAGACGTCTATCTTCGACCTGCGCAGGATGGCAAACGTGTTCCCGGTGAGGTCGAAATCCATCAGAATGGTCTTCGATACTCATCACCCCTCCGTCAAGAGCATGTCGATGTGGTCTTCTCCAATGTCAAACATTTGTTCTTCCAACCTTGCGTCGGTGAACTGATTGTGCTGATCCACGTCCACCTTAAAAATCCCATCATCATCGGCAAACGCAAGACGAGAGATGTCCAATTTTACCGCGAAGCAACAGATATGGCATTTGATGAGACGGGTAATCGGAAGCGGAAGCACCGATATGGCGATGAAGAGGAATTCGAACAAGAACAGGAAGAACGAAGACGCCGAGCCGAGCTCGATCGACTTTTCAAGAGTTTCGCGGAAAAGATCTCGGATCAAGCCAGGGACTATAATGTGACGGTGGATATTCCGTTCCGGGAGCTCAGTTTCAACGGTGTTCCGAACCGTTCCAACGTTCTGATGGCGCCGACGACCGATGCGTTGGTCCAATTGACGGAACCGCCGTTCACTGTCATCACGCTGGATGAGATTGAGGTCGCTCATTTGGAAAGAATACAGGTAAGTCAAATTCGTGGTGTGAAGTTTTTGGCTTGACTGACATATGGCGCAGTTTGGACTCAAGAACTTCGATCTCGTCTTTGTCTACAAGGACTTCCACCGACCGCCAACACATATCAATACGATTCCAGTGGAGTCGCTTGATAGAGTGAAGGAATGGCTCGACAGCGTGGACATTGCATACACCGAGGGACCGCTCAACCTGAACTGGAGCACGATCATGAAAACCGTGGCCACTGACCCACATCATTTCTTCACCGAGGGCGGCTGGAATTTCCTGGCCACAGAGACCGATTCTGAAGACCAGGAGGAGTCTGAAGAGGAAAGCGCCTTTGAGATGAGCGATGGCGAATTGGCGGCAAGTGAGTCGGAAAGTGAAGAGGATAGCGAGTTCGATGATGACGCGAGTGCGAGTGACGATGAGGGGGAAGCAGAGAGTGGGTTGTCTGATGAAGGGGAAGATTGGGATGAGATGGAGAAGAAAGCCAAGAAGGATGACAGGAGAGGTGGCATAGAGGACGAGGAGAAGGGAGGGAGGAAGCGGAAGAGATGAGCTTACCGCGAGATATTGCCTTTGCGACCGCTTTCTCAGGTGCTGGAATGGTGGCTCCGAAGCCATCGAATTAAGGGAATGTCAACGCAAGGCAATGCAAAAGCAGGTGTTGCGGGGGGAGATGAAAAGTCTGCCTACAGTTCCTATGCCGTTGCTGCTGTATTGATAATGGGCATCTATCTTCAATAGTGCTGGTTCATGAACTTTGCTTGGGGGCGCACCTTATGCTCTGCATGCTCGGACTTTGCTGTAGATTCAGTACTCGATAGAGCTTTGAGGACGACGCTAGAGGTCTATGAGAACAGGAGGCAATTGTTTGATCTGTTCCAGACCTGTTGGTCCTTGGTGGCTGTCGAGGCTACATATCTGGCGAGCTGGATCAATTGCCGTCGGCCGAGAAAGCGGAGGTTTCTCCGAACATCTCCGACCCGCTTCCCATCTCAATAGCCGAGAAGACTGTAAGACACGGAATTAGCTGGCCTTATTGTCAGACATTCTTTCTATCGGCCTTCAATTCTTTCCATCGCAGTCCATAATCCCCTGAACCAGCACCGTCAAACACATCAGTCTCCATCGATCACAAGTTGAAGTTCACGAGTCGACCCATTAATTCCAATCAAATCCAGTACAGAACAATCAACAATTCGAGGAACGAACCGAGCGAGAGGAAGGTCTCACCAGGCATTGAACACTGGAAATATTTCGGGCGCTGAGCGTTGAGGAGTGTCGTACCGCTCACCTCGCTCGCTCACCTGGTCCCCTTCCTCCCGTCTCTGTCAAGGTAAATACATACATACATACATAAACGAACAACAGACCGAGAGACAGGCAACAAGAACACCGACAGAGGACAGAGCGGAAAAATGGGACCCTCGCTACTATCCAAGTCGCTCCAAGCCGCTGGCATCACGACCTTCGCGAGCGTGTGCGCCTTCGCCGTGTGGACGAAGCACTGCCACTTCACGGCTCCCGCGCAGTTCAACCCGGCCACCGAGCCGCTCTTCCGCTCTGCGTGGTTCGCCAGGTTCAACCCGCGCAACCACGAGGCCACCTACGACGAGTGCGTGCGCCGCATCAGTCTCAGCAAGATCCGGCCTGAGCTGCTCGAGGATGCGCGGCAAGGGGGGACGAGGCTGGTCGAGGAGTTTTGCAGGGGCGTTTGGGGCGGGCCTGGTACGTTTTGATTTTGATTTTGATTTTGATTTTGATTTTGATTTTGATTTTGATTTTGGATTTTTTTTGTTTTCGTTTTTATTTTTCATGGTTTTCCAACTCCTTCCTTCCATCCCTTTTTTGCTCATGCTGGAGGAAGAGGGGTGGCGATGTACCTATCCAAGGCAAGATTCTTTGGAACGGTCTGGCTTTTTGTGCTTCCCCCCGGGGGGGGGGGGGGGGGCGAGCTGGTTTTCGCCGGCATCGCTGGCCGCGAGAAGTTGTCTGTGGCGGCGGCAAACTCGTCAATGGACTTCTGGACGGCCGTTCACATTCTTTTCACTCTTGCCTCTCTGCCTGTCCTGCTCTTGCTCTGCTCCGGCAATTCACGCACTGCCCTATTCTGCGCCTCGATCACCCATCTTGCACAAGCAAGCAAATTCTAACCACCCGTCCCCCTCCAACCCCCGCCCTTTCTTTTGCTCGGGGGTTGGTTGGAGGAATCTTGAATTAAAGGCTACACAATCCAACGCCTCTACCTACAATCCAAATACCGCAACGACACCACGACGGCGCACCAGCTGTGGACGCCCGCGCAGCTGCGCAGCTCGACGTACGAGGTGGGGACCGAGATCACGGATCACTTCGTCGTGCTGGACAAGACCCCCGACCGCATCCTCATCCGCTGCGGCGACTCGCCCCTGCACAATCCGGACAAGCCCCGGCCCTCGGATGGACTGTTCGAGATGTGCGCCAAGGCCGATTTTGACCAGGGCTTCGCCGAGTTCAGGCTGAAGAGCATCTTCTACGTCGGCGAGGGCGAGTGGGCGTCGGCGTCGGCCGTTCAAGGGAAGGGAGAGGATAAAGAGGCCGCGGCGACCAAGTGGGAGAATCGCGGACCCATGCAGGGGACCATGCTGTACGCGCACAAGTTGTACACGAAGTTGTGGATGGAGAGTGCGCTGAAAAGGGTCAAGCAGTGAATTGGCGCTCGGGAAGGAGACAATTTCTGGAGACAGGACGGTCAAGTCACATTGTAAATATTGGCCTTTGATTGGGAGCAACAGAGTCATTTTTGATGGATTAATCCCCAGCTGCTGTAGTATCTGTGTTTCCCTCAGACTCTGTCTGATCAATGGCTCTGGCATGCTCCTTCGGCCCAGAGTTGTTCCAATTCCAACTCTGCTAAGCTGTTCGGCTCTCTCCATTGCTCAAGAAAGCAGTTCGTCACCATGATATCCAGGTACACCCTCCCTATGGACTTCGTCGCCTTCACTCATGAAATGCCGTGTCCAACTCGGCCCTCTTCCATTGGTGACTGCGAAGCTCTCTGTTTGATATGGTGTCAATGCATGCTGTATCGGGCATTCTAGTGTTGGTCGCTGAGCGTGTTTGGACTTGTTGAAATTGAAGCCATTCAACCAGTGTGGCGAACGTAGTAGTAGTAACCGCTGGTCACATGCTTCTCCCAATGTCCGGCCGGGAAGTCACCCTTCAGCGTGTCGTTGTATTCTCTCAACGTCCAGCTTCCATCGAGTTCCTTGCACCAGAATTGCTGGCTTGCACCGGGTTTGTAGGGTGCCAGTTGGGTTGGTTGCTGTTGAGCGGCTTGGAGGTTGGCGAGCAAGATAGCGTTCTGGGCTTGGATTTCTGCAGCAGTCGCTCCCACGAAGTAGGCTGGTGCATTGGGCATGGCAGCAAGGGCAGCGTTGGCAGCTACGGCGGCGGCGGCGGCTTGTGCAGGACCCGGGGCTTGAGACCATGGCGAAGTGAGTGGGAACTGGAGGGGACTTGGTGCTGTATAGTATGGTGAGTAGCTGTACGGGTAGAATGGGGTGCTCGATGTAGAAGTGGCAGGCAAGGTGTAGCAAGTGTATGCAGAGGAGGTGTAAGGCCAACCAGTTGAGGCAGTAGGAGGGCTCATGCCGTAGTAGAGGCCATTCACGTAGTAGCCGGCTGGGGCACTCGAACTGCCCTAAAGTGAGGTGTCAGTGAGGTGGCTCTGTTGAAAGCAATAGAGTCAATGACTTTGCTTACTGGGAAATAGTACATGGCTGGTTGAGCGGGTTGGTTCGACTGGTAAACGGGTGCTGGTGGATGAATTCCCTGTGCACCTCCTTGATTAGACACGTAGAGATAGGTTCGAGGCCAATCCGCCGGGTTCTCCCAGTAGCCGGTGGAGCCTTGCGTGTTCACGGCCGAGGGATTGGGAAGTTGGTAGGTGTAGAAATGGGGCATGGTTGGTTGTGAGGGCAGCAAGAGAGAAGGATTTTGACTTTGGTGGATAAGACCCAAGAGAGATGGAGAGAGGTGAGCGAAAGATCTCAGAAAAGGATTTCGATATTGACACAAAATTCACTTGCAACGCACCTGCCGATTGTCTGGATAGAAGCCGTGGTTCTCGTCGAGGAAGATGTACTCTTGCTTGACGGGCTCAGCGGCAAGTTGGACAGAGTGAGCCCATGGCCACGGGCCGCAGGAAAAACACATGGCGGAGATGATGGTGGTGGTGTTAGTGATGAAGCCCAGGAGCTGGAAAGATATGGCACGACGAAAAAGATGTCGTTGACTGCGCTCAAGGAGCTGGAGATGAAAGGAATGAAATGACTGGGGACGAGGAGGGACTGGCAGACATGGCAGATGTGGCAGAGCGCAGCCATCAACTTTGGAACTGGATGAAGGACACGTTCAACAAGGTCAACAGGCTCAACAGGCTCAATAGGCTCAATAGGCTCAATATGGTCATCAGGCTCAACATGGCTTCCTTCAATCAGTCTTCACTTCCCGCCGCTTGGTCTTCATGCGACGGAGGCCCCTGCCAATTCTTCTCCCATTCGTTTTCCCATTCTTCTCCATTAACTCCCTCCTGCTCAATCGGCCAGGCCCTTAATCAAGAGTCTTCACAGAAGCCAGAAAGTGACATTGAGTCTCTTCGCTTGTTGTGCTCAAAGGCCAAGCAGTAGATCTGCTATTGCCACGCTGTAAAGGTGATGCTCCTCGCCCTTGTCCTGTCTCTTCCTTTTTGTCTGCATCTCACCCCGACTGTGCCGATTCTTTGACTGTCGTCTTCATCGACAAAGCCGCCACATGTTGCTGAACCCCTCACACAGTCTCATTGAAATGATGCAGGCCATGACCCTAAGTCGGAGGTGTCCAGAGACAGAGAAGAGCAAGAGACGGTGGAGGTGGAGAAGAACGAGAACAAAGTGAAGACTCGCCTCGACCTCGGCCTCAACACCAACTGACGCGCTCAACACGCACCGAGACACGCTACCGAACACAAACGCGCCCAACACGCCCGACACGCCCGACACGCCCGACACGCCCGACACGCGTTACTCGTATCGATAAAGATTCTGCCGATCGACGTCATGTGCCACAATTGTGCTCCCGTTGTAAGTCAACAGATTCACTCTCCCTCCGGATCTTGCCAATCACAAGCTGAATAATACTTGGTAGTAGATACATCTATATATGGTCTGCTGAACCGCACCCCGCAAAACGACTATCCCCTCGAAAGCTTTGCGGCAACGGCTGCCTGCGTCCCAACGCGCAGGCAGCCTTGTCGAGCCTCGTGACAGACGGCAAGACCCAAGGTTCGATACACTACCTCAATCTTCGTCTTTTGATGCATCGTTGACCACCCTTTGTATGCAGCAGTCCGATTCCTCGAGGCACACCATGGCCATCAAAAGCGAGGACAATATCGTGGCCGCCCCCACTCACGTCATCGACCTCTCGCTCAAGCCAGAAGACCGCTACAAAGCCCTCGCGCAGACATACAAGACCGAGCTTCGAGGTCTGACAGCTTTATTCAATAGCCTACTCAGCGACATTGGCCTCTCCAGGCTCTATCATGGCCCGATCAATCTTCTCACCCGATTACTCCTCCGAAGCCTAAACTCTGCTGTGGAGACGGCCGAACTTCGTGGGATAGCTAAGGTAACCGGGGTCCCGATGCATCTGCTCGTCAGCTTCAATGTAATCTTGGATTGTCTCATGGGGTGCACCTCAGGCGCGGTCAAAGTCCTGGAAGCGGGTCGGCCCAAGTTACAAACCCGGATGCTGCACTTCCGCACCCTGGACTGGTCAATGGACCCCCTCCGATCCATCATCGTCCAGCTGGAATTTGTTCGAAGCAGGTCCGCAACGCCTGGCCGGATTGTCGCTCGAAGCGTCACATATGTCGGTTTTGTTGGCATCTTGACGGGGATCTGTGAAGGTTTGAGCCTGTCTCTCAATTTCCGGGGTGTACACAATGCCGCGAGCAGGCGCGACCACGCGAAATTTTACCTTCATCATCTGCTCGTTCTGCTTGGATACCGTCAATCAATATCAAGCATTCTGAGAGAATATATAATATCGGAGGATCCAGAAGACGATCAAACCAAGAGCCTCGAGGAAATCTCGGAAGAGCTTGTGCCCCGGCACACCACTGCGGCGTACCTCCTCTTTTGCGACGGCTTGTCGACGATGGTCATTGAGAAGGATTATGAGACCGGCGTGGTCCGACGATCCAATACCTTTATCGGTGTCACAAACCATGATGAAGAAGACTGCGGGTTATCGACCGAAGCCACCCCTTTTACGGGTCAAGTCTCGGCCAAGTCTTCTGGAGTGAGAGCTGGAATGGAAGCAATTATTGAGGAGAGCAGGGATAGACTCGACGCTATTGCGCTGAGATGGAGAGCTTGTCTGCGAAAAGCGAAAAGAAAGTCGAAGAAAGAAGGGAAGGATCCCGCCCAAGTCGAGCAGAATCTCGCAGTCACAACGGACGAGGTGATTGAATGGGTGGCGTCGTATCCAACGACGAACGAGCAGACTCATTTTGCGACCATCATGGATCCTCTCAGCGGGCAGGTGGTTTGGACACGGATCTATCCCGAGCCGAGTTGAAGGCCACTCCAGACTCTGTGCCATGCACCCCGTCCTTGATATGGAACAATCAGGTGGTGGCGTTTGGGAGCACTCGGTCTTCGATGGCGGACTCGGGCTGAGCGCCAGAATGGAAGACATCATTCATTGATTTTTGCCATGGGAAACAGACCCGGACGCATAATGAGGGAAGGGACGGTTCGAGTTTGCTGCACCAATACCCCTGTACGATTAGGTGTCTTCTGGAGCAGTCAATCGCCTAGTGGCAGGCAGACAGACAGTTATAATCGAAAAGATTTAAACCAAAGTTCCTTGTAGTTGATGATCTTGTCCGGATGGCGCCGAGTTTGCCTGCTTTGGCTGGGATGCATGACGAATTGACTCTGGATGAAGCTTTTTCCATATATAGAAATATGGAGAAATGGACATGCACCACACACACAGAGCATCCCTTTACTCTTTTTCCTCCACTGCCACCATCACCACCATCAACAACATTGACTACACCGGACATGTCAAATCACTCACTCGTCCACTCACTGGCTTGCCTAAAGGACCTTTCTCCTACCGTAATTGCGAATGTCTTGGTTCAATGTCGATCGCTTAGGTCAGTGAGTGTGCAAAAGGAAGCGTTGCCTGCCGGGTCTATCAAGACTCGCTCAACTACCGCTCCTTCATCTCTGCTTCTTCTTCTTCTTCTTTTATTTCTCATATTTCTTCTCTCTCCTTCGTGCTATCCATCTGTCAAACAACCTGCTTCTTTTCCTTTGATCTGACATCCAAATTTCCTCAACCCTCCTTCTCCATCTCAGTTTTCGTTCGTTCCACCACTTCAGACATTTATTGACCCAGACCCATTATTTGCCATGGCCCACATGATCCTGTCATGCCTATCTCTTGCTCTGGTGTCCATATCTTTACTCGCCACAGCTATGCCGGTTCCAGAGCCGTTGGGCACAGACTCCATTTCGCAAGATTCGCTCCTCGAAGCCTGGGTGGAAGGCCACCGTCCCGGAAAATACCTGCCTTGCACAGCGGATAGACTCAAGGTCCGCAAGGATTACGACTCGATGACTCCTGAAGAGCGCAAAGCTTACACCGATGCCATCAAATGCATGGCAACCAAACCGTCCCAACTTGACCAAACCCTCTACCCTGCAGCCACCAATCGCTACATGGACTATGCCGTCATTCACGTCCTCCGAACAAGACAGGTCCATCTCTCCGGCTTCTTCCTGACCTGGCATCGCTATTTCTTACATCTGTTTGAGGAAGATTTGGCGAACGAGTGCGGCTACACCGGCGCCATTCCCTACTGGAATTGGCCTGAGACTGCAGACAATCTTCATGACAGCGCCATCTTTGACGGGTCTGAGCATTCCATGTCTGGTGACGGTGAATACCGCGACAGCGGTCCTGTGGTGCTCTCGTCGAGCTTTCAGCTTCCACAAGGATCGGGAGGAGGCTGTATCACTTCTGGCCCTTTTGCTGATTGGGAGGTGACAATGCAGCCTATCCCCATCAACTACATTATCCAGGGACTGGAGCTGCCTCCCACAGCTTTCGAGCTCAATCAAAGCTGCCTGACTAGGGACCTCAATACCTACGCCGCTCAGTCTTACACGAACTACGATGCGCTCTACCAGTGCTTGGAGACCGAGGACATCGAATCTTTCGACGCCCAGATCAACGGTGTGCTCGGCGGTGGTGAACTGGGATTGCACTCTGGGGCTCATTTCGCGGTGGGGTCTCCTGCGTCGTCAATATACGTCTCGGTCATGGATCCGGTGTGGTGGCCTCTCCATGCATTCTTGGACAACGTGTACGCCTCGTGGCAGAACCGCCACCCTCTGATTGCAGATGCCGTCTATGGTACCGAAACTGCCGTCAACGTTCCACCGAGTGCTGATGTCACGCTCGACACGATCCAGCCGGATTGGGGATACTTTCAACAAGATCCAATTGCCGTGGGAGAACTCATCAGCACGACATCCGGGCCATTTTGCTACGAATACGACGTTTCGTTTTGATCGACCATCTTTCGACTTCGACTTCGGCCAGCACGCAGCACAACTCTGACGGCCGCGACCTGCAACATTATGGCAAAGTTATTGTGTTCGGATTGAGTATGTTTCGCCAACTAGTTGTGGTGCAATTGCTGGTGTAGTGGTCCCGCACGACTTGCATATGCTTTCCACAGTGGGGACTGTGGTATTTCGTGAGGCTTTTCCTGAGGGCATTATAAAATAGGTTCAGGGTAATACACGACAGACGATAGACGATAGACGTTGACTAGCGTTAATATCATCAGCATAGTTCCCGTACACGATACACTCGTGGCTCCACTCAACTTTCGCCGGTGTGATATGACGTCCCCGTTGTCCACTGCACCGATTACCTCCATTCTGAATTATTATTAGTAGTAGTGATAGTGGTATTAGTAGTAGCTATATCTGTTATAGTTACCAAAAGATATGACATCCTTGATAGCCTTGGACATTTTTATTGTTCCAATAGTGGGGTTGTTATGGAATAGAAGTGGCGACGGAGAGCCTCCGAGCCAGCAGCTATCGGCAGCCTTTGTAGAGATTTACGTGAGCAAGGAGGTCGTCGTCCTTTCATCCATCCATTCATTCATTTCGTCCTCCGCCACTCACTCACCTCCCATGGCAGGTCGTGTCGGTACATCTGGAGCACATCTGCCTTTCCGCATAACCAACGATCAAGTGGTCTCCATCATTTCTTCTTTTTTTTCGTCTTGTCCTCGACGCTGATCCACCGCTTATCCACACCCCTCCGGCCCATTTCCTTCTCAACCACGTCCCTCTGATCGCCCTGCACGAGAATCTCCATCACGCCCGGTTTCCCGCCGACCAACTGGCCCACGCTCGCGGATCCCGCGCATTTCTTCTGCAGCTCCGGCCCCAGTATGTGCGGGTTGATGCCGAAGACCTCCAAGCCCGATATCTTGGTCACGACCTTCGTGCCCGAGCGTTTCTCGACCACGATGGTGACTTGCGGAGGCGGACCGGGCTTGGGCTTCAATGCCGGATCGGGCGAGTCGGCATCGTAGGTTTGTGAGTTGCGGAGCAGAAGCCAGTGTGGGATGCAGAGATGGGTGTCTTCGAGGATACGTTTGAGGAGAGCGTCACGGGCGATCTCTCCTGCTGCCAGGACGCGTGTGTCGGTAGCAGTAGAGTTCGAGCCGAGGATATTGTTGGAGATAAAAGGGTCGAGTTTGATGAAGCGGGCGGATGATGTGTTTTCCGTGAGTGTTGGGTCGTTTTCGATGTACTTCTTGAGGAAGGAAGAGATCTGCGAGGAAGTGTAGTATGTTGTTTTGGAGGGGATGAGGTCAGGAACCAGTTTGTTGGAAGCCCGATAGATGGTTTGCAATGTGAGTTTCTGGCCGAGGGAGGTATCGGCTCCGCTGGCCAAAGGCTGTGTGGTGTCCACGCCGGCTGCTGACGTCTGAGCTTTTTGCTTCGGTAGTTTGTACGGTTCAAAGTTGACAACTCGGTGATCATCGAAGTCGACATCCAAAATCACCGTCTCCCCGCCATTCCGATCTTTGGATTTGACAAGCACCTGTTTCTCTAGATACTTGATAAACTTCTTCGTGTTTTTCCAAGAAGTCTTCTTGATAGTATAGTGTTGGTTCTGAAAGCGTAGATGTGGTTGTACCATATTCGATATCACGAATGACGGCTGTATGGGAAAGTCGAGCCCGTGATGTGGAGGATCGGCGGCTTTTTTGGCGTCATACAGCGCGTAGACGAATGCTTGTACAAATGCCTCATCGACTTCGGCGGTCGATGGTTCTTTTTCGGCTTCTGCTTCATCCTCGTGAGCCTCCTCCAATCCATTGTCGGCATGGTTCCCGTTTTGAGCCTCGCCCCTTGAAGTGTCGAGGTTTACACCCCCCTCTTCTTGGGCATCGTCATCCTCATCACTTGCTTCCAGGTCGAGCCTTTCCACTCCATCTTGGATGTCGCCGGATGGGAATTCCCATCCATCTATCATCTCCGGGGCAGCTCGGCCTCCACTTCCAAACTGGCTCCAACTCCAAATCTCGTCTCCCTCCCAGTGTACGCCCTCCACGGCGGCACCTTTCGCGCCTTGCACCCGGCCTAAACTCGAGACGTCGATCTTACATATGCCTACCCAAAGAGGTACAGTAGGCTTCTTCAAGCCGGCGACAGCAACAACTGATCCCGTTTTGGCAGACTCGGACCACGGTGGTCCACCAACGAGGCCGGGCGTCATCAGGTCAGCCCCGGTGCGGAGTTTCTCGACGACAAAATCTTGGGTGTGTAGTAAGGGCACTATTCCCGGGTTATGCCACAGCGTATACACGGTTGGATATAGCCTCGCATCTTTCCCATATTGAATCCATAGTATCCTCTCTTCTTGACCAGGATGTGCACCCACGTACACTGTGCCCGACACTAATGTTGCATGGGGTCCGGCGTGAGTTGTGAAGCGCGCGGAGAGGCATGTCTCAGGAACAAGGCTCGTGCGGACGGAGGTGAGTGCCGGGGTAGGATGATGGATCGAGGAGGAAGGCGGTGGGTTCTCTGCCGTGGCTGCGGTGGGATCGATCTCTTCCAGGGTCGGCACATGTACTTGGTAGTCGGCGATGATCTGGTCGGCGAGTTTGCGGCGATCAGAAGATCGGAGGGGCGAGAGGTTCTTGATCTGAGGTTTCTTCTTGAACATGTTGGAAGGAGGAGATGCTGGCGAGACCCAAGGGTTATAGAGAGGGATCGAGATTCACGAGCGGATGGATGTTTTGTGCGGGGAGGCGCACAATGTGGAATGAGATTAAGCGATCTGGTACGTGGGAGGAGTGAGAATCCACCAGACTCGAACTTTTGATGTCTCCGCCTGCAGAGATTCCAGAGAAGTAAACAGCAACAAGATAATGAGTTCCAGCAGTTGAGTCACCACGACTAGAAAGTGTGGTGTTGGAGTTTCACCCACCGTCGCCAAATTTGGAGGAGGGGACAAAATACGTCATTTCAAACTCACATCAAACGCCACCAACTGAGGACTGCTCAAGACGGCTGCACGCCAGACGGGGTTTTTACAGGTTAGGTATACATACGACGATGAAATAGGTACCGACTCCCCTTTACCGCTCCCCAAGTCACCTCCGTCTCAATGACCGTCGCCCTCAATTCAGGAAGCATAGATCCCGGCCTTCTTCTGCTGGGCCTCCTTCCACCAGCTGTCTGCATTCTCAGAGATGCCTGGGGGAACAATGTGCTCTCTCAGTTTGCGCTTCCCTGGCTGGTCGATGCTCAACGCGTCGTTCCTCTCCTTCATCGCCTCGTCCACGTCAAGCTGCTTGGCCTCTGTCAAAGAGCCCATCAGTGTCGGTGGGCCTAGTGGCAGTTCGTCGCCTCTGTCGACCTGCCAGAAGTGGTACAATTTGCCGTAGAGAGTTGCGACCTCCTCCATGGCTTTGGTTTCCAGATCGTCCCACTTGTCCTTTTGGCGCTTATGAGACTCGGGATAGGGGAGAACAAGCATGCCGGATTTGACCTCGAACTCGTGCGAGTGCCAGTACTTCTGTTCTTCAGGGTCTAGAGCCTCATAACGAGCTTTGGGGATCATGAACTCCACCCCGATGAGTCTGGCTCCAGGTTTGCACGAGTCGTAGATGAGACACTGTCGAAGATCTGCAAAAGGGGGTTAGCAGTCGGGGGAATTCGTCGCTGTGCTCATTCAGGGGTTTGCACTGACCTTTGCTCACATGCGAGCAAAAGTGATGCGCCGAAACTGTCCTCACAACGCCTTGTCGAGCTTCATCGGTATAGATGTGAAGAGCATGAAGGTACTCGCAAATGTTGTGCAACGGCTTCATTTCGGGCTCTGTGGTTCCTCGCACATGAGTCTGGATTCCCAAATACAAGAGCCACGACTTGAACCAGGCGGTCGGGCTGAAATGAAGCGCCCATGAGGCGAGTCCAGAGAGACCTGGACCGACGACTTGACTTGAACTCATGGCTGATAACGCGGCGTGCTGTCTCTGTGTTTCTTTTTCCAGATGGATAGATCCTGTAAGAAGAATAAGAATAAGAAGAAGAAGAAGAAGAAGAAGAAGAAGAAGAAGAAGAAGAAGAAGAAGAAGAGGAAGAGGAAGAGGAAGAGGAAGTATGATGGAGAGAGGTGCCCTACGAGTGAAAAGAAAGTGATATACATCGCCATCTTGAAGTATTCGGGGACTGATGTCACACTGCGTCCATGTTCGGTCAGTATTCTTGGTATGACCTCGCCTGGTCGTTCATCCTTGCCGTCCATCGGATGTCGCTCTTCTCCATCATTCCCCTCCGTTCTCTGGTGCTCTTATCGCTCTGATGCTAAAAGAGAGAGCGAAACGAAAAGGTGCTTGCAGCTGATGAGAGGGCCATTGATATATGTATGACCTGTTCGAATCTGGATTGATCCTCGCCCGGCCAGAGCGTCGGATGCGCCTCCCGATGTGGCGAGGGAGGCTTATACAGTACGTGCAGGCGGGGATCTAGACGATGTACTCCCTACCTCGTACGTAACACTGGAACACGAAGAACACCGCACAACACTACTGGGTACTCGGTACCTAGATTGATTACTCGCGAACGAGAAACCTAATTCCGCATCTACGGTTTGATCCTAGAGACTGAGCGAATGCCGCTTTAACCTGAGCAGCCCCTGAGCAAACACACCGGGGGCCTAGTGGCCCAATCTGGCCCCTTGCGATCGGCTATACAGTACTTGCCTCTCGGCTACGCATCTGTTTCAGACCAGTGTCGGGGAACGCGGTAGATTCCCTACCTTTACGCCGCTGCCTAAACTGTTTTAACAATGAAAGGGGTTTGTGTTCATCAAAACCGACAGGATCATGCCTGCATATAAAACGGCCCACGAAGAATGCCTAATGTGCCAATCTTGGTCCGCCCGGATTCGGATGCCGAGAAGCGGACCAACTACATAAGCAAGTTGTGGGGGTACGAGTTAAGACAGCCCTTGGACAGCTAAAAGCTCCCGACGACTCTGATTCGTCCTCCGAGATGTCGACGAACGTGGTCACATACGCCTGATATCAATCAGCAGTCATTCGTCATCCTGCTTTCGACAGTGATCTATTTATTCGAACGTTAGATATTCTATCATGATTCAAAGCAGAGGTATCAACATCTGGCTCCTTTGCCAGTCCTGTAATCGTTTGAGAATATACCAACTCGAGCATAAACCATTGGAAAAAAACTTTTTCTCAAAAGAAGATGGCGAGACTTCCAATGGTTCGTCGCCCGTCGGATGGTTCTGATATTCCCGGGGATCCTATGCCGCTGATCAAATAGATGTAGCGGGACTGGTCGTAGAAGTCCTTGGCTTAGAAGTCTTTGGCCGGCGAGTGCTGGTAAAGACGAGCTTGATGGTCCGGGTTGTGGTAATCACGAATAGCAGCCATTCAAACGCTCCAAAGACTGTCGCCGCCTTGACCGACCCACAGCGGTTCTCTTCTGCCGGACATGCATTGCTCCCTATGTTCACAGCCACAGCAACGAACCCAGCAAGCCATGAGAGGAGAGCCACAGCCTCGACGGCGACACGAATATAGCCAATCAATGTATGGTCCGCGAAGCTGATTCCGGCAATGAGGAGGAAGATGACGCCCAGAAATGTCCACGCAGCACAGAACATTAAGAAGCCCCACGCATCCGGGACGCCGTAGTAAACGTAGAAGTTGCCGTACTCGAAGTGTTCGTAGACAGTGTGGCCGCGAAACACGTGGATAGCTAGGCGATGGGGTCAGACTCAACGGTGCGTCGACAGAGGAGGGCACATTAGTTCTCCGTACCGTAGCCGTCTGTTCCCATCACGATGATGGCGAAGAGGAGCTGCAGCGCTCGCAGGGCAAAGTCAACCGTTCCATTCGCCGCTATGTTCATGGCCATGACGTGCAGCGATCCCTTGACCGACATCGTCGTTTAGCATAGAGAACGCTGTGGAGCCCACAATTGCTGTTCAAAGAGGGCACGGCCGTCTTTCGTACAATCCAATTCCTGAGAAATGATGCCCAGTGCTGTATGGCGCAAATACACCCAGTTTTGCCGACAAACGCCGAGAGCGCACGAGTTTTGGGAATTCGGGAGGTAACGGGCACGCCGAACAACGAAAGAACTGAAGAACACGGCGAAGAAGAATCAATGGAAATCTGGGCTCAGGGAGGAGCTGATAGCTTATTGGCAGCGAGGGCGAAGGCCAGGCAACAGAATTCTTAAGGTGGATGTGTTGTCAGGCCAGTCCAGAAGTAGGAATTTTCTTCGCGACGGACTCAGCTGTAGGGGTGTTAATCTGTCAATGACACCATCTGGTCAGTGTCGTACTCGCTACTGCGTATGGAGTACCCGACAGAGAGCTCATAACTGGCGTCAATCACCGGTCCACCTTCAGAAACAAAACTGACAGGGGCACCACGAACCGGCACGAGCACATCAAACAACGGCGACGCTGATCAAAGGCCCGAAGAAGGAACATCTAAAAAAGTAGATTCGTAGTCAATCTAAATCATCTTGTTTCATTTGTCACCATTTCACCTTCGTGACATTCGGTTGTTGGCTTGACACATACCTACCACAGCCAACCCCAGCGTCTGTATGTAAAGTATACCGGTTCGGTCCGGGACGTTCTACATAGGAGCAACGTGGTAGAGAGATATCCTCAATCTTTAGATAGCTAGATACAGGCTACTAAGACCTCTAGGACTAGTGCTAAGACCTCCCTAGATAACATGATATCCCGGAGAGCTTTCTTGCTGTTATACTATAGCCTGGGGATTTCGAGTTTATTCGTCTAAAGGAAAACAAGATTGATCACGTCCCTGATGCCTCCCCGTTCCGATACTGCGCATCATGTTCGTGTCCTTGCATACTTAACTTCATTGCCTTCTGCAAGTCTTCGTCGTCGTGATCCTCTATCGCTGTGCCACGGCCCTTACCTTTGCTCTGATGGTATACTTCCAAGAGGCTTTGCTTCTTGATGTATTCCATCACAATCTCTTCTTCTGTCCTCTCTTGTGTCGTTTTCTCCCTCCGCTGTCCCTGTTGTTGCGCCTCGAACTCACTTTGCCTGGTGCCCGCGAGATGCCCTGGATCATACGAACAGGGTCGCTGGACGCTTGGTGACCCACCAGTCACGGCTGCCGCCTTCTTCGCCATCTGTTCGGATTCTCTTATTGCCCGCTCGAACTCCTCATCATCTTCCTCGTTATCGAGACCCATATTCGACTCCCATTCCCTATCGCTACCGCTCTGTCTCTGTTCCAACACACTCTGCCCCATGACTCGCTCCAGCTGTTTCTTAAATTCTAATGCTTCGCTTGCGTGTCGCTGAGCTTCGTTTCTGCTGGCCGCTATCGCCTGGTGCAGGTTCTCCTGCTCTGCCTGATGATCTGTAGCTTCTCGTTGTTGGCACTGAAGCCGAGACACGCCTTCCTGAATCGTTCGCTCCATACTGGCATCCTCTTCTACGTCTCTACGTGACGTCTCCTGGACTGATAGTCGGATGGTTTCGTTGATTTCAGCCGCTGTTCGCGATTCGTCCGGGGACGGTGAACCACCCATGGCGAGTATGGCACTCTCGGGATCTTGTGTCGGAGCATCTGCACTGGCGGACTGAGCGGAATCCGCGGTATGTCCGCAGTTTTGGCGGGCCACTGTGTCCTCTAGGTTCTTCTTACGCTGTGCTTCCAGGATATCTCGCACCATCTCGTCAGGGTTGCGGTTTTTCTTTAGGTATTTCTGGATCAGCTTCCACCGAACGATGACGTCTTGCTTTTCTGCATCGGAGCTCTGCAGCCACTCCTCGTATCCTTGAGCGACCCTGGAGGCGACGATGTAGTTCTGCACATTGCTGCCGAATAACTTCTGCACCTCTTTTTGTACCCCCTTCATCGTGTGACCGAGGATACCAGAGAAGCCTGCGAATGGTTTGGTTGCAAATCCTGCAACCCCTTTGCCGATTCCTTTGACAAAGCCGCTAGCACCCTCTTTCTGGGCGCCTTTCCAGGGCTGAGTGACCAGGCCAGTAACGCCATCGTACCAGCCAAAGCCAAACTCTTTTCCTGCTGCCACGGCGCCTGACTTAAAATCGCTAACTTGTTCTTGAGGGCGCACGGTATCGTCTCCCCAAAGCTTGGGGAGATTGTGAAACCCTTTGGTTAAACTCACTGAGATCTCTATGGGTGTCTGCACAAACGCCTTGACGAAACGCCCAAGGCCTTTGTTCGTGTGCACGCCAGTCTGAGGCAGCATGTCATGGTCCTTGCCGAAGGCGGATTCGTTCCGACTGCGGACTCGACTTCGGCTAGCGTCGTCTTGCTTGGGACTCAACTGGCCTTGCAATGCATCGGGCATAGAGCTTGATCCGATGTTCGAAGTGGGAGATGACACACCGGAGAGGTTGGAAGGGCTCCGAACACGAGCATGAGATCTCGGCGCATTCAAGCTCGTCTGACTGTGTTCTGGCGAAGTTGGCGGAGTTGATCTTTCTCCCGCATGTGAGGTCTCGCTTCCCCTTGCGATTGTCAGCACTGATTCTTGGGACTGCTGCCGGCTGGATCCAATCGGAATGTGTAAAGCTTTCACCATCTCCGAGGGAACCTCGACTAACCCCATCGCCATGCCGTTGAACGCCCTAAAACATGCCGCAGCACCTCCGGATATTGGATCCCAAGGACCTTCGTCGGTGTGATATTCTTGTGGTCTAAAGAGCTTCAAGTCACGGAAATCCAAAAGATTTGCATTCGCCAAAGTACAGGCAGCAAAAGCGCTTACCCTGACCTGGGTGCGCTTGATGCGCCACGCAGCAGGTCGAGATGGTGCAAGAGTGCAACGGAGTCGGTCAGCGTCGAGATATTGATGGAAAGACTGAGCGCCCATGTCGCTACCTCGCTCGGCCGCGATCTTGCTTGCGAGTTCTTTGGCGCGTTCCAGGCTTTCGGGCTTCAGGCAGAAGTTGATGGCATCGGCTAGTTTGTCCGCTGTGAGTTGTTTGTAAGGGATTGGATCGGGGCCGGCGCCTGCTCGCGCGACCATGGCGCCCCAGAAAGGCTGGTCTCCAAAGAAGGGAACGACTACGGTCGGCCGGCCTGCGCTAATGCCTGCCGCCGTGGTTCCTGCGCCACCATGGTGAACAACGCACGAGACGCGCTGAAAAAGCCAGTCGTGCGGCACGTTGCCTAGCATAAAGACGCCGTCGGGAATATGAAGCCCGTCCGCGCCCATGCCTCCCCAGCCTTTAGAAAGGAGGACACGCTGGCCAGTCTTCCTCACGGCCTCGAAGATGAGCTCCGTCATCGCATTAGGATCGTCCAAAACGATGCTCCCGAATCCTATGTAGACGGGCGGTGGACCGGCGTCGAGGAAGGCCTGGAAATCAGGGTCTGGGGTGTAGTTCGAGGCCAAGTTGAGAAAGTAGAACCCAGAGATGGATATGTGAGGGCCCCAGTCTTTTGGTTTAGGCATCAGCGCCGGAGACCAGCAGTAGGTGTGAGGGACTTTGAGACGGTGGAGCATCCCGGGGGCCCAGATCAGACTCACGGGATCCAAACCGAGACACTTCGCGCGAAATCGGTTGATGATATCACCTAGACCCTGCCACGAGAGGACTTCGATCATAGCATAACTTATGTAATTAGTGAGTTGAGGGTCGGCATTAGAGGATTGGATGTTGGCCAGCGGATGGGGAAAGGCCTGGGTGGGAGAATATGGCATGGTGAACATAATATGGAGAGGGATGCCCAGCTTCTCTGCGCAATGGATATGGGCGAAGCTTGGGGGGTTGGCGATGATGCAGTCGGCGACGAAGGGTCTTGCTGTAGGCTCGGAGCCAGAGTCGTTCTCAGAGGGCTCAGAAAGGCCATCGTCGGTAGCACGAAGGCCCATTCCGTCACCGGCTTCGTAACATGATCGCCAGCAGCCCTGAATGTACTCGGCAACATCCCTTCTTCGCTGACCGACATCTCCACTTAGGAGACTGCCAAAACCCGGCATCAAGCGGGGATTCTTGACCATGAAGGCCATTAGCCGGGAGGGGTCGCCACCGATGCTGAAGAATTCCAGGCCATTCTCCTGTACAAAGTCCTTGAAGTTGGGATGAGTCGCCAGACGTACGCGATGGCCGTAGGTGTCTTTTAAGACTTTTCCCAAGGCAACGAAGGGTTGCACGTCTCCGCGCGAGCCCACAACCTGGATGACGATGTTCAAGGGCGGGGGTGGAGGAACTCCCCCGTCGCCTCCTAAGGAAGGGGGAATGTAGGGGGATGGAGGCGGGCGACTATCTTGGATACTCTGGACCTCTTGACGTAAAGCAGGAGTAAAGATCTGGGACAAGCGGTGGTTGAATTGATTGATGCGGATGTTGATACGGCCGTCGTCGGTGACACGGGTACTGATGCCCAGGCCGTGCTTTTCGTTGGGGACCTCGCCATGGATCTGGCCGTAAGCAGGAGGTGGCATGTCGTCCTCGGCCGAATCGGGAGTGATGAGGTCGGTCATTTGCAGGAGGGCCTCCCGTCTCGTAGGTCTTGCGGGATCGGTCTGGACGGCAGCGGCAGCTTGTGCTTGCTGAAGCATGGATTGCTGCAAGACGGCTTCCAGGACCGGTCGGTCCTTTTTAGAGGGAGATTGAGTAGCCATGGTGTTAATGAGAGGTGACAGGCTGGGTTCACCTCAATCAGTCACGGCATCAGTATTATATCGTGGGAGAGCGACTGAGGCGAGTAGCTGAGTGAGGTGACGCGACTGCAGGGGGAGAGAGAGGGTCGGAAAGATTCTGTCATAGACAGGGACATAACTACCCAGTACCTGGACCTTGTCAATCCCAGGCGTGTGTGAACTGATCAGGGGGCTGTATTTCAGTCGACACGTCATTTGCCAATCCGTAACTCGGCTGCCTGCGAGTTATGGTGTAAGTCAACTAAATTTTATAATAATACGGATTAGGTTAGTACCAGAGTTTGATAGTTAAAGTTAGAGTTATTACTTAGGGGCTAGGGTTAGAAATGGGCTCAGGCAACGTTAATAGTAATCTACACACTGTCTGCAGACTGCGGTGTCATGGTATGAGATAGCTTCTTCCTCGCCTCACGAAAGTCGCCTCTGAGGGCGACGTGGCTTGCGAATTGATATATGATGGTGATTAAGGACTGGGTTCTTCCATCGTGAAGCAGAGAGAGGCTGCCTAGATACTGCCGCCGCATCCAGTCGAGATAGTATACAGTAATTCCGCACCACGTCGCTAGATCTTCTTACCCGCCAACCGTACCTGAACCACAAGGGCTCAGCTTCTCCACTCCTCACAAACCCCTACCTTCTAACCTCCCTACATCTGACCTCGCCGGCACATCTAGTTAGCGGTCTTTACTAGTAAGCTTTCTCGTTGCGTAGTCCCAAACACACTGACACTGCAGCCGCCGAATGTCCAACCAGTCCGAGCACATTAAGGGAGGGGGCCGGGTTGGGATCCCCCAGCATCTCGAACGGATCCCATCTTCTGAAGTTGACAAAAGTTGGTGTTGTGAATGACGAGGAAGAGGATGGACCAAAAGGCTCAGGCAGACTCCGGGAGCGCTCAGGACAGTGATCGCTCAGGGAGCAGCAGGTGAGCCGAGGGTGAGCAAAGCGGCGAGCAGCTAGTAAGAAACGGACGACAAAGGACAGGTTTTTCGTGTGAGAACACCTACCCAGTACTTGGTAGGTATGAGACGGAGAACCGGAGTGTGCCACCGTCCACCCTCTTCCTCCCCCGCTGAGGGGACGAGGCTGCGCGGTGCCCCCGGGCTCATGCCGAGAATACATACACCAGGTATGGAGTAATTATTTGAATACTCACTTCCCCCCCCCTTCTTCGGCTTGCTCTTGAAAGTAAGCAGTTCCCCCTCTCCCCTAGGTCATTCAATTTCCCTGTCATCAGAACATCTTCCTCTCCGGTCATCAAACTCTTAAACGCCCATCAAAAAAAGCACACCACAATGGTTGGCCGTCTCGAAGGAAAGATCGCCATAGTGACTGGCGGGGGTTCAGGCTTTGGCGCTGGCATTGCGACGAAATTCGTCCAGGAAGGCGCCAAAGTCCTGATTTGCGACCTGTCCGAGCAGAACGGCACCAAAGTGGCTCAATCGCTGGGCTGCGAGTTCCTGGTCGCCGACGTCACGAAACGCTCGGATTGGGAAGCGCTGCTGAAAAAGGCCATCGATGACCTGGGTGGTCTGGACATCGTCGTCAACAACGCCGGCACGACTTACAGCAACAAACCCACCGAGGCCGTCACGGACGCCGAGTTCGATCTGTGCTTCAACGTCAACGTGAAAAGCATCTACTTGTCGAGCAGTGTGCTGCTGCCGTATTTCATGGAACAGAATCGACCCGGTTGCTTCATCCAGATTGCTTCCACGGCGGGCATCAGGCCGCGCCCTGGTTTAACATGGTATAACGCTTCCAAGGCTGCCGTGAGCAACGCTACAAAAACTATGGCGGTGGAATATGCGCCCAAAAAGATTCGCTTCAATGCAGTTTGTCCTGTGGTGGGCAGCACCGGACTGTGGGTCTCTCCGTCCTTTTTTTTTTTCTTTCTCTTTCTTTTACAACTGTGTAAACGGGCCTTCTCTCAACTGACTTTGGATTTATATAGAACATCCCTTTTCCTCGGGAAGCCAGACACCGAAGAGAATCTAAAGGGCTTTGTATCGACTATTCCGCTCGGACGAGGCAACCGCAAGCTGACACATCAACAAGTCGCCGAGATTCGGGCCAACAGTTGCCGGGACTCAAGGACTGCTTAGGACAGGAAATCAGTGCTCAACGACCTCTTCTTCCTCAACCGCGTCCTGCCGTGCCGGAATTCTTTGTGCCAGGAGTTTCGGTGCTCTACCTCGACGGTCTGCCCATTCGAACTTATCTGATTGGCGGCATAATATACAATATGCAGCAGCCACCCAATGAGACGAAGAGTACTGTCAGTCGATTCACGATTGACAGGAGGTGCATCAGATATTCGCTAGAGGTCGTGCAGCAGCCCGAAAAAGCGCGAGCCTGTGGATCTGGTCCCAGATGTACGTTACCCGCAAAGCCTGGAAGATTCCAGCTGACAAGTAACAGCTTCTAACGACCGAAGACCCGTGGATCCACCTCCCGTGGTCGAGCTGAAGGTGTTTACCAACGATGTCGACACCACGATGCAATATGATGCGACATTCATGCTCTACGCCAGCTTAGAAGTTGCCCGACCTATAGCAGGGGGTAAAATGCACATACCTCCCGCCATACCGGTATTGGCCGGCGTCACCATAGCGAGTGCTGCATATCTTGAGAAACCAAAACGAGCCGCCTATTTCATCTTCCCAGATCTCTCGGTGAGACACGAAGGCTGGTATCGACTCAGATTCTCGCTCTTCGAAGGTGTGAAACACGATATGGATGCCGATCACGGGAAGCCATTTGTCCGGACCCAATCAGATGGAGATAATTTGACTGCACCTGTTCGTCACGAAGGCGTCTTCAATCGCATGGAAGTGCTGTCAACACCGTTCCAGGTCTACAGTGCCAAGAAGTTCCCAGGGCTCAATCAAAGCACAGCCCTGAGTATGATGGTGGCCGACCAAGGTTGCCGAGTTCGCATTCGTAGAGATGTGCGACAGAGAAAGCGACGCCAGAAATCTGGAGCCGACGGCGACGATGCGCGGAGTTCTTACCAAGGTACCCCCCAGGCAACCTATCGCAACCTAGACCACTCCAGATCCGCCAGCCGCAATAGCATGGTCAGTCAACTCGAGGAGCCGCCAAGACGAATTTCGCTGGATAATCTCCACGACCTCCAAGATGCTGCACTTCTACGACGCCATGAAGCCGCAATGGCGGCATCTAACTCCATCGCACCTAACCCCATGCTACCTCTACCGACGACGTCGATGCCTCCCCCATCTGCATATAGCCAGTCTCCCTTGCGCAGGCCGTCATTCGACACTCGGCCCAAGCCAACATTCGCTATGCCGACTCCCCGACCTGCGCAGCCTGCCGCACCTCTGCCGAACCCACCATCTCTCCAAAGGCCCATGACTCCAGATACCGAGAAAAGTCTCACTCTGCCACCACTCAGACTCTTCGGAGCGAGCGGGCCGAAACTTGATCCACTGGTCCCCAGATATAGCATGCCAGCACCCGCTGCAACGAAAAGGTCCTTCAGCCCTGGGTCTTACAGTCAAAACGCGTCCTTAAAGGATGGAGCTCGACCTGGAGTGCCACCTGCGCATTGTCCACCACCCCCTCCGCCGAGCGGTAACGATATCATCGAACCAGACGTCGGTGGCAATGACGACGACGATGAGGAGGCAGAATTGTTCGCTGATGCATTGATTTACACCCGTGCCGATGGTACAAAAAGCTACAGATATCGCCCAGGGGCCAGTTATTTTCGGTAACGGAGCGCAGCACCGATAAATACAAGCCTCTGCAGCCGCCCGCTCCATCTCTCTGTCTGTGCCGTAATGTACTTGGAGTGGCATTTTCTGACTGATTTTCGTTCAAATGCACACGGGCAATCAGGACACACAGGACACTAGGGTTTGGCGTCTTTCGATTTCCACAGTAAAAAGACCGGCGAGAAGCCTTTTATGCATCACCATTGCTCTCTTGGTTGCAATTGCTTCTGCACCAGACACGTCCCTTGCGGAATTTGTTTTCTTTTGCATTATCTTCTGGTGGAAGAAGAGTGGCAGAGGTGCACGGAGTGGAAACACGACAATCGAAGTGGTCTAAGTCGGCAGGAGCTGAAAGCGGACGGAATGTCATTCCAGATACAAGACTGAAGAAAGACGCCGCAGTGATCGCAGAGCGGGATTGACACTAGTTACACTCGAGTGTCAGCGCTTCGCATCCTGCCAGCTGGGTCGTGGGTTTTGGACCAGACTGAGGAGAACCAAGCTGGGAGCGTTTTGTTTTGGGGTCTCGAAATATATGAGAAGATTGGGGAATGATATGTTTACTTTTACCGTTCTGAACATGGACAAACTGGATTGGCCATGACGGTCCATAGGAAAATGCCCCCCAGCATTTCCCATCTGGTATAGCTGAACAGAAGCAAACTTTGGCGCTTTACTCACTATCATATCTAACTCGATATTGCATCCTCTTTTCTGTGCGTCATTTTGTAGGTTTCGCCTAATTTTGTTTTCGGTTCTTTTTCTCTACGTAGGTCAGGTTAGGCTGGGTCGGATGGAGGAAGGGACATATATTAATATGTAGTATATACGGAGTATTTACAGCTTATGTAGTAGTGTCCATCTCCCATTTCGGCGTGCTGCTATTGTTACTATAAGTACGTTTATACTCTCTGGCACGACTCCAGGCATATAGCTACCTGCTTAAGTATCATATCGTATCGTATCACAACACATGACGTCATACCGTGTCATGTCATGTCATAGAATCCAACATACGTGAAAAGCCTACAAGAGCCCAGAACTATTCTTGAATTTCCAAGTCCTCGCAGCACAGCCAATTTGGAAATCCTCCAAATCCCTACTCTTAGACGAGCTCGCCCATCATTTTGCACTCGACATCCTTTTTGAACTTCGCAAACTCAGCTAGATCCCGATTCTTCTAGGCCGCATATTCCTTGAGCTGCATGCTCTGGAACTTGCGATTGCGTTCATAGACGGTCGCCGTTATCCTAGCATCAGGACCTGAGCCGACCGGGACATATCTATCATCGTGGGTCTCTCCATCGATTGAGTAATTGAATTCTTGCTGGAAGCACGTCTTGCTTGACAGCAGAGGAAGTCACCCTCTTTTATGTCCTTTTCGACCTCTTTTTTGAATTTGTCTCGATTGGACTTGCTTTCGCACTTCATCTCAATGATCGTGGTGCCTATCCTCTCCAGAGGAATACCTCTCCGGTAGCGAACGATCGTGAAATCGGTTTGCTTTTCCTCTTTTGTCACCGGGTTTTTTTTGGTAGACGGCCTGCTCGCGCGAGACCTGGTCGACGAAATTCTGGGTTTTATGGTGGTGAAGGAGCTCTTCGGTGTGGTGTTCATCAAGAACCCGAGCGATCTCAGCCTGCACCCAGGATTCCCACCCGCCTTTCGTGTTGTACTTTTCGATGATTTCATCCACCTTCGAGACAGCCCACTGGTGGATGACGGGCCAAATTTCAGTTTCCTGAGTGTCTAATTCTCGTTCAGCCATGTTGAGCTGGCTGGACGAGAAAGGAGCACCTGAAAGAGGGGGATGGGTCGTGAGGTTGAAGCTGTTGCGAAGCGCGAGTCGAGAAACACGTTGTAAGGCTACATCGTGCTGATATCCCATTGCTGGTGTATATTTGGGCACCAAGATGGAAAGATTGTCCCTCACGGACCGGCTAGAATTTTCGATCCAACGGGCAAAACGGGGTGCATACAGCGAAGGAAGTCACTCAGATAATACGGCCTTGCTACTGAAGCCGGGCGTCAGAAGTGATAAGAGCCCGCGGTTACCATTGGCAGAACTTGTCAAATACGATTGTGGAGCTGCATCTTCTCAAAGGTGCCCCGTGTAACACATAGTGCGGTAGCGGCAATCTGTTACTGCTTCCCTAACGATCAGCAAGAGAATGTAAAATACGGCTTATCCTGCGAATGCTAGAAACATTCATAGGAGTAAGGAGTTCCGCACTAGGTAGGTATGCAAGATCCTCAGGTTTTGGGTAGGATGTTCTCGAAGGGGAACGAAAGAGGATTTCTTTTGGGGGGATCCAAGTGTGAGGGCGATGGAATCGGGCTTTCATTGAGTGATGCTTGGGTGCTTACATATTTGGGAGGGTGAGCCTTACCTTGCCTTGTCCTGCCTTACTTTGCGTTTCAATGAAGGAGATGCGTTATTGCGGGAAGAGACAAGGGGTGGGTATGGGGCAACCCTACACGCCATCCTTATTTCTTTGGGGATTGCTTTCTTCCTCCCTCTCCTATTCCTACTCCCCCCCCCTTTACAGGGGGTGGGTTGACAGAAGGAAGGAAGGCGGAAGGAGAAGAAAGCAACGGGGCTGGGTTCGAACAAAGAGCGAACCAAATCTGAAGGCGGAAGACGGTTTGTACCAGTGATGCGATGGGGTACATACTAACTTGAGAGCAGAGCTAAATGTCGCTCCCTCCCCGTTTCCGCACCACAGCAGTACAATTTCCATCGCCGCAACCAAGAGACCGTTTGGGAATCGCATTGCTGGAAACGGGATGGATTTTTTTTGGCAGAATGTTGCCCTTTGTGGGACAGATCTGCGTGTCTGGGCGACTAATCAATCTAATCAGTGTTTCCAGTCGAGCAGGTTCGATGTGGTGGTGGTGGTGTTTACTTGGTACTTCGTAAGCTTACCCGTCCTGGGAATCCACAAGGACCCCCGTATACGAGTACCTCGAAGGAATGCCTAAGTATGCGCTGGGGCAGACTCCAACTGCAAACAAATGCAGGGCAGAAATCATCGGGAATATATTTTTTTCTCTTTAATTGTCGTGCCAAAGCAGGTCACACGTCGAGGCAATATGTATTGCATGTGGCCGAGAGTTGTCCACGGCTTTAACAATTCGCAATTTCAGGTGAAAGAGATGGTGGCACGGACTCCCGGTCACGCAAGGCGGTGACCCGTAGCATCCGTGAGTGGCATGGTTAAAGCTCAATATTGACCTCGACCATGTACATCTCCTGGTTGCCCCTCAATATGTTCCTATAGTACCAAGTCCCGTATTGGGTCTCAGGAAACACGCAAGACGTGTCGATCTTTGTTGGTGCGATGGTCAGATTGGCAACGTGTCCGTCTTCTTCCAACCGGAAAGTCACCTTGCAGAGATCACTGACGAGACGCAGGAGACTGGTATGATTGCGGACCGCTGCATCGAGCAGACTCGCGTCTCGCGAGCCCTTCGCCGCTATGAGACCCCGTAAGCCAATGAGCCGACCACACTTGCCTGCCGAGAAGGTCATGTTGAGGGTCGAATTAGGGGCTTTCCCACCGACTCGGATGTTGACGTTCAGAGTGATGTTCCTAGGGCTTCTGAGAATGATGTCGCTGTTCCAGTGCTCGGACACGCGGGCGATAGGGTTAGGGACGTAATTCTCGGGCTCAGCTGACAGCCACAAATGTCGCTTGGACCGCGTCAGAATCTCGCTCATATTGTCAACTTCTTTCTCCTTCGTCTCAAGGTGTTCTTCCTCCCGGGGTTGACATGCCCATTTTCACCAGACTCATCTGAATCCTTATAGAGGTCCTCTCCGAACTGGGAGCCTGATCATCTGAGGGGCCCTCCAACGCACTGACATCATTCAAAGTGAGCGCTGGCCCAGCGGTGAGCAAATCTTCAGGTACCATTCTGGCGAACGTGGGGCTGACGAACCTTGGCCACTTAGTCAGAATCCTTTGTTGAAAGCTTCCGTAGTTTCTGGCCTCTGCAAAGGTGCTCGATACTAGACCGAAGTACTTGGGTGGCATAGACTGAAGTTCGAACGATCCTGGTGTATCTTCGGTGGCGCTGATGCTAGGAGGGCAGGAGTTATATAACCTGCAGGGACGGCCCTGACGCGTGAAGCCCTCATAGTGAGCACGCAGGCAGTTGTATCTGAAAAAGCCTTTGTATGAATTCAACTTTATGCTCGAGGCGTTGAAGCTGTGTGAGTTTTCAGTGAACACCGGCTCGAGTTCTTTGTTGCTGTGACAATAGAATTTCGAAGCATCCTGACCCATGAAAGACACTGTAGACAGCCATGCACCTCGTCATTGCCCCGTCCCTAATCAGCAGCACTATGCAAAGAGAGGTGAGAATAAGGCTGTGCATGCACCAAAAAGGGCAGAAAACATACCTGTGTAGTGGTTTCATGCTTTTCTTACCATTCTCACATCCATTAATCCTTGAGAGAGGTTCAAATTCCTAAGGAGTCCTTCGAGCTCGGCGCGGGATGCTGCGGCATGCCTGACTCTTCCCCCGTTTCGCTTTCTCGTGAAATTTTTTCCTTCAAAGAGGCCACACACATCTTAGATACAAGCTTGGATCTCTCCACAAATCGATGCTTGCCAAAGGTCACAACGCATGACGTGTATATTGCCCATTGTAGAGCGTGCAACATTCCTGTATTTCATACATAGTGTCGTGGAGTCAGCCGGATGTACGGACTATTCTCCGGGCCATTAACGCCGAATGAGAGAAGGCATCCTCGTGGAGACCATATGAATATCTGGAATTTGGTGGCAAGTGATCTTGCAGTTGTTAATGCACACGCGCACCGCTCCGCAAGCCTTGATAGATTCGACATTTGTTCTCACTCCCGGTCGACCTCAGTGCAATAGTGGTCTGTGGGGGTGGAGAGCTCTCTTACGCCTAGCCGGGTTAACTGGTAGAAACAAATAGTAGGGTCTTGGTGCCAGGAAATATGGTTCGGTGAGGGAGTGCCGCAATGCGAGAGCTGGGAGCTGGGAGCTGGACGCTGGGAGCTGGACGCTGGGAGCTGGATGCTGGGAGCTGGATGCTGGGAGCGGGCCGCGATGGAAGAGATTAGTGAGCTGCAAGCAGCTCAAGCAGCTCTGGGTAACAGCTCTAGCGTTCGGCTCTTTAATCCTGCACCGGAAATTCGTGACCGTATACATGTGATTGGTCGATATTGGACATGAAACTACCAGTGCCCAGCTGCGCTAAACCATACAGGGGACTAATCGCTATGGTGATACTGAAAGCAGACTAGCGCAAAACCTCCATCCTCCTCAAACTTCGGCAACTTGCGCACCAAGACACCATGCTTCTCCGACGCCATCGACTTGTGGCCATCCATTTGCCATCATGTCGAGGGGCAATTGGTTTTCAAAAACCCTGCGAAACCAGGATGCCGACAAAATCCATCATGAGACGTGAGAATTAGCTCACGATGGCACCATATTCGTGCCAAGCCTGCCAGATTCAAGACATCATGCTAGTATCTGATGCGCTCAATCGCCGATTGAGCCCGGAACTCTTCTCCAGGTCCAGGCACCTCGAGCCTCGACGACCGGCTCACGAACCAATCACTTTGGAATTTTCGCTACCGGGATCGACTGAGAAGAGCTGCATGCAGCCGTGCCATCGAAAGGCCAGAGTCGGCCCATCAAACTATCTGGATTATGCATCTGGATCTTGTTTCCGGTAATACAGTACCCAGTACGTGCGACTACATATTTACCATCGACCGGTCTTTCGTCTCCTTGACAATTCGTTCTTCCGACAGCCTCCTCGTCAGAATATATTAATTTTAGGTTCTTTCCTAGTTGCAGGTTTAAAATGTCAGTGTCAGCGACTCGACTTCCAGCCGCCATCTCGATGGATCTACCAATTCCTCAAGGCAAGCCGTGCCAACACCCTGGTTCTCAGGCTCCCAGCACTGCTCTACGGCCTATTCTTCCACGCATGCACAACTTAGACTTTTCGAGTCCCTCACTTCAAGTTCTAGGAGGAGTCACAGCTGAACGACATGGCAAACGAAGTCGCACAAACGTTACCGTTGCTTGCGATGGATGCAAACATGCGCGTGCAAAATGCGACGGCAAACATCCCTGCATAAGGTGTTCGAAGAGATCAGCAGATTGCAGGTACGCTTATGGAAACGACCATCGTCAAAATCGAGGATCCAGCGAGGTCATACAAGCGTTAACAGCGCGGCTTAGTCGATACCAGCGCTTCGTCAACCTGCTTTGCTGCTCTTCCGCCAAGAACGCCGAGCATGTCCTCCATCGTTTGAGGTCGACGGCATCTGCAGAAGTAATAGTGACGGAAGACCCCAACCCTCCTGCCACCACCCATAGGACCTTTGCGGCGCCATTCCAGTTCTTCATGGAGAACGAGCAGGATCCGTTCATGGCCACGAGTTTGGAGGAAATATCCGCGTTGGTGCAGTGGATCGCGCAGGATTTGGACCACTTTGTGCAGCAGCGAGCACCTCCTTCTCCTCCTCCTCCCACAGAACAGTCTCCTCCGGACCAGAATGGCTGCGAAATTGCTGGGTTGAGTAGTACCACTACTGCCAAGACCGGCCTGACGGTACAAGAGTTCCTGTGTTGAGAGAAAAATACAAGTAGAAGGCTGGGACCTGGTTCCAGGCGTACCACGGCAAGTCCCGGAACTTCAATTGCCAAGGTGGTTCGAGCAGACTGAATGCATTAGACATTTGCGGCAAGGGCGTCAACCAAAACGCACTGATTGGGACGTGTCAAGACAGTATGTATCGTTCGAGCGATTCAGCGCGGATTTTAAACTTTTGGGAACTTGGAAATTCAAGCTGTTCGATGGTCATTGCACTGGATTGGGGTGCGCCCGCGTGCGATGGAGTGAGTCTTGTTGCTGGCTGAAGAGCTTTTCCCCCTGGGGCTAAGGAAGGGGGACGCCTTCGCTTCCCGAGTCCTTGCCACCGTGGCGGCGGCCCCATCTAGCACGCTCAAAATAACCACCAGGTCATGCAGGACTTTACCGTTTGACTGGCAGCAGTGATCAGCACGGCACAAAAATGCCCCCAGTCCTATTTGCACCGGACCGGAGATTCTTTGATCCAATCTATACTTGCCAGAATCTACAAAAGAAGAGAACGAAAGAAGAGAATGAAGCCCGTATTGCTTATTATTATCTAGTCTCTCTGGCGGACATCCAAAGGGGAAAAAACCATGGTACCCTCACATGGAAATCACACCATATTCAATACTACCACATAGCTAAGCTCGTCCAAGCTGTCTTGCTTCCCCCGCTTGTCTCCGTCTGGAAACCTTTCCCCCCTCCCCCTCCAATGCCACATTCAGGGAGGGACCTACCAAGTACTCTTCTCCTCTGGGCCCTTTACCTTGGTGGCGGGTCCCAGGCACGCGACCAAGGCCGGCGCCGGGGTCTGCCGTCGCTTCTTCGTTTTCAGGGCTAAGCCTTTCCTTCAACACTGTTGCTCATCATGCCACTAGATCCGTTACTATTGGTCCTAGTAAGCCTCTTCTTGCTGACGAGTCGAAGTCCGCCAATCAACATGATCAACAATTCGGCACCAAGGATGACGCCCAATGTGACCATCGCGCCAATCACGCCAGCCACAGCCTTGCTGATTCCGCTACCGTGATGGTCTGATGAGCTCGAGCTCGAGGCGCTGTCCGCACCAGAGCCATCCTCGCCCAGTACGCTGGGGCTGCACACACCGGTGGAGTTGCCGCAAGCTCTGCACCACTGGGATTGAGAGCCGATGGCGAACTTGTTCGACGAAGCGACGAATTCAGACCAAGGGATGGGAGAGCGGCCGGTGCCGAACAGGGGGAATTCGACGGGCTCGCTGATGTTCGAGGTGGTACCATTGTGGAAGTAGAAACGCACGCTGATGTCATCGGCCGAGGGGTAGGCAGCGCCGCTTCCGACCGTGGCGTTCGTCACGAGCTCCCACACAAGGCTGGAGGCATAGTCGGGAACGCCGTAGAAGTTGGGGTTGATGATGGTGAGGTTGGCGAGGCCGAAGTAGGACATCATCCCGGCATACGCGCCGAACTGAATGTTGAACACGTTCTTGCCCTTGCCGGTGATGGTGCCGTTGAGGGCCTCCACGACCTGAGCACCCATGATCGCCCCGGTCACGGCACGGATAGGCTCACTCTCGTTGTACGCGAGACCCCATTCGTGTTGGTCAGCCAGGGTGCGGAGCTGAAAGAAGTCGGCATCGTCGGGGAGCGGGACGCTTGCGTTGTGGATGCTGGCCACGTTGAGCAGGTCGAAGATGGTGTAAGCGTTCTTGAAGCTGCTCTGTGCCTCGGTGAAAGTCCGATTAACGAAGGGATACATATCCGTGTAGAAGCCCTTTGTGCGTTCCAAAGTGTCCTGATATTGGCTGCTCTGGAAGTAGTTGTTGGAGCTGATCTGAGCACTGTACATGTAAAAAAAAACACACATTCCAAAGTCAACATCCGTTGTTTTCTTCGAGACTAATCAGGGGTTTCCCATGAATTGGGCTAGGTAGTGGGTATCCTTCCCACTGATGCTTGGAAATGGACACGAAATCACAACACAAGAAGAAAAAAGGTAGGAAACTCACTTGGCGCAGTTCGTCGAGCCTTGCAGCCAGGCAGAGTTTTCGCTGTTGGCGCCATTCTGCACTGTCTGCAATGGGATAAGCTGGAAGCCATTCAACGGAGTTTGGACGACGGTGCCGTTGCGGAGGGTCTGGCTGCCCAACGTCTCGCCGACAGGCGGGTAGAGGCCCTGGAGGAAGCCCATGGCGGAGGGCATGAGGACATTGTCGGCAGGTGCAGAAGCGGTGATCTGAGACAGCTTGACCAGGTCAGGCTCGATGCTGAAGATGCGACGACTGGCATCGCTAGCAATGTAGCGGTCGCGATAGTAGGTACCGGAAGTGAAGACTTCCTGTCATATGTTGTTATCCTTTCGCTCCATCTCCGTTTTAAAACAATCGCGAATCATCACACAAGGGGCAGGGGAGGGGAGGGACAGGATTATCAGCGTACTTCGTAGCCAAGGTCCGTGAGACTGGATGGCGGGGTGGCCTTTGCAGTTCTGTCTCCGTGTCTGGAGAAGAGGTAGACGCCGAGGACAGTCTCGGCGGCAGCAGTCGAGCACGATGCCAACGAGGCGAGGAGAAGAGCTGAGCTGCGCATGGTGACAGGGGCTGTGGTGCGTGATGATCAGTAGCTGTGAGCAAACGGATCTTTCAAAACCCCCGCAATACAACACCACATTCCCACTCGGAGAACCCGATTTGAAGGCGAAAAATGTAGAAAGGACTCAGAACTATACCTTTGGGATAGTAGCAGCGAACACCTCGGATTTCACACAAGGACAGCGTCGTCAAGATCAACCGTGGGCTTCAAGGCTGACGAGGATAAAGGAGGAGGATTCAAAGAAACGAGGGGTCGGGCGCTCCTACCGTAATAAGTAGATTGTCAGCGAGAGCGAGGAGGAGCTCTTATCGCTTAGCCAGGGCTCGGGCTCGCACGACGGGCCTCGCACGAACATGTGTGGAAAAAGCAGCAGAGAAGAAAAGTTTACCCCGCGGACATTCATACATCGCCGTCGGACATGGCCGGCCCATTCCCAGTTCTTCTCAACTTCGCGATGCGACGTCGATAATCAAAAGTGGGTGTCAGTGATCGAGAGATGGAGAAACGAAGGGCCGCCCCAAGTGTTCTGGCGGCACATCTTTACCCAAGCCAGACTCTGTCCGGGCCAATGGCAGTGCCAACAGGTGAGCTCTGAGCTTCGTCAAGACCCTGAAGGTATAGGCAAGGCAAGTCAGTTCAGCTGGTGCCAGGGCTTGTCAGAACCGAAGTGGGTAGCCCATCAGCTTTGAAGCCAATCCGGAAGCTTCAGTTGCTTGAACTCTACTAGCCCAGAGGCACCAGAGGCTCACTCGGCTGACGATGCAGATGCGATGCATCCGGAGCTCCAAGTGCATTGGCGGGCTTGGGGGAGCAGTATTGTTCCCGGACTCATAATTTGTACGTGGCCAAGACAACCAGACGAAAGAGAAAGCCACGAGGATCCTGCCCCTTGATCGATGTTCGAGAATATTTGAACAGACCAAGAGAGATAAGGAAGCGAGGATCGATGATCATAGTAAAGCTGAGTGGGGGGAAGGGGAGCAAAAATACTCAAAACAAAAACAACAACAAAAACAAAAAGAGCACAATGCAGACGGCGGAACAGTCGGGGCAACCAGGGTTAATATTGACCCCTCTTTGACCTAGAGACTTGGGTACCACCCACCTAACCTCAAAGAGGATCAGGCTTCGGGGCAATGAACTGCCCTCGTCCATTGGAAGTTTACCAGAGGGCACAAATATAGATGAAGTGCCACTGAATGCCGTCATTCCAAGCCTCGCCGCTATTTCCCAACTTCCTTTGTACATTCTTTGCCATGGGCAAGATTGAGCCAAGCTTGAATTGATACTTTCATGTCAGTGTTTTGCATAGTGTAAGCTAGGAGAGGACGCCCATCGGCACACCGCTGCAATGATTCCTCATATTGGATGATCTCATGACGAGAGCCTCGAGCGTCTGCCGCTGCCTCCAGAATGCATTGTGAGAACGAACGAGAAGGTAAAGAGGTAGAGCCCTAGCGCGAATCTGGCCTTGCCAGTACGAATGCTTCTTCATTATTACTAGCGGTCGGTGCTGGTATATATATGCTGATGTCCATGAAGTTGGTAGCAGAACATTCGCTAAGAGCAAGGATGGTGCGACTTGCTGACCAAGGTTGGCCACGCGGGGAGGGAAGCGTCTGCGGGAGACGCGAGAATTAGTTGATTACAGGCGGCACACCGGCAGCAAGCACTCCCCCATACTTCGCGGAAAGCAAGAGTGATTGCCATTGCCGATGTCTCGGGGGAATGAGGAGCAAATGGGTTCCGAGACGGCAAGCGATCTCGGAGGCCCCCAAATTAGCAAATTGGTTATCCTCCACCGCTCTCGAACCCTGGTTTTCGAGACCGTCTCGGAGATTTGACTTTATTTTCGAGTTTGTGGTTCTCTGGAGTCTCTTTTGTCGTTTGTGAAACTCCCTTCCAGGTGAATAGAAGAAGCCGGTGCTTCGTAGTCGAAATGCAGGGCGTTTCAAGAGTGTTCCGTCAGGGTTTGAGCCCATCACAATCACGAATATTCCACAGCCTGCAACCGTCTTCTCCAAGACAGCTCCCGCGATGGATGTCCCGACCTCAGAGGCGAAAGCTACACCAACACCGAAGAGCGACGACCTCTTCACTGAAGACCGTTAACGACAATTTCGAAGTGATTGACCATCAATATGACGCTGTTGTAGTCGGTGCAGGGGTAAGTAAGCCTTACTTCACCGCTAGGCGTCGTTGTATTGGGCGAATCGACGCTCCTATTTCAACCGTCGGCTCTGAATCTTATCCCCCTAGATGCTGTACTTTCTTCCCCTTTGGTCAGTTTGCTGATGAAGAATTGAGGAGTAACAGGGCGCGGGACTTCGCGCTGCCGTGGGCCTCGTTGAGAGCGGACTTGATACGGCCGTTGTGACCAAATTGTTCCCGACTCGGTCTCACACAGTGGCTGCCCAGGGGGGAATAAATGCTGCGCTGGCGAAGTAAGTGAAGTTCTCGAGGGCTGTAGAAAGGGCTCAACTGACGGCTTGAAAGCATGCACGAGGATGACTGGAGATGGGTAGGTCAGAAAGACGAGCATTCTTTCCCTGCACATGAATATATCCGAGGCAGATGCTGATCATTTCATTTGCACGCTTTCAGCACATGTACGATACAGTAAGTCAACCATCGAACCTGTGGCAGTGATCTAGAATAATCTTCAAGTCACTGTCGATCTTCACATGGACACTCCAGAGTAACAAGATTCAGGTCAAAGGATCAGATTGGCTTGGAGATCAAGATGCAATCCATTATATGTGCCGCGAAGCCCCAAGAGCTGTGCGAGAACTCGAAGAATACGGAATGCCGTTCAGCCGCACCGAACAGGGCACAATTTATCAACGACCCCTGGGAGGACAAAGCCTGAATTTTGGGACTGGAGGTCAGGCACATCGGACAGCGTGTGTGGCTGATAGAACCGGCCATTCTATGCTGCATACATTGTATGGCCAGGCCCTCAAGCACAACTGCCAATTTCATATTGAGTGGTTTGCACTTGATCTTATGATGAACGGCAAGGACTGTATCGGACTGACAGCGCTTGACATGGAAACGGGGACTTTCCATCGCGTTTTTGCCAGGAACACGATTCTCGCCACGGGAGGCTATGGCCGCTGTTACTTTAGTGCAACTTCAGCACATACCTCCACCGGAGATGGCCTAGCAATGGCTGCAAGAGCAGGTCTTCCTCTGCAGGATATGGAATTTGTACAGTTTCACCCCAGCGGCATTTATGGCGCTGGGGTGCTGATTTCGGAAGGTGCCAGAGGAGAAGGGGGCTATCTGCTTAACGGCGAGGGAGAGCGCTTCATGGAACGTTATGCTCCAACAGCCAAAGACTTGGCAAGTCGCGATGTCGTCAGTCGGAGTATGAACATGGAGATCAGGGAGGGACGCGGATGTGGTCCAGACAAGGACCATATATTCCTCCAGCTGTCGCACCTGCCAAAAGAGATACTTATGGAAAGGCTGCCGGGAATTGCTGAGACTGCCAGTATCTTCTCAGGTGTGGATGTCACGAAGCAGCCGATCCCTGTTCTACCAACAGTGTAAGTCTTCCTCCAAATGCTGAAGAGATTCGAACTAACCGTGTGCTTTCTTCGGCCAAAGACACTACTGTATGGGGGGAATACCTACAAACTGGAAGGGCCAAGTGTTAGACGTCGATCCAAGCACCGGAGAAGAGACGGTTGTGAAAGGGCTGTATGCTGCCGGAGAGGTTGCTTGTGTCTCTGTACACGGTGCCAACCGCCTGGGAGCAAACAGCTTGTTAGATATTGTTGTTTTTGGTCGAGCAGCTGCCGGGCACATCGCTGAAAACAATGAGAAAGGAATGCCGCTCTTTAGAAATGGAGGTAGTGTCTCGCCAGAGACTGGAGTCGAGGGTTTCGTGGACCTGGAACACCTTCGAAATGCGGATGGAAAGAGACCGACGTCCGAACTCCGGGCAGAAATGCAAAAAAACATGCAGAACGATATAGCCGTCTTTCGAACCGAGGAGAGTTTGACGGCGGGCCTGAGAAATCTCCAACAAGTGGAACAGGACTTCAATGCAGACGTGTGCGTGAAAGACAGGAGTTTGATCTGGAACTCCGATCTAGTGGAAACATTGGAGCTCCGCAACCTTCTGACATGTGCTGCACAAACGGCCAAGAGTGCCCTTGAGAGAAAAGAGTCACGCGGCTCTCATGCTCGCGAGGATTTCCCAGAAAGAGACGATCAGAAGTTCATGCGCCATTCCTTGAGCTGGCAGAAGGACGTGGGCGAAGACATTGCCATTGGCTACCGCGATGTGATCTTTTCCACGCTTGATGAGAAGGAATGCCAGACTGTGCCGCCGAAGAAGAGATCATATTGAGCGGATGATTAGCGACAAGGATCGTGGCCGAGTGTATTTTACTTGTGGTTTGATAAAGACAAAAAGCGATAGAAAACCGCTCGTGCCGGATTGCGCTTCGATGGTATCTGCTCCGCTGCTACGGCCGGCCATCCATGTCTGAGCCGAACTTGATTTTCGAGAGCAAATATCAATCAGATCAATTTAGCTCTGTCCCATGAAATGCGCGTCCCTCTGATGTAACAAAACCGCCGCCCTCCGCCCGCTGCCAGTCGCTGTATTCCCAACCTCTAGGCTCTCTCCATGTCTGCCAGAACCTCAAGCTCGGGTCGCATCATCGGTGACCTCCTGCGAACATCCAGACCTAGCCCACCATGCGACCACCTTCGCTTCCGGCAAGCATTCTGCAAATCCCCCCGGCAGTCGCGCCATGTTTCTACGGCAGCTCCTCAACTTTCTGAGATGGAGGTTGATGCAGACAGGCCTCCGCGTTGGTCTCAAACGCCTTCAGCACTAAAGGCCCCCGTGCGTGTACGCCCACCACGGATACAAACACCTCTCAAAATCAACAAGGATCAACGCAAGCTAGATGACTTCTATGTCAAGTTTTTAGGAAGAGATGGAGACAAAATGCTGTCAGAAGAAACCAAATGGCTTGCTGTCACGAACAAGAGCTTTGACGCTGGAAGGAGAGGATTCAATGACCGGCTTGCATTTTTCGGTACGGGACTCCCCCTTTCCCGACTGCTCTCGATAGTTCGATGCTGATGGTCTGTGGCAGGCAAACGAATACTCGAGCTCCAATGCTCACTAGGACTAATCAGCGTCGCGGACGCTTCACGCTACCCAAAGAGCAAGGAACTGGATCCCTATGGCCGGCAACCGTTCGGGCACCCTGCAACCGAGTCCGTAGAGTGTCTATTGGGGGGTGCTCATCATTGGTTCACAAGTCACAAGCAACTCTCGACGTTGGCAGAACAATACGGGTTACCAGAAGTGGTACGGTGGCATCCTAGAGACGTACGTACTCCTATTGAATCCTTCATTCGTCCAATGCCACTAACCTTGCCGCAGCCCGACCGTCTTCAAGCATCTGGCTCTGAACTCGTCTACTCGCAAGCCATCCTCGCGATCATCGGCGCTTTGGCCCTGGAACAAGGTGGTGCAGTGGCTAACCAAATAGCAAAGGAGAAGGTACTCGTGCCACTTGGACTGAAATTAAACTGGAAACCCAAGGCCGAGCTGGCGCAGCCGTCGCAGCCACAAAGATAAAAAAGGGAATCCCTCTTTCTCGCATGTGTATCAACAGTTATTGGCATTATACCATCATCATACCATGTAAAGAAAATAGAAGAAATGTTTGGGGCCTCTGACACCGCCTAAGCAACCGTTAAAAAATTACTGCTCAGCCAGCTCTTATGGCACCGTCCACGAAAGTAGAACTTCGATCGGTCTCCGCGTCTCTAAATCGCAAATTTCGGCAACTGAGTAGAAACCAAAGACTGGGACAGAATGTCCACAACCTCGGGCAAAGATGCTGCATTGCACTGTCTGTTGGGCGCGTTGATGGAGGGGAAAGAAAAAGAGGAGAGGAAAGTCCGACAATTAATATTTTGTTGGCGTTGAAAAGACGAGGCTGTCGGCGGAATAATTTGGCTTGGCATTGGGGCAAATTGGGGCTAGCATCCGGTAAAATTTCGGAAAAAGATGGGACCTTAGGATCAGCGAGGCTGGGCAAGGCTGGGCAAGGCTGGGCAAGATGGGCAGCTGGGCAGCTGGGCGAGGCTGGATCTAGGCTGCTTGATTTCGGCTGATGTCTTTGCTGCAGGTGCGCGGTCAGAGAAAGTAAAGTCCTTGGGATTGATTGTCTCGATCTCAGGCTGTGGACCGCTTGCGGCTACCGAGACCGCCGGAATATGATTAGAATTGACCGCAGGAGAAGAAGCCATCTTTTTGTAGGACGGTTGTGATATAGATGCAAAGGTAACCCATAGTCAATAGCGAAAAATCAAAATCAAATACCTACGTTCAGGAGGTGGCTTCTTAACGCAGTTCTATCTGCAGCTACATGGCTTGGATGATTATCACCAAATGATTTGAGTTACACTCTAGATGAATCAAGAGACAGGCTTACCTACCATATAAAGATCCCGCTTTAGCCGCACACGAGGAAAGCGTCCATACCAGGTGTAATAGCGACGTGGAAGAGAACTACGAAAAGTATTTATTTAATATCGGAGACGGAAATCCACTTCAGATTTTAGTAGGGGCTCGCCGTTCGACTAGGGAAGGAATGGGCGGGATAAATGGGCGGGAGCTTGTACTCCGTAGTTAGCAGTGTCTCTAGCCTACCAGCCTCACTTACACTGTACTGGTAATTTACATCTTGATTTCTTGAGGTCTAAAGTACTAGAATAGAAATATCTGATATTTTCTTATCAAGAGGTTCATGCTTCTACTTCAATTGCTCAATTGCTGCCGATGCCAAACTCCTCAAGAACGCTCCCGTCTCCCCAGGCGTGTAAGCCAGATCGAGGACGAAGTTCTTCTTGACCAGCACACCTTCCAGGTGGATGTTGAAAGGTTTCTGATCCTCCTGCCTGGCAGTGAGTGTCCCCTTCAGCTGGGCAACTCTGATATCGCAGAGCGAACCCACGCTGTTGATCATCTCATTAAGAGTGACATAGACCGCTCCCTCGACTGACTTGACGGCTTCAAGACCTGCCTGAGCTGCTTTGAAGGCGATGTTGTTGTTCTTTGCAATTTCGAGGGCGCCTTCCGCCGCCGTAACGGCAGCGCTGTCGACGCTGTTCCTGAGCGTCTCCAGCTCCAGCTGCAACTTCTGGGCTTCGAGGCGCTGGGTTTCTGCATACTGGTCGTACAGGCGTTGGGCGTTGTCGACCATGGCTTTGGCTTCCTTTTCCGCCGCTTCGAATTCTCCCTGAAGAGCGAGTTCAGCGACAGAGAGCAATTTCCTGGCGTTTTCAAGCTGGTCGCGGGCCTGCTGGATCGCGTTGGCAACCATCCCCGTGACTCTATCGAAGACATTGCTGGCCCGAAGCCAAGCGTCTTTGAGATCTTTAAAGAGTGGCAAGTCCATCGTGGCCAATGCAAGGTTCAGTGCACCCTCTGCAACAATCAGTACGGCCTTGGCAGTACCCAATGCGACGCCATGAGCTGCGATCTGTATGCTCTGTGGTCAAATTAGCCCAAGACACTGCTGTTCCGCAAAGACCATACGACCTACCAAGTCCGGGCCGCGCCAGCAGCTCTTCCAATCAAGGTTGTTAAGCTGCCAAGTCAGATTGTCGATGTCTCGGCCAATGGAGTTTACAGACGCTGCCAGATATGTTACAATCACCACCCCGAGGCACCTGTGAAAGCAGCAGATGAGACACTTACCGTTCGCCCTGCTGACATCATCGTAAGCTCGCCGGATAGCATCCTCGGCATCGCCAAACTTGGCCATGAAGTCCTGCCTCTTGCGTTCCCTCTCAGATAGTGCATTGTTCTCGTCGTTCCGGCCGTTTGCTTCTTTGCTCTGTAGGGTGCTCTCGTCTGCCTTGACTTGATTCTTTTTTTCATCAACTTTCCTGTCTCGTTCTAAACGAGCATCATGGACCTTGTTTGTTTCTTGAATCTTTGCTTCCTTGATATTCTTCTGCATGGCGGCTTTCTTAGCTGAGCTGGCTTGGTCCAACGCTGCAATCTGGGCGTCCAAGGCGTCGTTTTTCTGCTTGTACACCAGGCGCTTGGCTTCTAGATTTTTCTGTGCTGCCTCAATCTCGGCTTTATATTTAGCTTCGGCATCAGTGACTGTGTGCTGTGCTTGATTGATCTTCAATTCAACAGCCTCGTGTAGCTCCTTCAGGGCTTTCTGCAACGTCTGCACCATATCCTGAATGATGTGTTGCTCGATCTCCACGTCGATTGACCAGTCTGCACCGGCGAGCTTCTTGGTCAAACTCTTTTCCTGCGTCTTGCTGACCATCTCCGCTTTTGCCTTGATTTTCAAGAGGTCGCTCCACTGAAACTGGAAGTCGAAGTAGAAGATTGGCGTCGGCAAGAGCTGCATGTGCAGGTCGATAGACGCCCGTAGGTTCAGTACCGAAATCTCAATATAGCCGCTAAGGAAGAATCTCTGTTTCTGCAAGTTGATGTCCATCTCCAAAACTGCGAAGGTGAGACCAGGCTTGTCCGGCAGGGTGACGTTGCCGCCGATTCTAAGAGGCCCAAGCTCGAAAGTCTGAAGCCAGGCTTTGAGATGGAAGCCTTCGAGGGTCAGCGAGCAGTCCATGCCGGCCTCGTGGTCGAACGCGATTATCGTGCCCTTGAAGCGGAAGCCTGGAGGATAGTAGTCGCCTGCGAAGGATACCCCTAGGCTGGCATAGATCAGGACGTCCCTGAACTCTAGGACCTTCATATCCATCTTCGAGATCTCCTCATCCATGACTGCAGCCACAAATTGGACCAGCTTGAAATAGTCCATGGACGGAGCATTGACCTTGATCAGCATATCTTTGGGATTCTCGCAGACGTATAGAGCCATTCCGTAAGCATTCTCCGGGACAAGTTCGCCGAGATAGAAGGACCCTACGATACCAGCTCCCTGAAGGAGGCCAGTGGTCGTCAACTGAACCCAGTTGAAAGAAAGGCCCACGGCAAGCTTTGGTCCTGTTTCATCATTTCCGATCAGCCGATGTCCGTCCGTGTTCACGAAAGCGAACGATAGAGTAGCTCCCTAGTTCTTGACACTCACCGATAGTGATTTCTTTGCTCAGCCCGAACGGATTGTTGAGATGTCCGGTGAAGATCCTGGGAGTAAAATATTAGCGCCGTAAAAAAAATGCCGGTTATAAAGGTAAAAGCTTACAATTCTCCAGATACTTCTGTCGGGCTAACATTTGCTCCGAGTTGAAATCGGAGCCATTCGCCTTCATCGTCGAGGCGGACTTGAAAGCCTCCCACAAAGCGCAGACTCAGGCCGCCCACCTGGAGTTCGAATCTGTCGGATCTGAAGCGTGGTCCTATATCGATCTTAGGATGGCATGAGTGTTAGTCCCGTCAATATCGGTATGTGTCTGTGGCTCACCTTCAAAGACGGAGGCAGGAAAATCGAGATATTGGGGATTTTGGAGCCTTTCTCCCAACCGATCGCGAGCTGCGTTGAATCGCCAGCTGCTGGCGCCTTGACTGCTCCTCCGGTTTGGACGTAGGGAATCTGTTCCAGCGTTGCCCACAAATAGAATCCTCAAAGGGTGTCAGCGAACCTTTTCAGCCCACGGCGGATATAGAGAATACCTTGCTTAATGACATAGCCGTTCGAGTTCAGGCTGCACTTGGGGTCATTCGTGCTCGCAGCAACAAGCGATACCGATTTCAATCTGACATCGAGCTCTGACTTCTCCTCGATCGAGGAGATTATGTCTCGCAGGGAGAGGTCGGAGTTCATACCGCCACAAACCACCCAAAACCATTCCTTGTCCTGTTTGCCAGCGGCAAGAGTCACTTGAATGTCGATCGGCTTCGAGACCCCTTCCCGTATGGTGATGCGACCGGCCACCTCGAGCCCGCCATACCAGCTCTTCTGGGTCGCCGCTGAAGTTTCCTTGCCCTTCTGTCCAGCATGTGCGGTGCTTGTGCCGCAGCCGACCATGAGAGTCAGAGACGCGTCGTTGATGGTGATGTATCCATCCTCAATTGGCCACTCATGAACATCAGCTCGAACCACAATGCCAGCTGAGGTGATGGCAATTGTGGCTTGGGCCAAATGTCGTCCATTCAGTGTGAGAGCACCAGTCAGTAGAAGCTCTGCCTTGGATATTCTGACGGTCAGCTTTTCGCAGGTAATCTCATGATCCGAGGGTTCCAGATCTTGCCCGTGGATGTCGGAGAAAAGCTTCTCGATGTCGCTCCATGTCACCTTTTCCAAAGTGCCTTGAATATACGATGCGTCTACAGGTGGGGTCAGAGTTGAGCCTCCATTTCTTCATTGCACGAACGCACCTGGATACTGCTTGTATACCACACCCTGCAAACCCACAGTACCACTGCTAGAAGTCTTCCACTTTGCTGAAACAGTGAATGATAGAGACGCAGCGAGTTCTGCCTCGGTTGGTGCTGAGGGAATCGCTTCGGATTTCGGGGCCGCTAGGCCACCAGCCTTCCCTGGCTTAGCGGCACCAGCGGCCTTTTGCAAGGGAATGTGAACCAAGAATCTGGCTTCATCCAACTATAGTACACAAAAAACGAGTCAGCTGTTTCGCACGTGATATAATCATTGCGGACTTCGTACCAACAACGATTCCACGCCCAAAGGGTTTCTCCATTTGCCATCGCCCGGTATGCTCATATCAAGTCGAAGGAAGGCCTCATTGCTGGTAGCGTTGTACTTGAGAAGCAGCGGACCGGTCAGTCCCGGAATCATGACATGGAGGTCCCCAAAGATGGTGCAGCTGAGATCTTGCGATTTTGCTGGTGCTGTGGGTGATTCGATCTCCGGCGTCGAATTGGTGCGCCCTACGTTGAGCTTTATGCCCACCGATAGGATGGTGACTATCTCGAGACCTGGTGGCATGGGAGTCCGCAGCCCAAGCAGTGAACCCGTGAACGACAAGCCATCAGCAGCATATGTGCCGTCCGGTATTTGAGAAACTCCAAGGTATGCTGAGAGTCTCAGTGTGGGCTTGACCACATCTCCAAGGAATTCTCTGAAGACATGGAAGACTTCGTCAAGGAGACCATTGAGCTCGATTTCCGTCCGCAGGTAGAGGCCTGCTGGCTGATCAACGATAGGCTTCGACCACCATTCGATCGCAGACTTTCGAAACGAGACCGAACCAAAAGCTGACGAAGAGAGTTCTGGAAACAATGAGCTTAGAGAGACGGAGTCATCTACCTCATATTTCCAGAACTCGCGCTTTTCGCCAGGAGGGATAGGTTGTCGTCTGCCAGCAACGCCTGCAAACACCGGATCTGCCCAGAACCCATCCCAGCTGGTAAACTTTGGCGGCTCTTCCTCGTAGAGTTTCAGCTGGTCACTTGTCAGATCGACTTTACCGACAGACTGCTTGACGTTGGAGAGAGAATCCGAAGCTGGCACATTTGGGGTGTTCGCATGCGAACCGGCAAATACGGGGTCGCCCCAGAAGCTCATCTTGCGTTTGGGTAGCTCGATGATGCCTTGGAGGATGAAAAGTGAAAGAGGACCAGTTGGGGGAAACTGCCCCGTTTATAAGTTTCTTTGCTAATCCCTCAGATGACATGCTGTCTTAATCAGCCGACAAGCACCAGCCTTATCATGAGGATGCTCGGCGGTTGTGGCGCTTCAGGCTCATGGAATCAAGCGTAGTGTGTCTTGTTCCTTCCTGCAATAGGAGGATTATTCTGCATCCTACTACACAGTTGTGGCCAAGGACACGAACCCCGTTACGACTTCAATAATGCGACTAGGGAGAGGTCGCCTCCTCATCTACTAGGTGATCATACGCGAATATTTGCCCTATCTGGAAGTCGGCTTGATTCTCGGAAATCCTTCTACCCCTTGTTCGCCTTTAGAAGTTATGGAGCTCGTCACCTGCAAAGCGCCGTGCCACGTCCTCGACGGTACCAGCATCCTTGAATCCCATGCTTTCGAGGAAATCAGCCGCCTTGCCACCAAGCTCTGTGTAGGTATTTTCGACGAAACGGTGCTGCAGAAGATTAGCTTCACTGTGAAGCAGGAACAGCCTTGATCACATACCTGATAGGGCTTGTTGGATTTGTCATGAAAGACCAGGAAGCGCTTTGTCTTTTCCTTATCCTGACCGTATTGGAAACTGTCATCCACCACGAAAGTGAAGTCTTTGCCATCCTTCTTCTTCTGCTTGAATTCTTCAAGCTTGCTGGCCTGCACATAGATCTTTTCCGCTGCACCAGCACCTTCTAAAGATAGTTTCAGCACTGGAATTCGAGGCTTGAGAATGTGGGAGCTGGAGGACTCACCGCCAGACTCGACAGTGTACTTGCACAGCCAATAGTCCTCATTCCTCGACCTCAGCATCTGCGACCAGTGGATGGTGAGCTTCTTGCCGTTGTTGCCACCAAGGAACTCGGCTGGGACATAGATGGTGTCGCCTTTGTTCACAAGGGGAGCCATTCTAGAAGTCGCTTGGAATGGATGAAGGGATGATTGGAATGTTGAGAGCGGATGTTGTGATGCTGGACCGAAGTCCCGGTCAAGTAGACCAATTCACCTCTTTTATACCTGTAGGAGGCGTCCCATGCAGAATCTCCTCTTCATTTTCGTGAGACAGGTGACGTGGTGACCTTAGGCAACGAAAGCTCTTCCTTGCAGCGACAGTTTTGTCTGCATGGTCGATGCAAGGCGCATTCCGCCGCATGCTTGCTACATCTTCGACGATGTCTTGGAAGCTGACGCTTCAAAAGGTCTAGATGCTTGCTGTCAGCTTAGCCACTTTATCCGTGGACTGGGACTTAAGAGACAGATGGCAGAATTGATGTCCACCTTGTGGAGTTTCGCCAGCAGACGGCAGGATACTTGCTTTACTCCTTCACTTATCGGTGAGCAGGCGAGCTGAAAGGTGCATTGGCTCATGAGTCAACTTGCCGAGAATAGACGAAGGAGTCAAGTAACTGGTGCGGGTTAAGACATGGTTCTGGGCACATGCAGGTTGTTCCAGTATCGCGCCGTTTTGTGTCGACTCTATGTAGTTATGCTGTCAGGATAAGAAAATCTGAAGTAGGTACCCGCTTAGAGGGGCAAAAAGGGCAAAGCCAACACGTGGTTGCCTGCAGGAACAGTACTTGGTGAGAGACATGATTGGCTCGCAGATACCCGGTATATGTATGAGCTAACCATGTTGGTGGTGTACATACACGATCGGACCAATAGGAGCATCCTCTCTCCACAAGTCTTTTTCCTTGAAAATCTGCCCACCTTCACCGCCTGACTTTCTTGGTTGCCTAGACGTTGACAAGATCCAAGATCCGAGCGACGAGGTCGGCAGTCCTAGTCATCGAAAGACGCACAGGGAAGGAGGTCTCGGTAAGGGTTAGAGAGAATAATTGATGTCCAGATACAGCTCCTTCTGACATATTGCCTGAAAAAATGTTGCACAAAATCAAGATCCTCACCCATGATGTGGGTCAGCGAGGGCCTGGCCAAAAAGAGAACTGACTTCAGCTAGCCACACGATCCGAACCGGATCAAGCGGTCAGATGAGAGCACACGCGATGATGACGACAATAATGAAGCATATATAATTTACGTAACTCCTGGCGGCAAAGAGTCTTGATACCAATCATTTGCCAACGAATAGAGGACACGACGGTGGTGCCGTTCAGGATGGATATAGAGATGAAAAGTTAATCGGCCCTGCAGCTCGCATGAAGGACCTTGTAATTGATTACTAGAACGCCGCCAATCTCTCGTTCAGGCAAACTTGTGGGAAAAGTGATACAAGAATATTAGTCCCACATGTCTGCTTCTAGGCGTGTACATGTCGGACGGTCCAGACAAGTGTAAAGCTCCACTTTTGCTCTCTCGGTTAGCGGTTAGACGAATATCTTGTTCTACCTTATCACACTCTTCTGGCTGGCTGAGAATGTCCTGTGATCTTTGACTGGGTAACCACGTTTCTCTCGACCATCCTCAACTGACATGGCTCAGTGACTGCGCGGTCGACTCCATTCCGAAATACCTCAGTATCTATCGTGTCAGATGGTAAGGGAGATATGTTGTCTCTTGGGACAGAAAGCCGTTCCCCAAACATCATCTGCCCATGGAGAGCTAAGTGGAATCATTCCATCGGAAGGATAAGTTATCTACACTTGGAGGTTTGTTGACACGACCCATAACGAAACGATGCTTGAAGTCATATCTGCCAGTGTTGCCATGTCCGGTCCTGACCTAGATAGCTACACCGTCCAATTCAAGGGTGAAACGGCAAAAGGAGAGTGTGAGGGGCACATCGCAGCGCTGAGAAAAGCGTTGTGAGGTTTATCATGCTCGGAAGAATGGCAATGCAAAGTTTCGTGGAATGGGAAAGGAGACTATCTTGGTTTTTCTGCCTATACCGGCCAATTCCCTCCACAAGTTCCAAGTTTTATTGCGTCGGAAAGGATTGTACCCTCCTGAAGACGCAAGGAGTAGTCCTTTCTAATCTGGGATAAAGCCAAGAAGTCCGATAGCAGTGTTTCACTCCAAAACATGGAGGACATCAGTCTCAATGCAGGATGGTGGGTTATGCAGGTCTCCCTCATCTAGAGAAATGGAACAAGCATGAAGCGTACACAGGATTCTGTTTCGGTAAGAAGGGCAAGAGCGTTATCATTATGTGCTGAACCCACTGTTAGAGAATATATTGTATGCTTCAAACAACCACTGACCTCGCCTCTCATTCTTGTAGTGGAGGGGCGGGACTAAGTGAACTGCGCGGGAAAAGTCGCTTTAACACAGACATCAAAGTTTCCTCCAGAGAGCAAAAAGGACCATGAAATGTAGCGGACTATGGCGGCCTAACATTGGTGGCCGTGACATGTGTGGAGCGGAGCTGCTGCACCGTTAAGAACCATTGCCCTTTTGAACGAAGACCGAATAGTGGGAAGTTCGTGGATGCAGTTGATGCTATATTGAAGCATTGCAAGAGTCTCGAGCCGTCGCAGTCACCTATCATCAGTTGCTCGTTTGGAAGCTTCGGAGATTGGAAGCGCCTGAGACTTTCTGGACCATTTGCGAGGTCAGCTCGACAGTTTCTGGGACTTCTGGCGGGACCTCCAGAGACACTCTCAGTACCAGTAGACTTGATCGAATAGACAACTGGACAAGATTCTGCTATGGTTGAGGGAATTAGATGACGCTGAATAAATTCAGAAGAGGCACCCGCCTCACCTGTCACAGGCGTTGATGTATATGCGTCGGCGTTTATTTCCTCGGCCCTCTATCACTTGAGTCAGCGAGGACAGGAAGGAAGCGTCATTTTCGGAGGTCATCAATGAGACGTCATTCGGGGAGACATGCTTTGCTCTGGGAGCCTTTGCACTAGATTTGCGTTTCGAAACACGGACTCAGGTATGTCCATCGCCCCAAGAGAGCTGAAAATCACATGCCATCAGGGTGAGGCCGCAAATGTGGCGAAATATCAAAAGTGAGGATATCAACTTGTTGGCTTACAAAAGCTGCGACTCAGCCAGAAGTCAATCCTGAGGAGTTTCGAGTGCGTAGATAAGGGTATGCACGAGCGCGATGCTGAATTCTTGCATTTACTCTTTAGAGAAAGGTTCTCAGGAGATTGCGGCGGAGACCTATTTTCAAGTCAGCTCCACAAGGCTGCACAAGAAACCCATTTTCGCAAGGCTGCCACACGTGATGGTTTGCTAGGTGCGGTCTTGGTGCGGTACAATGTGGGATGCGGAGAGTAAACGTATTCGATAACAACGTAAATAATTATTTCGCGCCTCACCACCACTCCTCCTTCTTCTCTTCCTCCATCGCATTTCCAGACGATGTGATCTCTCTTTCATTTGTCCACCTAACTGCTCATCATCTTTTCAAGTCTGGTTGCTCCTCCATCTCACCCTCTCCCTCGCCTCGGGCGTCCCCAGGCACCATGGCGTCTGCGGTCTTCTTCCTCGACTTGAAGGGCAAGGTGAGCGAAAGATGCCAATCTGGACAAGATGGCGTAAATTAATGATTACCCTAGACTCTTCTTGCTCGCAACTATCGCGGAGATATCCCCATGTCTGCAGTGGAGAAGTTTCCAATCCTGCTTTCCGAAGCCGAAGAAGAGTCGTCTGCAGTTCCCCCTTGTTTCTCTGATGAGGGCATCAACGTTCGTTGCCGCTACTCTCACTGAACGCGTCCCCAGCTAACCGCGCTCCAGTACCTCTACATTCGCCACAATAATCTCTACCTCCTTGCTCTTACCAAACGCAACACGAATGCCGCAGAGATCCTCTTGTTCCTTCACAAGATCGTGGAGGTCTTCACTGAGTACTTCAAAGAGCTGGAAGAGGAGTCAATTCGAGACAACTTCGTCATCATCTATGAACTGCTTGACGAGATGATGGACTTCGGATACCCTCAAACCACCGAGACCAAGATCCTCCAGGAGTACATCACTCAAGAATCCCACAAGCTTGAGGTACAAGCACGCCCTCCCATTGCTGTCACCAACGCTGTCTCTTGGAGAAGCGAAGGCATCAGATATCGCAAGAACGAGGTGTTTCTTGACGTCATTGAGTCTATTAACCTCTTGGTGTCATCCACTGGCAACGTGCTGCGATCTGAGATTCTGGGCGCCATCAAGATGAAGTGCTATCTTTCCGGAATGCCAGAACTCCGACTAGGCTTGAATGATAAGGTCATGTTCGAGACCACCGGAAGATCCACACGAGGCAAGGCCGTCGAAATGGAGGATGTCAAGTTCCACCAGTGCGTGAGACTCTCTCGATTCGAGAACGACCGAACCATCAGCTTCATCCCACCTGACGGAGAGTTCGAGTTGATGAGTTATCGACTCAACACCGCAGTCAAGCCATTGATCTGGGTCGAATGCGTCGTGGAATCCCACTCTGGATCAAGAATCGAATACATGTTGAAAGCCAAAGCCCAGTTCAAGCGACGATCGACTGCTAACAACGTCGAGATCATCATCCCTGTCCCGGACGATGCCGATACCCCGAGATTCCGAACCAACATTGGATCTGTGCACTACGCGCCGGAGAAATCTGCCATTGTCTGGAAGATCAAACAGTTCGGTGGCGGCAAGGAATTCCTGATGCGAGCGGAGCTAGGCCTTCCTAGTGTCAAGGGAGATGACGAGCGTGGTGGCGGCATGACCGGGGGCTTCGGCGGAAGCATGGGAGGTATTACAGGAGAAGGAAAGGCCAAGCGACCCATCAACGTCAAGTTCGAAATCCCTTACTTCACTACCAGTGGTATCCAGGTTAGGTATTTGAAGATCATTGAGCCAAAGGTTTGTGAATCCACCCTCTACTGTTCAAAGATGGTCTCTAATCCCATGCAGTTGCAATATCCATCCCTACCGTGGGTCCGCTACATCACACAATCTGGGGACATCGCCGTCCGCCTGCCAGATGTGCAGGGTCGTTGAACCCATTTCTTTTTGGCAACAGAAATGAGTCTCAATGTAAAGCAGCGGGATTCCTGCTGGGCTCACGGACGCATTTCATGACCTCAGTGTGAAGATCTCGCCTAACCTGCCAGGCAGAGTTTCGCCTTGGCGACAGAAAGAATTGCACAACGCTGGATGGTTCTTGAACACACGCCCGGATCAAGACAAGAATTGGATGTCGGAGGGCTTCAGATGCAGTTCACGACTGCACGGGAACACAATCACGGGAACACAACCGCGGGACAACAAAACTTCAAAAACTACAAAAACACACAGGTCGACTTGGTTGGCCCAACCACCAGTGCCTGCGATGCATTGCAAAGCAGGCTAAGGGGTTGAATGTGCATGTTCAGAGTAACGAATTGGTCAGTTTTCAGTTATTCAGTTCTATGTGTAGATCATGGTGTTTGTCATCTTCTCAGACGATTGTTTTGTCTGGATGAACGGCGACGAGGAGTACGATGGCATCATATCCACAGGAGAAACATGTCCAGATGAGTCTCTTCCTCACGGCAGAGACATGTCCGGATGAGTTCCATAGACACAACACGTTCAGACGAATATCCAAAGAAAAGCATAAGTGAAATCAGAATTCTATCAAAGCACGTTCTTTCCACTTTCCACTACTCGGTCCTTATCACTGCTTCCGCCTAAGAACGCTAACTTAGCTGTGTTTGCTGCCCATGTCTGCCGTGTTTGCTGGTCTCCTTTACAGCCTTGCGACCAAGAAATGCGATTAAGGTTTTCCCACCAAGAATTGACGTCATTCATCCACTTCCACACTCGGCCTTTGTCGCAGTCTGACCCATAATAATTTTCATTTTCCCAAACACACTTCCCCGAGGATATTATTTCGCTCCCAATCTCGACGGTAACGGAACCGTCCTTGCCGATCAACTCTTCTTTCCGTCCTCGAATCTGGCTACAAAACATTTCCAATCAATTAACCCCAGGCTTGGAGCGTTTCCACACCCAAAGGGAAAGAAAAGCATCTTATAATAATGCCCTCCACAACACTCCCCACACCCACACCCGACGAACTCGACGACCTCATCTACTTTACGCGCTCAGGTGACCTGGAAAGCCTGATATCCCTAGTCACCGCGCTGTGCGGCACGCATAATTGCCCTCCATCCGTCCTGCTAGCTTCGTCCATCGACATTGACGCCGAGGGTCTCGGCTCACAGTCCTCTCTGCTCCACTACCCCGCGGCAAATGGCAACCTTGAGATCATAACGCACCTTCTATCACTGCTGGCACCGTCCGAGTCGCTCGGCGCCTCCCCTTCCGCGACGACGGCTGACAAATCCGCTCCTTTGCTAGTAAATCACAGAAATGTGTCGGGAAACACGCCCTTGCATTGGGCTGCGATGAACGGGCACTTAGATGTGGTGAAGGCATTAGTGAAGGCCGGCGCGGATCCGACGATCGTCAATGAAGCGGGGCGAGATGCCGTAGTAGAAGCGGAGATGAGTTCGAAGGACGGGGCGAAGGAGTGTGCGGAGTGGATGTTGAAGCACTGCGAAGGGCTAGAGAAGGGCATCGGTGACGATGGGAATGGGGAGGGTCGCAGTGGTAGTCGGGAGGTTGAGGAAGAGGCGAAAGAGGAGGACCAGAACATGAAGGCTGCCCAGCTTGATGAAGGTGGTGAGAAGTCGGAAACTGCTGTGACGAACGGGGAACAGAAAGAAACGTGAACGGTCCATCTAGGAGTGAGGTTCATCTTCTGAAGTTCGCTCTCAGAGAGAGTCTCGTTCGAACAAACTTGGAAATACCCGACCACTCATTACATCAATTGGCTCCAGGAGAGCATGCATCGACCAGGCAAGAGGAAGAAAAGTCCTGGATAAAACCCGACTGTGCTCCAAAAAATCCCACAGACACCCTCTCATGCATCAACGACATGCGAAATGCAACTCCCAGCTTTTGCCCCCCCCCCAAACATCTATGAAGCGGTGTCTCCAACATTTTTCCAAGACAAAGGACAGCCACAAAATAAACATCTCGGTCCAAACGACCTCGAGTTTGAAACACGGCCTCGCGCTTAGTCGGTCAGCGGCAGGCAGTGGCATTGATGTCCCTCCTTGCCAGCGAGGGTGCAGAAAGCCGTGATACAGGTGTCTCCAGTATCCACATCCACCACGCAGCGTTGATCAACGCAGATACCGGTATTCAGTCGCTACAACACCCCAAGAAGGCGTGTCAGCCGGGTTCTCGGTTGTCTTTTCCGCAAAGCATCGCAGCGGACATTGGGAATCAGTGGAATTATGTGCAGATTGGGTCCGCGAATGCAGAGCGGAGCCCCAGACAAGGGAGAAGAAAAAGAAGCGGGAAGGAGAGAAGTGTGGACGAACCTTTACCAGCTTATCATCTCGCAGTGGATGGGCACATGTCTCTTGAACGGTGGCGGGGACAGGAGTGGCAAGTGCAACGGGCAGAAGAAGCGCAAGGCCGGCGAGGAAGTTGCTGAAATGCATTTCGTCGTTGAGTGAGCTGGGTAAAGAAAGGAGTCGGCGCCCGAGATGTCGACGTTTGACACGGAGGTCTTTTGCTTTCCCCTTTTTTTTTTTTTTTTTTGGCAGGGACAACGCGGTGAAAAGACTCTTTTGTCGATTGACTACTGCTTGGAGGGCGGAAGACAGGCAATAGTACTATCCGAACTCGAGAATGTCTTTTCAGAGTAGTAGAACGAGCCAGTGCTCAGACAACATCGCGGCTCAGCTCACTTTATATACATGTCCTCACCTCGCCTTGCAACCTCCCTGGCCCGTTCAGCTACTACCAGATGGAGGCTTTGGTTCCTCACATCATGACAGCATCTCGGAGAGCCACAGGTGGAGAGCTATGCGAAGATCGAACACCTACCAGGCGAGAGGATTTAAGCTTACGATCACGAGCCCTCCGTCTCTTCATTTTCTGGGACCCATCGTCCAACGCCTACCGCATTGCGCAACCTCGCGTTTGACCAGCGCGGCCTGATCGCGAAAGGCCCTTTTTTCCCCTCTCTGTTTTTCAGTCAGCCACCGACTCGACTCGCCAGACGTGCACGCCTGGGAAGCCTAGAATCGGCTTGGCTCAAATTTTGTCGGGTGACAAAGACGTAAATCTGTACTCGGAAGGGGTTGGCTGAACAAAGCGACGAGCAAGCAGGCAAGCCACAGCTGAAAAAGGTCGTGTTGAAGCGAGCCCATGATTAGCCTCACGTCTAGCTAAGTCCATGCCGAGTACAGCACATGGTTGAAGCCACCGAGGCGGAAAATGCGGGATGGTGTTCGATTGGCGATCTGGCGGAGCTGGAACCAGAAGAGCCAACCCCGAACGGGAAAGCGTTCTCAACATGCCATGCCGTTCGCCTTGTTGTTGCGAGCCGAAGGCCAGATGCGTGGTCTAACACGAACATCGACAAGGGATTTTCTTCAAATGGCCCTGTCGAATTCCATGGCTGGAGTCTAGATTCCCCACCAACCTGACGGTATGTATCAACATCAATACCTCATAAAAGTCCCTACAGAACTTGTCGACTCCGTACACAGCTACCTTGAAGTGGTTAGGGCGCCCGTTGCATGACTTCCCTTCCTCCTGTCGGAGTGGTGAGAGAGCCTCGTGTTCAGCAGGCCGCTGGGGACTTCAAGTTGAGGGCTTACCTGAGGTAAGCTTTTTTATTCCTCTGACCGCAAACAACACGGCAACGCAAATCAAATGAGCAAGCCAGTAAGGTGCCAGGGATGCAGGCGCTCCGATCCGCCGCCCAACGTTTGCAAAGCATGGATCATACGATGGCGATGTGATGCGCATCGTCTTGCTCTTCCTGTACTCGGCCCATCGTATACTGTAATGTCGATGGGGAGGAAAGCGTTGGCTGGACTTGGTAATGTGCATGTGGTTCGATTGTGGTGCCCATCAACGAACACGTCGTTAACTCGTATTGTTGACTTGTTATGTGTTTGTGTGTGTGGGGGTTGCAAGGGACAACCTTCCAGTCACGAGCAGAGAGGCCTTGAGGCCTAAAGGACAAGTAACCGTAAGGCTGAAGCTGACCCGGGGAAGGATCATTCAGATCATCAGATCATCATGACCATCATGATCACCATCACGATCACCCTCATCACCATCAATCATCATCATGACTGCTCTCCACGAATCCATGCGGCCATGTACCTCGTACGAGGTACCCAGCACATAGCTGACTGCTGACTCACCTCGCTTCCTAACCAGCCATCGGGCAGCCACAGTTCAAACGCGCAAGTTGCGGCAGAAACTTCCCCCCTAATTGGTGGTATGTGCCACCGCATTTGGGCGTCGAGGGCGAGAAGGGGGATCTCTCCTGCTCCGGGCGGAGTCTCCTTAGGAATGCAGTTTAATAGCGAGGTAGGTAAGTCGCGACCTTGCGTATTTGTTTGTCACGACTTGTTGACACACACAAGCGTGTGCCCTTCTTCTCTACCTGATGCGCATGCAGGGAGCTGACCTCCTTCGGGGCCATTGTCCTCGAGGAAGGAAGGTGAAGGTGCCAGGCCAAAACCCAAAACGGTATTGTATTTGTATCCAAGGCTCGTAATAAGACATGGACGGCCGGTGGCTTCAGCATGTACTACAATATCATTGCCAGCCTTGTCCCATTTTCTCCTTTTCCTCCCTCTCTGACTCGCATCCTCGACGACCATTCTCCCCCTTCCCCCCTTGCCCCCTTGCCCCCTTTTCTCACCATCCTTCCCTTCTAATCAATCGTACCCTGACGTCCCTCTTCGGATTAACCGCCCCGGCACCAATCTTGCGGCCCGGATGAACCCACTTCCCACCGTCACTGACAGGGACGATATCCCATTGCATGACCAAGGCGGCGGTGAAGAGGACCACTTCTCTTTCCGCAAAGGTTTTGCCCTTGCACATCTGTTTGCCACCGCCCCAGACTTTCATCGTGCCGTATTCAACCCGAATGTCTGCGTTCCCATTCGCGCCGTCATCATTGGGTTGGCCATTCTCGCCTTTGCCCGCGTGACTGCTGTCCTTGGCCCAAAACCGTCGCGGGTCAAACCTTTGGGGATCGCGGAAATACTTGTCGTCGCTCTGGTGCACGCCGTGCGGGAGGCAGATGTACTCGCCCTTTCTCAGCAACCAGCTCTGTGGTTCCTTCTTGCCCAGCAGCCTCGCGTCCTCTTCGTTCTCAAACACCACAAAGTCGTCCTCGACCATTTTGTACGACATGCTCGCGGCTTCGAGGCGCATGGTTTCAAAAAAGGCGCCCTTGAGAAGCGGGCATTTGGTCCACAGGGCGGCGATGTCAATGTCCAATTTGGGGGCCTCCTTGACCGGGAGACCCGTGGCGGGCGGCTGGCGGAAACGCACGTAGGGGGCGATCTCGGCCCGGATCTCGTGCAGCAAAGACGGATTCGAAAAGACGTACCACGTCATCCAAAAAATCACCGGGTTCGCGTTGATGTTCATTGCCCATAAAATGGCGGCGTTGCCTGTGGCATAGCCTCGCGGCACGGAGCCACCGGCGCGAAACGCCTTTGCTCGATCGACAATGACGGAGGAGACATCAGACATATCGCTCCATCGACTTCCGGCATCTTGACCGTCGAGGTACTTGAAGAGCGCCTCATGGTGTTCCTGAACAGCCTGAATAATGCGTTCCCTTGCTTGCGTCGGGCCGCCCATCCCGGGCAGCCAGGAGGGCGCGCCCGCCATAAAGAGATTGAATTGTGAGTCCATTTCCCACAAGTCGGGCATGATGTTCGGGTTGTTTTCCATGAAATTCTGTCCGAAGAGAACCGTGGTGGCGATATCGCCTACGAAATACCGGATTAGAGGAAATAGACTGGCCTCGGCAACCAGCGCCTTGTCTCCATCGCCCCTTGAGATGACTTCGACGCCGCCCTGACGCTCCCAGATACTTTGGTCAACGGGGCTTTGTGCCCCAGAGACCAGGTTCCACGTCCTCTCCGCGACCATATTGACGGTGCCACTGATGGCTGCAGTGACGAAACTTTCGCGCAACATGCCTGACAAAACGCCATGAATATTGCCCCACAGGTGATCAGGATCAATGGCTTTGATAGCACCTCGGTCGTCCCAAAAATTCTTCATGGTGTGGTAAATGAAATCGTTCATTGTAATGGGGCTGGTCCTGTCGATCAAGATCTGTTTGGCCAGACTAGGGACCGTGACGACGTTGTGTTTGGAGTTGGCCATCTTCAGCGCATAGATCGACGCATTGGGTCCCAATGAACGCGCTGCTCGGGTGAGAAAATCCGTCCCGCCCGCGACGAACGAGAACGCGTGGCCGATCCATGGAATCCAGTATGGGAGAATTGGCACGGTTCGAGGACCCGTCGACCCTCCAGCTGCTTGAGCCTGTTTTGAAACCGTGGAGCGGTACTGCAGGCCCGAGACGATGCGCGTGACGACGCAGATGACGAAGAAGGCGGCGAACAGTGTTTGAAATGGACGTTGGACGGCTGTTGTCACGGCATGTTGGAGAAACGAGGCGCTTCGCCCGTGCTGTGAGATGTCCATCTTTTGGGACAAAGGCGGTCAGTGCGATTCGAGTTCCTCCTGGATACGGAGTACGCAGTCTGTGTGGAAATTATCGAGAGGGCGAGGCACGGTCGGTGGTAGAATAGTTTATCTCTCTTGTAAATCCAGAATCAATGCGGTGTGCGACAAATGCGGACGTATGGAATGCGCCGTCACCGTCACCGTCGCCGCCGCCGCCGATGCCGTTTCGGACACGGGCTGCAAGGTGCCCGTACTCGTACTCGTCCCCCTGAAAGCGAGCTCGAGCCCCTACTTATGAAGGAGTGATGAAGGGAGTGGGTGAGTGACGAACGATGAACGCCGTCCGTAGAGTATGTCGTAACTTAGTCCTCTTCTGGTCCTGAGCTCATACGTGCGTGTGAAGAGGGGGGGTGTGCGCAAAGCGAGCAGCGAGTGTTGGGAAGCCTGACCTGCTAGTATTTGGTGGTTGCTGTCGATGATATTATCTGGCGTGTACTCGGTCCAAACATCTCCGACCTGACAAGGTGCTGACACGGAGCCTAGCACCTCGACCCCTGTTCAAACATCTGCCCATCAAATCAACGAGCGCTATTTCCATTGCACGAGGAATCCTACCAAACTCAAAACCGATCCGGCTCGCCAGTCAGATTCAAGTAATAAACACCCCCAAAGGGACTGTGGTTACAGTACATATAGATATATTGAGGATTCACTCGCTCGACAAAACTATCGAACGGGACGAACTGAGGAGAAAGTTGGCACCTTGCTGGGACTCGGACACCTAGATTTAAAACTGTTCGGAGAGCACCTTCTTCAACTTTCCGCTTTGTGCCTCGTACTTCATGATCTTCTCCTGGCTGGCCATCGCTTTGCCCAGACACCATTTGATCCGGGGCCGCAACTCGTTCGGCGTCCCAGGCATCTCGGCCAGCGTCTTCAACTCCGATTCGTACTTCTCCACGTTCTTGTTTTCCAAACTGATCAATTGGGACATAATCGCCAAATCCAGTCTCGCCCTGAGGACGTCGTCTTCGGTCAGGTATTCGAATGCTGATTGGTAGACAGGTTTGCCTGGCTTGATGCTATACGGCCGCCCATTCTTGGACGTGATTGTAATCAATTCTGCCTGTTCGAGAGCTTGCAACACCGTTTCGCCATCCTTGAAAAGATCATTTAGCAGCAGCTCATTGTATCTGAGAGTCTCGTTGGCCGCAAGCTCTTTGATCAACAGCCACGCTTGCTGAGGTGTCCATTTGCGGCTCGAAGTGTCGACGTCGAGAAGATACATTTTCAGGATTTCCGAGGCGGATTGCTCAATGATTTGGCGAACTGCTTCTGTTTTCCTTTTGTCAGTAATGATTGAAAGAGGAATGGGCCATATCACATACTTCCTGGCGATTCGCCTGTCTTGATCCTTCTTGCAAGGAACTCTAGATCGGTCAGTCGACCTCCGAGCACTTGGATCACTCCGTCCAGCTCATCGAGATCACTTCTCAATTGTGACGGACTGAGCTTCCCCTCCCCCAATGCAGCATCTTCGATGTCCGCGTCCAGGTGTTTGATGACGAGCTTCTTTGCTACTTCAGGTGTGCAATCACTCAACGTGATTTGCCGGAAAACCCTGTCGGGTAGTGCTTTACTGAGCGACTTGGAGAAGGACACGTCGGTGGTCAGAAAAATGACATGAGCAATGTTCTGCGTCGTCAAGACGGCAGCCCATTCTCCCAGTTTGTCATAGACCATACTCGCCGAACCCTCGTTGTTTTTGTGCAAGAAGTTGTCAATCACCACCACGGGTCGGCACTCTGGATGAGCTTCCAGCCACTCGTCGTCCGCCAGTTGGGCGTCTTTGTCATCCTTTTTGCGCGGCGCCAGCGCAATCTGCTTCAATGCAGTCGTCGTGTTGCCCCAAATCTTAGCGAGTTGATTGTCCAATGTCTCGGAGAATCCTGCTTTTGTGCCAATAGTGGCTGTTGCCGCAAGATCAACCATGCTGCTAATGCTGTTCATCCACGAAAAGACTGGGCGGTAGCCTACTTCAGCCGCAGCCGCGGCAATGGTATTACTGTCTCCGCGGGCTTCCTGGATTTTCTTGCAATCAATCACCAATTTGTGTGGGCGATCTTTCAATGCTTGATCTACGACCAACTCCTTCTTCCCGGCCCCACGTGGCCCTTGAACCACTATAAAGGTGTCGGCAGTCTCAATCAACCACGTCTTCAACTGGTTGATGGCATCTTGGCGATCTTCCCACACGATTTTCAGGTTGTCATCTTCACGCTTCTCTTTTCGGAATCTGATGATGTCGTAACCTCGCAGAAGCTGGCTTCTTACCCACTTGAAGATTCGACGATCTTCCAGGTGAAGACCATGGGTGACGTGCATCCTGATGAAGAACGTTCTGATAGGGTCGAACACCGCAACGGACGCTGCTGTCAGTAAAGCGACCAACAAAGGGATAACAATCCTGGGATGGTTCGTTATCCAGTCCCATATCCAGTGAGTTTTCCGTTTGGACTCGTAGCTCAGCTTGAGCAGCGTCCCGGTCTTTCCTCCGCCATCTTCGGCCGGGACGACGTAGCCATGCATACAATTCTTGGCCATAGTTGCGAATCTCACCCGCGTGTAATCGACATAAGCATATTTCGGCACAACTTTCGAGTCGGACGGTTGCGATACGATCTCTGTGAGCTTTCCATACCTGCGGAACAAGGAATAAAGCGTCTCTTGGGTCAGTTCGGCCGCAGAATTCTCAGGGGCCGTAGGCAAGAATTCGACCTTGATCCGCGGAGTAGGGACGCGATATAGATCTTCAATCCACGGCTTTCCCTGCACCAAGAAGGCGCGAACCCTCCGAAAAGGGTTGAACCATGGTGTAATGGGCTTTTCATCGAGATACTGTTTCAATGTGCTTTCCAACTCCCCCGCAGTGATTCCATCTTCATGAGAGAACTTGACAAAAGCTCCGCCTTCGCGTAGTCTCGGTAAGATCTTTGTGACATGGAGGGGGAGATTTTCAGGCAGGGCTCGCTTTATGATGCTAGACGGATCAGCCAGAGCAAGATTGGGCTGATTCACTTTGCTGAGGGAGGTTGCCAGGAACTTGTCAGGATTCAGGTAGGGGATCCGATTGAGCCATTGCAGCTTCAACGGGAAGACATCTGCCTTGCGGTCAGTAGATTGCGCAGAGAGCGGCGTTGGCAGATTGGTCTCACTATCGAAAAAGAAGATTCCTTCATTTTTCTGGGTCAGAATGTGGCCTGATTCATTGTCGCCAGCTTCAGTAGACGTCCACCTCTTTCCTGCCGGGGCTGCGGCGAGTCTGGCTGTCGGAGAAGTAGCCTTCCAAGTATAGAGCTGCTGTCGTCTCGAAAACCTCGTCAGGGCAGATGTAGGCCGCCCGAAGGAGCTTCGAACAGATCTCGACAGAATCATGCTGCCCATAGCCAGAGCATCATGAGAGAATTTGTGGTCTATCTCCTCATCCTGCTGCAGCCAGATGGCGTAGCTCTGCCGGCTCGAAACAGGTTCTGCTGTTCTTATCTATTCGCAAGTTTCCGCAGCACCAAAGTGTATTTATTAGTCGGCTCCTATTACTATGGGCGCAGCTCGACAGCCAGCATCATCATCGCCGACTGGAAGATGACGTCGAAACAATAAATTTGTGGCTGATCTGTGGCTGCACATCGGAATTGTGGCTTGATCCAGCAACTATTTTTTGGTTCTCCGACACGATTCATCTACCTTTGTTGTCCCACCTTCTAAGAGCCAACCGAGCCAGGATGAGCTGGTGGTGGAAGCAGAAGCCTGCCTCGAGCAGCGATAGCAGCAGTGTGAATGCTCTGTCCACCTCGCCAGCCCAGGAAGGGGTAACCACTGGCGCTCTTGCTCCAGACACTGAACCCGTCAAACGCAGCCTCACCCGGGACGAGCAGAGTGATCGAGAATGGACCGAGTTCCTGAAGGAGCTTCAAGCACAAGCAGATGTGGAGCAAGCTCAAAGAACGAAGTCCAAACCACCTGCAGCACCGTCGCAACCAGCGCTTGTCCACACTGACATCTCGCCCGACTCCCTCTACCCAGTCGAGATTTCTTGCAGATCCGCCTTCGATTATGCCATGTTCTGTCAGAGTTTTGGAGGCCAGTTTGTCAACATCTATCGATATGGCTCTTTCCGTTCATGCTCAAATCACTGGGATGACTTTTGGCTTTGCATGAAGACACGAAACTGGAAAAAGGAAGATCGCGAGAGGGCCATACAGGAACATTATCGCAAGAAGGCAGTTAAATGGAAGACTGGTCCGAGCAGCGAAGACGTCTGGGAAGTGCGACGGGAGCCGGTCAAGGATCCTTTCTCGGGGAACTTGGAAGAACTCGAAGCACAAATGGCCGAGTACAAAAAGAACAGTCTATCAGCGCCCGATGTCTGGACACCGACAAAATGAACAAAATAGACATCTCTAAACGGCCTTTGCAACCTACAGTCCCAATCGAGGCCAAAGGGCGCGAGAGCGAGGCCAGCAGAAGGTGCGGCAGTTTGTTGGCACAAAACTACCTCGATCACATGTTGGTCCATACTGTCAATTCCTTCCACCTTTACATCTCCTCACTGAACGCCCAAGCCGTACTCCTTCTTCACACGCAAGCCATGGATCCGGCACTCCCACGATTTCTGACGCGTATGATTCTGTCTACGACGCCACAGCAAGCCTTTGAACAGGTAGATGAGCTCGTTCTGCAGGCCGCAGCTCTGCGAGGACAGGCCGAGGAGCTCCAAGGACAAATTGACTTTCTCAACGATCGAGCCGACTGTCTGACCGCCACCGCTGAAGGCCTTCAAGAGATCGCAGAACAAGATCGCGACGCTATACAGACTATGTTCGAACGATCCCTCTCCGTTTACAAACACATGTACGCGATGTATGTGTCCGCCCCGCGAAAAGCAGCACGCTTCAATGATATCAGAACACGCTCGGAGGATGGCATGGTGACTATGGAAGAGATGGAGGCGTTCCTTGAAGATGTTTACCAGTATTTCCTCGTTACATCAGAGCGGATACAGAGATCAGCTGCACCTGAGCCCGAAAGCCCACCTAGCTCTGCGGACGCGCTGCCATCCATAGACACAGCTCAAAGTGAGTCTGAAGCGGAGTTTCCAGACAAACGGGGTTTGAAACGAAAGTTATCCGCGGTTCGAGAGGAAGATGAGAGTGGACTAGACGCAAGTTCTGAGGGATCTAACACTGTCAAGGATTGTATAAGGTCGGAGCACGACGCGCTCTCAAACGAGAATGATGAAGATGAATCGGCCCGGAATGCTGAATTACAGGACGAGAACAGCGGTGGAAGTACGAGAAACATGGACGAAAGCTCAGACCAGGAATCGGAATCGGCAAGTAACAAGGATTCTGATCATGACCACGTCGATTCCGAGACGACTCGATCGTCTGATAAGGAAGAATCATCATCATCTATGAGCTCTCGTACAGCCGCCAACGCCGTCAAGTCAGCTCCCCAGCAATATTTGGATGGTAAAAGGGGCAAGATCGCGCCGCCCTTTTGTGGCACCAGCAAAGCGGCACGGCAACGTCGAAACAAGAGGCTAAGACAAGCGGCACTGCAGCGTCAAAACAAGCAGCGAGGAGGAGCGGGCCTGGTCTGGAACGCATCTCAACGTCAATAGGAGTGCCCAAACTATGCTGCCTGACTGATACTGCCGTGACTAACGTCTGAACTCCCATTGAGATACAACATGATGATTCATGACCCGAGGGATAAGCTTGGGACTGGCCTGTATTTACATCTTCACTCGGCGACAACAGCCGTGAATACCTGGAAAGAAAGTCATTCTTTTTTTTTGGCTTTGGACATTCAAACTTCTCAGTCTTGATTGATTTCTTCCTCTATCCAGACTATCTTTCTGCTTTTCCACGGTTTCAAGGTCGGGTTCATCTGTCACATATTCTTCCTCGTCTTCCTCGTCTCCCCCGTTCGCTTTTCGTTCGATTTTCTGCTTTGTTACTAAGCGTATCTCACCATGGCAGTAGTCTCATCCCATTCATGCCTCCTTCACCTAGAAGCCGACTTCTTGCAAGCTCAATCTGAGACAGTCCGGGCTCTCAGCAACGACATCTACTTTGCTGCAAAGATTCTCAACTTAAAATCCTATGACATCGAGGGTCGAATTGTGAGTCTTAGGAAAGCGGCTTGGGAAGCGAGGTCGAAGTACGGTCGTGGTGGACATCTCTTGGTTGACGATCAGAACAAGGAAGATGGATACAGAGTCAAGGGCGTCCTGAAGAATGCGACCACGTTGATGGAATTGGCACGGCAAGTCAAGGTCGAGCTGAAGGCCTTGATCGACATCATATGCGAAGGACAAGAGGTGGATGAGACCAATGCTCTGGGCCAAGCGTCGACAGAGCAGAGGAACATAAACATCGAATCTGAGGAGATCAGGGCCTTGAAAGCGGATCTGCCCTCCCTTGAGGAAGAGTTGACCACAGAAATCCATTGTACCAGGCGAGCGTTCGTCGACTCGAGCGGATTCATCCCTGTCAACTCTCGTGCTGTGTCGTCAAAAATCTCAATCGAGGATGCCCTTGAATCAAACAACATTTGTCAATCACAACGTGTCCAACAGGCACGATTTGCGGATGAAGAAGCGATGATGACATCCCAAGACTCCATCTCCGGCCTGAAGAGCAATGACCTTCCCGCTCATGGTCGCAAAGTTAGCCGCTTCTCTCGCGTGGGACTGTCGGGAAGACATGCTGCTTTTGTGAAGTATAGGGCTCACAACGCCGAGGATCGTTCCCGGTCTCCAGCAAGCTCTCGCGGAACAGGAAAGAGGGGTACAGATGACTTGCTTGGTTGGATCCCGAAGAAGGTTTGCGTCGCACGTCTACCCGTGGATGAAGGGTTAAGAGATTTGATGATCCACGAGATACAGAAAAAGCAGCCGGATCAAGCTTACTAGAGGAGGAGCCCGGCCAATATCACCATCAAGATGGTGTAGGAAGCAACTTGAACTCTTTTACGGCTGGGGTTGGCCATGATTCTGAAGTGGGAAAAAGTTTCGGATTGGATCTATTGATCGCATTTGCAAAGGAGGCGCCGAATTGACTCTACGGTGATCACACGAGATACGAGCTTGGTTGTTTTGGCATGGTCACGATACTTCGTCTGAAGAGATGTCGTACGCAGCAACAAGCGGGGACTTGGGCAGGGCAATCTGATTCGAAGCTTGCCTTTTCTTTCTCGCCGGCATGGGGAGTTGACGACTGTAGACACGAACAAGACAGCTCACGGAATGCAATGAGAATATCGAACCCCCCATCTCTCTCTTTCTCTCTGCTCTTCTCTCTCATACATCTTTTGGTCCGATGTTTCGTCCAGCCCCTTTCGCGGCACAGCCTTCCCGGCCACTCCGACATATAGCAAACTTGATTTCTACGGCGTGCTTTCTCGAAAGTCCCGTCTTGTCAGCGGCTTACAGGCATTGATTCCTCGATTTCGCCCTTGACATGAACGGCTGGCTTCTGCTCGAATCTTCCCGTCGATACATGTGGTCATGCTCCTGCTGACATAAACTGAACTTGAATATGCACCTGCACAAACCCAATTTGGCATTATGAATGACTGTGCTTTACCACCACAACCATTTCCTGCGCGCGTGTCCTTCTTCTCCCTTCTCCCTCTCCCTTTACATCTATACATTAGTTCTTACAAGATTCTCATACCTTGGTCTCTTCCCCTTGTTCGACATGGTCTAGCGCCTTCCTCATGGACAAAATGCGCTGCACAGCAGGTCAACGCTAACTTCTAAACTGCGATAGCGATGACCGGTGAGTCTCCATTTTCGCTAGGGCTGCCAATGAGGATTAGCTGGACACGTCAACAAGCGCAGCAGCTGTTTTCGTGCCAGAAGATGCCAGAGTCCAGGCCTATATATTGGGGTTTGATAAAGGTTCCTTTTTCTCCATCACCATGTGCGTGTCGAGGAGCCTAGTTTTGGACCAAAGGTAACCCCTGCACCTCATCCTTCCCAGTCGCCCGAGATAGGCCCTTTTTTCAGTTGTGAGACGGTCTGTGAGAAAGAAATGTCTGGTCCTATCAAGAAGGTCGTTGTCCTTGGGGTATGAATGCCTGCCTTCTTTTCTGCTGGTCCATCACATGTGAGAATCCATCTTGACACCGAGGGACACACATACAGGCAACAGGCAACGTCGGCAAACCCATCGCCACTGCCCTGGCCGAAGCTGGCTACGCTGTGACAGCGGCCTCGCGCACTCCCGGCCAGAAATTTCCAGACTCGACCAACATCATCTCTGCCGCCGTCGACTACACGTCACTCTCTGACCTTACGTCCCTCTTCACGGGGCAAGATGCCGTGGTCGAAGCGATTCCCCCCAACGCCCTGCACATGCAATCCACCATCGTAGACGCCTGTCTCGCCTCGGGCACAGTGAAGCATATCATCACCCCGGATTTCGCGGGCGACACGTTCAACGAGCACATCACCGAGTTACCGTTGTATGTCCCCAAGGTGGAAGCCCAGAAGGTCCTGGAGGAGAAATTGAAAGGCACGGGGGTGAATTGGAGTGCGATCATTACGGGAGGTTGGTATGATTGGGGTGAGTAGTATTGCCCATTCATCTTTTTCTAGTCCACGCAGGAGGTGGAACAGCACCGCCGTGCTGACCCTTTTTTCCCCACGCGTCGTCCTTTGACACAGCCATTCCACTGGGTTATTACTGGATCAACCCACGCACAAACACCCTTATGGTCTACGGCAGCGGCGACCAGCGAAACAGCATGTGCCGTGTATCCACCGCAGCGAAGGCCGTCTGCGACGTGCTCCGACAGCCCGAGAAGTTCGCAAATCGGCCCGTCTACGTCGCCGACCACACCGTGAGCATGAACCAGCTGATCCCGATCCTCGAGGAGATCAAGCCGGGCTGGCACATCCAGCGAGTGGACCTGGATGAGTTCTTCGCCACCGCAAAGCGCATGTGGGAGGAGGATACGCAGAAAGGGGTCGAGGTGCGGCTGTTGACGCCTGGTAAGTTTAGCCTCAAGGGAACTTACGCCCCTCCCTGCTCCCTCTTCCTCTCCTTTTCTTTTCTCCCTCCACCATTATCCTCCTCTTCCTCCTCCTCCGTTCGCTCGTTCCATCACACAAGTACAAACTGATCATCTAACTTCCTGGGGTCCGCCCCACCCGATCAAAAAAAAGCATACAATATGCTAGGAACCTACGGCATCTTCGAAGAGAACAACCGCTACAACGCCGACTTCGAACACCTGATTGAGCCCGGGTCCGGGTACCAGAAGACCATGGAGGATTTGAAGGAGGAGCTGAAGACGCTGGTTGCGGAGACGTAGACTGGGAAACCGGAGGGTTAATACAGTTACGGAGCGAGGGTTTTTTTGAAGTTGACAGCCCCGGGCGGAGAGGACGTGGAAGCCTTTAGGAAGGAGAGGAAGGAGGGGGAGGAAGAGGGAGGGAAAGGGGGATAGGATGGATGTATGGAAAAGGAAGGGATAGAATAGTCCAGACTTACTCCCTGATCCTGGCTCTCCTTGTGAGGGTGACAATGACAATCTTCTTCGTCCCGGCCCCTTGACGATCCGTGGAGAAATAGAAAGGAAAAGCAATGACGAGGGTCAGGCAAGTCAATGACAGTATCCCACTGTTCATACAACCCAGTCCAGTCCAGTCCGTTCAATGCAGATTAACAGACGTCAATCCAACTCAACTCAGCTCAACTCGTCATTTTGCTCATTCAATTGAATGTTCAATCAATCATCACTGATGTATTTGTCGAACACATCCTTGTACCACCTCAAGCCGACATCACGATGGCTCCTTATCTTCGTCCTCAGCTGCGCCTCTCCCCAGGTGTCGTATCTACCTCTGAGAAAGGGGCCGTCGATGTTTCGGCCCTCGTCGGACTCTCTGCCCACCATCTTCCACCCTTTTGCAGAAGTGTCGAAATGCCGGTCCCACAGAGCCTTGAGGTCCGATTTAGTCAGGTCTGGGCGCACGCCCTGGAAGAAGGGCACGCTGTAGCGGTCGTACTCGCCGGGCGGGAGGAGGACGCGGTGCGTGGTCGCCTTGCAGACGCCGTTGGTCACGACCTCGAAGGCCTGGCCCATGTTGATGACGAGGGTTCCCGGCACGGGCGGCGCGTCCAGCCACTCCCCGTCCTTGGACAGGACCTGCAGGCCCCGGATCGACGGGTCCGACGCTTGTAGCAGGAACGTCATCCAGCCTGAACTGTCCTTGTGCGGGCCGACGCCCTGAGAAGAAGAAGAAGAAGGAGAAGAAGGCTGAGCCGTGGCGTCCGCGGATGAGGACGGCGATGAGGGCCGGTAGTGCACGAGCTTGATCCGGTCTTGCGGGCCCGTGAACCGCTCCAGACTGTGCGGTGGCAAGTCCAGTGCCTCGGTGACCAGCTCGAGGAACCTCATTGCGAGATCCTGCATCGCCGCGACGTACGACTCGACGATCTCGCGGAACCTGGGCACCTCCGAGAAGTTGGGCCACTGGTTCGGGCCCTGCAGCCGAGTGTACAGCGGCGGCGATGGCGAATCCGTCCCCGCCGAGACGACGAAGCCGTACCTGTCCGGCAACTCGTTGGCGAACTCGAACTGCTCTCTCTGATCCCTGACGCGCGCCGTGATCTCAGACCCGAATTTGCTGTACCCCAAAAAGTGGGGTGAGTTGACGAGGGCGACGGACTCCTTGACCGGGTCCGGGAGCGCGAAGAGACGGGGAAGGGCATCCACGAGGTCCTGGACGATCGACTCGCCAATGCCGTGGTTGGAGAGGTACAGGAATCCCACCTCGGATAGGGCGTGGCGGAGGTCTTGCAGGAGTTGTGGCCGCGTTGTCGCGTCGTCGGCCTTGTGGAAGTCAATCGTTGGGATGGACATGCTGCCCGAAAGATCAGTAGTATTATATCGATCACGAGAAGCCAAAGCTGGATGGATATGTTTTATGAATGACGATCTCACCCTTGATCAGGAGCGTCTTTCTCAACTCTTGAGAGTCTTCAATACTTTCATGACTAGGCCAGGTGAAGGCGGAAGGAAGACGAGGAGTGGTCGAGAAGCACGCCATCGATGGGGTGAGCAAAGAAAAAAGGAGTTCTTGTTATGTAAGCAAAACAGCCTTGCGAGTCAGTAACTGTACTCCCGACCGGAGAGTGATTCTCCTTCCCTTGGGTTTACCATGAAGTGAAGACCATGGACTGGGCTCAATGTACAGCATCGGCATACGCTGATCGGAGGGAGAGGTGGCCCACACACAGTCAATGGCTCGAGGCTGAGATCCAAATGAGACCAAATGAGAGCCTTGCGACGGGTTGGATTTAGTGTCACATCGCAGCTATTAATAATATATACCGAGTACAACCTAGATGTGTACCTGTCTCTTCCCCAAAATCTTCTTCTTTATTTCATGCATTGCCTTTCACATCTCGCATTACCCCTCCTGGTAGCCTACATTTCGCCATCTGACTCTCAGATTGCGCGCGAATGGTCAATCGTCGACCCTACCGTCCACGTCTCGGTCGGTCTCCCACCAATCGATTCGCCTCTGCGATTTCCGCATTCTCTTGCGCCCTCTGTCTCTCCAACTCTGCCATCTCCTCTTCCCCTCCACTTGCCGCTGCCTCCTCCTCCTCGTCTTCGTCGCTGCTGTGACCTCCATTTCCATCATCGTCGGGTCCACCATTTTCATCTTCAGGTGGTCTTCTGCGTCTTTCGAAGTCTTGCGCGTGGGCAGTGCCGATGATTGTCCCCACGCGTTGAAGGGCCCGCATGGCAGGGGTCCGCGGCGCAGTGGGTGTGCGACGTTGACGAAGTGATGCGTCTAATGAGGTTAGGCTTTCCAAGTCCACGCCAGTCGCAATACGTTGTTCAGGTTCTGTTGGCTGTGGAGCGCTAGGCGTCCGGCGCTCCTGAATAGGAGACACCGTGCGCGACTCAGGTATGTCGTACGGCAAAGGAATATCTCTGGAGGCACGGAATTTCCCAACGTTGTTGCAATGTTCGTTTTCGACACGAAATAGGGACCAGAGGCCCCTTCGGATGACCTCGGCCAAACTGACGAAGAAGGACATCAAGGCGGAATGTTGTATATCCGATGTGAATATCGCATAAAACACCCACTGCTGTCGAAGCAGGACATCCGCTACGATCGCAGAATAGTATATCCAGACTTGCTTGTAGGCGAGCCGCTCTCGGAGGAAGGGATATTTTTGAACGAAGAAATCGCCCAAGCTCCAATCCATGAACACGTCCCAGAAGGAGCAGTACAATCCGTTGACGAGGGCGAAGGTGACAAAGATGGACCAAGTCGTGTGACTCATGTCGATCCGGTAAATTGACAGTGTCGCGTAGTAAGCGATGTTGCCGCAGTATTTGACGCAATTGGCGAGATGAGGGAACCAATTCCGTGAATCGTAGTAACGACGCAGACATTGCAATGCTCGCCAAACCGCAGGAAGCGCGGCAAAAAATCCCAGCAAGCGTGAGTGGTTGGAATTGCATTGCGGAGGGTTGTTCCAGTTGTTGACGTAGAGGCAGAAGAAGAGTTCGATCTGGCCCATGGCGTAGGTTTCGGAACAGTACATATCGCCCAGATAGAAGTCTCGGAACTCGACCGGATAGAATGGTGCACAAGCAAGCCTCAGGTTCGTAACAGCCCACCATTTCCGTGCGTGGTGATAAATGATGGGAATGGGCAGGAAGATGATGAGCACGGTGACGATGATTAGAATCAACGGCCAATAGATGTAGAACCAATCGTAAGAGTTTTGCCGAAAGTTGAGGTAGATGAATAGGCCATTGAGGAAGAGGAAAAAGCAGGGCAACTCCGCTAATTGTCGCCAGTCCAGCACATGTCTGGTGTCGTACTCGAAGATGAAGACGTAGTTGATGTGATTCTTGTTCCACATCCTGCAGTCCAGCACAAACATCAAGAATAAAATAACAATCAGAAAGTATCCTGCATACAACTGCAGAAGGTAACTGGTCTGCACCGACGTCCTCGGATCTTCCAGTCGAAAAGCAGCATCGACAAGGCCAGCCACGCCGAAACAACAACCCGCCGCAACATAAAGACCGTTGCGGAACGCCACCGCCGAGTGATCCCCTGCGCCAACCTTGGATCGCAGTTTCTTAACAGCGACCTTGTGGTTGCCGCGTTCAAAGTACCGAGAGTATAGATCTTCGACAGCGATGAGGTGATTGTCAACGACGTCGCTCGTAACGAAATATGCATTGTTGACCTTTTCTGTCATATATCGCAGCGGAGGTCTGGCTTGGACCGCCTTGTCGTATTTCTTATTGATCTTGCGAAAGCCCGTCTTGTTCAGCAGAGCATAAGATTTGAGCAATTCTAATCCGCGGTAGAATTCCTGCAACGCGAGCTTCAGCCTTTTCTTCGCAACGGGATACTTGATTTCGCTTCCGTGGTCTCGGCGCACGTAATCTTTCTTTGCTTCGTTGATCCTCTGTTGTGCTTGCGGTCCCGGAGGGGAACTCATCTGTGCCATGGCATGACTGGTCTTCCCGATTGTAGGCCGTCGTCCCATGACCTCCCCAATGGGTTTTGGGATGAGGTGGCTGCCACTTCCGTTGGGCTTGACGTCTTCCTTGAGAACATCGCCCGGTTGCTTTCTTATGTCGTCTAGATGCGGTGGTCTGGTCCTATCGTTTCCGTGTTTTGCTTTCAATATTTCTGCTATTCTTCTGTCTCTCATTTCGTGGAGTTGCGCCCTGAGCACTTGCAGACGTTCGGTCGCTTCGTCCTCCTTTATCTTGTAAAACTCCTCGATCTTGGTCAATTCTTTGTCTAGGAATGTGAAAAAGTCGGCCTGTTTCTCATCAAGCTCTTGGTACGCTGACAGCTGCATGTCATTTACGGTGGCCTCGGTCAGATCACGAGGAACGAACAAGTTGCGGAATCTTTGCGAAGCTGAGATGGAGTTCATCCTCGGCGGGGGTCCTGGGACTGACTGACTTTTACCTCCTCGTCCGCGCGTGAACATGGCTTTTGCCAGGCTTCCTGCAAAGCTGTGTCTGGCGAGCGGTGGATGATGCGTCTGACCAACATGGTACGGATCCGGCGCTGGTGGAACTTGGGCTGGCGGAGGAAGTCGTGGAGTCGTGCCCTGGGATTTTGGTTCGATCTCTGTGGGTAGTCGAGTCCGCGCAGGGGTCAACGCCGGATCTGGGAGTTCGAGGGCGGCCATCATCCCCGGTGTCTCATCTGGAGGCGTGCCGACAATGGATCCATAATTCATTACTCGCCGCACCGACTGACCAGGATAGAGAGGCGTGCGTTCCGGCGTCGTCTCCATTTGAGCCCCCGGAATGTATATAGGCGGAGACGCTGCGAACATGGTATGACTTCGGCGCTGAGTTACCGGCGGTCTATCTTCCGGCTCTTCATCTTCGTCTGGTGCGACCTCCTCTATGTCGGCTAGTGACTGGGTCGACCTTGCCGTTTCTGCTCGGTGAAGGTTGAAGTCATAGTGTGTAAAGGGAGTGCGCGGTTCCGCGAAAGCGTCGAAAGTAACCGAACGAGGCTCAGTGCCAGGAGTTCTCTGCAGGTTCCTGAGGGCTTTGGAGATGGTCTTGATTTTCTTCTTTCCCAGCTGCGAGGAGATTAGCACTGAACGGAAGCAATTTCGCGTCGAGAGAACCTCCCTTGTAATTCAAGTACTTAGCTCTCCATTCTGGAACGGCATCTTCCTCCAATTCCCTGCCTCAGTTAGTTTCCCAGCTCATCGCAGAGGGATCTCGGTGCAACTAGAGGACCTACTTTGCGAACTTCATGGCGAGAATCTGGGCCTTGCATCAGCGCATCCTGCCTCTTAGCCGTAGTCATCTGTTGCAATGTTCGAGCGACTCGAAGATGGATTGAAGAACGAAGGCCAATGGGGTGGGGACGAAGCCATGGGAAGGTCGCGATGGCAGAGAAGTCGAGAGAATTTCGTGAAAAATGATGCATATGCGGACGTCTCGCAGCGTCATAGGCGGTCACAATAATATTTGGCTTGATAGGCCGAGATCCGCATCCTCGCTTCCCACGTGCGTCGTCCCTTCGACAACGTTTGTTACTCGTCGCTTAAACTCTATCAACACGAGCCAGGGTTGACTTTCCCATCGACAAGGAGGCTAGGGGACTGAGTTCATCCCAGGCACAGTCCAGCACAGTCTTGGTCTCATGCCACCCAGATTCGCGCCAACCCATCTCGTCTAATCCCCCATCAGCCCTTCCCTGACTTCATTCGTTCTCAATCAGGAAATCAGTCAGGCGGGGTTTGGTGCTCTGAGGAAAATATTGACGACGTCCAGGTGTGAGCATATTTCCACCATATGTAGACTCCCTCTGCTCTCCTTTCACCCAACGGTACTACCATCTCAACTTCCTCCCTGCAAGACTTCGACAAACATGGTCTACACAATAACCGTGCACCTCCGAGCCAAATCCTCGGATCCGGCCATAATCCAAAAGCTCAAAAACAAGCTCATCGAAGCTTCCCGTGTGTACTCCAAAGACAAGGAAACTCTGTCGTGGTTCGTCATGCAGTCTGTCCACGACGAACGAGACTTCACCATTGTCGAGAGATACGAAAAGGAAAGCAGCCAGAAGTACCACCTGGAGAACCCCTATTGGAAGACGTTTGACCCGTATGTCAAGCCGCTCCTAGAAGGGGAGATGGATTTGAGACGGTTTGAGGAATTGGACACGAGCAAGGACGTGGTCGTGGAATGACCTGATTTCAGTCTGGCATATCAAGACCTTCGCAAACAATGCGGAGCAGAGGGACTCTACAGACTCCAGCGAAGATCAATTGGACGATCAGACTGTCTTTGCTATCCACCTCGTTCGGACATGGCTTTTACACACGGCACATCTTCCCCTTGGGCACCACGGGCCTTTTCTCAGAATTCTCGATTTGATTTTACCTCCGCTTTGATATGTACATATCGAATAATTCTCGGTCAAAGTCAGCAACGCCGATTTCAATGCCTATACAGTGCTTGAGCAGAAGCCACATCATGGAGAAGGCAGGGCGGAAGTAGAATGGACCTTCTGGCTTCATCTCGGCTCGTGGAGAACTTCCAAGCTCCTCCGTGAAGCATCTTTGCGCTGTAAATCTGTCCTCCGCTCGAGCGACTCATAGCTTGTCTTTCCTCTACCGTACGATTCGCCTCCATTCCTCGTCCTGCCTGCCTTCACTCGTCTGTCTTCTTGCTCAATCACCCACAAAATATTCAGGTAGCCGCTGTCTGCGTTCCTTCAAAAGAAACATCGAGGGGCTATGCATCAAGTTTATGTTTAACCATACGATATCTGTTCGTTTGGCTCGCCTGGGGCCATGAAATTGGTCTCAGAGTTGCCCGTCTTCTTGGCCGCACTACAGCGAGCCATTGTTGGTGAACTAGGACCTTGTTAGCGTCTGAATCCCGGTATATACTCGGGATGGGGGCGTTGGCGGAGATATGGGCGCCTCCTTGTAACATACCTTCTCGAAATCACGTCAGTCTGGTAGAAGTCTTTGATGGGCAATTCCAGCTTCTGTCCGGTGGCTTTGGAGCCCTTGTTCGCATCCGCCAGTTGCACTTTACTTAAGCCAGTCAACGTTTGCGGCTCAAGGGTATCGTACCTCCTGAGCGCCGGCGAAATCTCTTCAAGACGATCTCTCAACACCTCCAAATCGTCGTACGGAAGCGGGACACCCAGGAATTCGGAAGCCGCCCGGATGATCTTCCAGTCCGTCCTCGCCGCTCCAGGTATAGTGACCGCAGAGCGAGTGAGTTGTACGCGACCCTCAGTGTTTACATAAGTGCCAGATTTCTCAGTGTACGCGCAACCAGGAAGAATGACATCGGCGAGCTGTGCACCAGTCTCGCCATGATGACCCTGGTAAATCACGAATGCCTCCTTGGGGATGTCGGCCTCGGATACCTCATCTGCACCCAACAGCCAGACCATCTTGGGCTTTGTCTCTGCAACTTTCTGGGAGGGAACAGTGAAGCCGACTTCATAAGCTCCTGCTCTGGAGGCTGCTCGCTGAAGGACATTGTATCCTTGCCATTCGGCGGTGTTAAAGTTGGCCTGGTGCTTGTCCACGAAGGAGCCCACTGATTCGAAAATTGCTGCTGCATCCGGGTGCTCGGCGACTGCGCTGCCAACAATGATCATGGGCCTCTTGGCCTCCGCCAATTTCTTGCCAAAGTCACCAGAAAGTGCCTTCTTTACAGCTGCGGCATCGGTGCCCAAGTGTTCGAATTCGAACGTGCTCTCAAATGGTTCGCCGATGTATCCGATTTCAAGGGGGGACCGCAGCCATTGTTTCCGAATACGGGCGTTGAGCACAGCCGCCTCCCAACGAGGATTGCTTCCGATGATGAGCATGTGGGTGGCCTCTTCGATACCCCAGATCCTGGAGTTGAAGAGGTAGTTTCCTCGGATGTCAACGCCGTGGGCGATTGGTGAGCCGCCTCCTGGCTGGTCAAGAGCGAGATTGTCAGAGTTCAGTCTATTCGCCAAATCTTTCATGGCGACCAGGGATTCCGTTTCGATCAAGTGACCGGCAATGGCTTTAAATTCGTTCTCGCCGGGCTTGATCCTGGCGTATGCGTTGGCGATCTCTGTTAGAGCTTGTTCCCATGTGGCAGGAAGGAATTTATCATCTCTTCGGACCAACGGCGTTGTTAATCTCTGAGTCTTCAGCCCGTCAAGAGCAAAGCGGGTCTTGTCATCGATCCATTCTTCATTGATATCATCGTTCAGTCTGGGTAGGATTCTCTTGACTTCCATACCTCTGGCGTCCACTCGGATGTTTGAGCCCATGGCGTTCAGCACGTCGATTGATTCAAATTTGGTAAGTTCCCAAGGTCGATAGCTGAAAGCTCCCGGTTTCGGCAGGAGAGCACCAACGGGGCAGAGGTCAGCCACGTTCCCCGAGAGTTCAGTGTCGAGGTTCCTTTCCAAATACGTGCCGATTTCCATTCCATTGCCTCTGCCGGTCGAACCCAACTCTGGTGCACCGGCAATCTCATTGGCAAACCGAATACACCTCGTACAGTGAATACATCTATTCATCGAGGTTTTGATCAAAGGTCCAATGTTCTTGTCTTCGACGGCACGTTTGCCGGTGACTTCGTGGAAACGGCCACGATCGGCGCCATACCTCATCGATTGATCTTGTAAGTCGCATTGGCCGCCTTGGTCGCAGATTGGGCAATCTAACGGGTGGTTGGCCAACAGGAACTCCATGATGCCTTCTCTTGCTTTGTGAGTCATTGGTGAATCGGTCTTGACAACCATGCCCGGTTGGACGGGCCATGCGCAGGACGCGACAGGTTTGGGGACTCGTTCGACTTCGACTAGACACATACGACAGTTTCCGGCAATGAGGAGTTTCCTAACAATCGATAGCTTAGCACAGACCGGTCTTGCGGAAAGACGGGGTAAATAAGGACATACTCATGGTAACAGTATCGCGGAATTGTCACGCCTGCCTTTTCACAAGCTTGGATCAGGGCCGAACCAGCCTCTATCGACACCTTCTTGCCATCGATAGTGAGTTCGACTTCGGCATTTCGTCTGGCGGAGGAGGTAAAGGGCCTGGTGGCCGCCTGCCTTGTTGTCGTCAGCGAAGATCTTGTGCGCCCTGCGGCGCGAAGAAGCTGAGACCGCATTCTGTCACAACCCGTCGAGCAGGTCCCAGCTCTAGAAGTCGAAAAGCAGTGGTGTTGAGATGAATGTGGTGGCGTCGACAAGAAGCTCTTGAAGTTTCGCGGGTTGCAGCTTTCATTGACGACAGCATGGTGCTCACCAATCACATCGCAAGGATTACTGGGCTTTGTATACGGTGGAGCAATACTCGCACGAAGGCAATTCAAACGACACTGACGAGGTCAACGAGCTCAAGCTACCGAGCTCATATTATTATATCTACTTTACACGCAACGTCTTGCTGAAACTATGTACATTCTAAAAAGGACCGAGCTGGGTACCTGAAGTTATGACATGAGGCGGTTCTTGACCAGCGAAGCAGGCCAGAGTGCGTCCCTCCCTCTTGGCCTACGCCCTCGAAAACCAATCACTCACCCTCCTCCTCATAGCCCCAAAGGTTTGGATGGACACAACCCAGGAGTACATCATCGTCTTGAACGGGACCCAGCTCAGCCATCCCTTGGAGAGATCCTTACCCATCTCCTCCGCAGCCATGTCAACCATGCCCACCAGAAACACCACAGGTCCTTCCTTGCTGAACATGCCCTGCTTGTTCCGCATAGTCTTTCTCTGATATTTCTTTGCCCGCGGGAACATATTCTCTTCGTACTGGCGTACCGCCTCATCCACGTTTCTCTGTTCCTTGAGGGCATTCTCAAGGGCTTCAGCCAGCTCGAGCGAATCTTTCATCGCCTTGTTCACACCTTCCCCCGCAAACGGCGTCATCAGGCTGGAAGCGTCTCCAATCAGCGTGTAGCCCTTTTTGTGTTCCCAGGTATTTCCAACAGGTAACTCATACAGCGGCCAAGGTCGAAATCTGGTGCTGACTCGGATCAGCTGTTTCTGTTGGCGTGTCCAGTCTTGGTAATTTTCCAGGATTTTGTCTTTCAATTTCTCCTCGGTGTCACCGTAAGCGGCCAGCATATCAGCAGGCCAGCTCTCGCCATCTTCCATTTTCACCCACATGCCAATTTTGATCGATTCATCACCCATTCTCTGTGCCGTCAGAGACTTTCCGTCAGAGTATGAAAAGTAACTGCCTCTCCCGACCATCTTTGACAGCTTTGGATAATCCTCATTCGGTCTCGGAATGCGGCTCTCAAAGCCACAGATGCCCGCGTATTGTGGCCTCACATCTGTCAAGACATGTCGTACCATGGACCACGCTCCATCAGCGCCGACGACCAAATCAAACGGGCCAGCGGTCGTCCCATCGCGAAAGTTCAACACACCTGTCTCGGGTTCAACCGACTGCACGGTTTTGCCCCATTTGACGCATTCACTCTCAACACTCTCCAATAAGATATCCTTCAGGACCTCCCGATCGATCTCCGGCCTCTCGTAATCCAATGCCGACGCTTTCCTGTTGGACTTGGGGTGATTGTTGAGATGTAAGATAACCGTATCATTTTTGTCCGCGATGAACAATTCCTCGCCGTCATAACGGAGATGCTTGAGCGCTTCTTCCCATAACCCGGCTTTTTTGAGGGCAGCGAGGCCAGTGTTCGTGTGCAAGTCGAGTGAGCCGCCCTGGTGGAAACGGGACGTGGGACTGGCGTCCTTTTCGAAGATGGAGATGGAGATGTCGAGAGCGGCAACCTGGAGGAGGCGGGTAAGTGTGAGGCCGGCGGGGCCTGCACCCATGATAGCGAGACTGAACGGCATCGGTCTCAAGGATTCCCAAACCGGGCTTCTCGGGCGATACAGGACGCTCTTCTTCGGCGTAGATATCGGTGCAGAACAGAAACCTGCTGGAATAGTACCGATACAAAAGAAGCTAGCTGCGCAGGCCTGGACAGATTTCGATATCCTTTTCACTTCTACCAGGTGTACAGAGGCGTTCTGTGCCAGAAAATTGTATTACTGTTGCCTGTTGCCTTTTGTCTCTTGAGCATTGAATAGAACGGAATGGGTCGCACTTATGGTCGGCACCTGCTGCTTATATACGTGGCAGGGACTTATTGTTTCACCCGCTCAGACCACAATGGATGGTAATAGTCTACTCACATACTATGAGCCTGTCTGCTCTTCACTACAACAATGTATGGCTCGTGTTGGTGGTGCTGGAAGTCAAACTTCGGGGCCCATTGCATTGGTGCCGAGTCGCCCTATTTAACTCGCCAGCAGGATTTGTCTCCTTCGGACCCGCCACACAGACTTTAACGGCCGAAGCACGGCTCGCGAGAACGCCACGTTTCGGCGGCCCGCGAACATTGCCCCAAGCAGATAAGTTTTGCCCTATCTGGTAATAGGCAGATCTCCATCTCGCATCGCTCGAGGTTCTGGAGAAGAGATTATTGTGCGAAGGTGCGTCACAGGCAAAAGAGAGAGAGAGAAAATGGAATATGGCGCCTCATCATAGAGTGACATGATCGCGTGGTGGTTTGCGGGAAGTGGCTGTTCTCACAAACTTGGATCCGTGAGTCTTTGGTGTTTTACCTCGCATAGCGAGGGCAATACGTATAGCGCTCTATGCGATCAATGCCCCGAAGCCAAACATGGCTGCATAGCCCATCTTGCCCTCCACACCACTTCGTTTTTGTGTTGAGGCACCCGCGCTCGAACTTGTAGGCGAAGAGCTTCCCGGCTGGCTTGAGCTGTGCGATCCATTGCTATAACTGCTAGCAGCCGGACATCCCGAGCCATTGCACTTCGCAGCGAGTTTCGCGCTGGGGACAAACGTCTTGATGGGCCTCGTGTTGTTTTTCAATGGATTACCATTAATATCGAGACTCTCAACCATACTCCAAGGATAGTACTTGGGTGCGGTGAACATGGTTTCAAACCCTTTCTTATGGACAGTGCCAATAACCTTCCAAGGCCCGTCGCGCGATGTACTCGAGTAAACACGCCACTGCGCGACCTTTGTGGCGCCATTCCAGCTCATCCAGTACGAGGTCGGTGCACTAGTATTGTGTGCATATGTGTACAGAGCCGGTGCATCCGTGGGACTGGAGGTAAAATTGTACTTGAAAGCGCGGTAATGCATTGATCCTTCCGTGGCGAAGTGTCCTTGCTGGACCATGCGCCCATCGGGCGTGTATTCAGATATAAACGCATTCTTCCCCCATCCCATGAATACATTTGAAGTCGGCCAGTCTTGGTCACGTCCAAGGACTTGCAAATTACCCTGCGACTGGGAGATGAATTGATATGGTGCAATAAACCTTTTGAGGAGCGTCACCGAATTCGTCGTGTGGTCGAGCTTCAAAATAACGCCTGAAGAATAGCGGGAGGTTTGATTGTATCCATTTGACGCATTGTCGAACAAGGAGATTACAGTGGCGGTCTCGTTCTCTTCGCGGAACCTCGCATCATGCTGGAAACTAAAATTCAGGCCCGTTGGGAAGCTGAAATCGGAGGCTATACCCCCCAGTCGCCAAATGATGTGGCCATCTTGTCCGGACACCTTGTATATGGTACAAGTGTGGCGTGCAGACACCAGGTAGTCTCCATCTGCGTTCTGATCCACGCTGTTAATGTGGAAATAGTCCCAGGGGCTTGTCGGCCCAAATCCGTCTCCCGATACCTCGGTTGTATCTGGCATCACAAAAGTCTCGTTGGGCAGGACATGGTCCAAGGCAGACCACTCAAAGAGCAATCGATTGGTCCCAATTTCGATACGCTGAAAGAAATTGTTCATGATCCAGCCCTGGCCCGACGTGATATCATAAGCGGATAGGTCATAGTGCTCGGGATTGTAGAGGGTAAACAGAGAAGAGCCGTCGGGCAGCACATTGAATTCATGCTCGTCAAAATTGGCCACGCCTCCCTGTGAATGGATCGAAGTTTTGGCTGTGAAAGTGTCGTCCAGGACCACAGCGTAGCCTCGCACATATCCAACATTCTGACCACCGGTTATGTAGCAGAGATTGTCCGTCCCATTGATTGAGCAAAGGTGGAAATTGTGACTAGGGCCACCACCGGTCGAGCCATATCCCGAATAAACCAAGTTCTGGCATATATCAGTTTGTCTCCCTTTGGATTCTCCAAAATGCAGAACTGACCCCTCTGTTGTCATAAATGTAGATCGCCTCTTGAAATGTCTGGTACGGACCCAGGAAGATATACCCAGGAGTCACAGCACCTTCGTCGAAAAGAGAAATGTTCAGGAAAGGTGCAAAAATGTCGGGTCTCTGCTTTGACCGTCAGTAACAGCCGATCAGACGCAGGAAGGACTTACGGATTTGTATTGCGACAATGGCCCTGTCCTGTTCGTCGCTATTGACACTTGACCTTGGGCTTGTGCACCGGGGACAGTGCATGCTACCAAAAGCACAGCAAGAGCAAGCTGGAGGAGAGATGCCATGGCGGAGAAGCGAGGCGTCAATGTCCGTCGAGGTGCCCACCAACCCACTCACGTCAATGCGAGCAAATCGAGAAACTCGGGGCTGACAGAGGTCAAGGTCCATTCAATGGCCGAGCGAGAGACGAACAACGCAGGCGCCTTTTTATGCCACAATCCATGGTTTCGTCAAGGCAAACGGAGAATGCCCAAGTACTTTGAAGGATTTCCCCACTAATGACGCAGAGTTGCATTTGAGCCTTTTAGCAGGTGAGCAGGGAACAAGGAGACTTGAGCTTGTTAAACTGCAGAGATCGAAGTAATATCCCAATGGACCAAATACTAATACTAGCCTATTAGCCCCTGAGGAGCTAGAAGAGGACGATGCTTTTGCCGCCGGTGACCGCCCGTCACCACATCCCCTTTGAAGGATGGATCTACTTGGTATCGGTCACACTGGCGACACCACACCCCAGAAGCCGATCTCCAGGAGCAAGCACAAAATCCAGTTCAGCAAGACGAACTATTTTAGAAGCAAACGACCGCCACCTCGTGTCCCAGTCGCCCGCCTTCTGAGTAATTCAAGTATCAACCAGAACCAACAAACCACAATCCAGTACATTTACGAACTGTTATGGGACCTCACACTTGCCGACCTCTGATATCCCGCGATGTAGCATTCAATACCTAGGGGGTCTGCGCTGGGGCACCTGCTTGAGTCTGCTCCTCAATGGGCTTCTGCCCAAGTATAACAAATCTAAGAAGCTGTCAGCAGAAGGGACAACTGTCCAGGGAGCAAGGCCCAGATCACTTACAGCGGCCAGTAGCTGTGAATGGTGCGGTCTCTAGCCTCTCGTCGACAGTCCGTCAACAAGCTCTCAAGCTCCTCAAATGAGTATTCCAAGAGTTCCCTGAATACCTTCAGACTCAGCCCTTGGATGCCGTCAAGTATATTGACAAGGCCACACATTCCGGCCTGTCTGAGCGTTGAATCCTTGGGCCAGGGGCCTATGGGGATTTTGAACCTGCGGCAGCTGACATTGACAAAGCCTGCGTTCCGCATCTGCTCCATAACGAGCTCAGGTCTGCAAAACCCGCCCAGACCCGTCTTTTCCATCCCTCTCGTCCATTCGCGTTCCCAAAAGCTGAGCCGACTGTTGGGAGGGAGAGTGTTATCGTCACTCCGACGATTGTAGTCGGATTCCTGGCATTCAACCCAACCTCCCGGGGTGAGCCATTGCATTGCCTGCTCGAAATAATGAGGCCAACTCCGCAAAGTGAAGTCGTTCATGATCCTGCAGTGGATCAAGTCGAATCTATGGCCAAATGTCCACTCTTCGTCGGCGTCTGCGATCTCGAAGCTCAAATTTGTTGGTACGAAATGCGGTTGAATTGGACTCAGATCAGTGCCAATGACAATTGCCTCCGGATGGGCTTCACCAGCGTCCAGCGCCCACACACCTGTTCCAGTCCCAATATCGAGAATCGCCCGTGGGTTGGGAATAGGGGCAAAGAATAAAGTGTTCCTTAACGACAGACGGACGGCATGGTAGTTGATGTCGATTCTGTCCTGCTCCGACTCGTCATTGGGCATCAAATACTTGCCTCTATGGAAGGAGTGATAGGTGCGATTATACCGCCTCTCATATTCGTAGATGCTAGCTGTCACCGACTGCGTAGTAGAGTCTCGGTCCCAGTATCCGGAATCTGTCTCATCCACAGCTGGGCCATTGCCGTCATCCTGTGCCAGTCAATTGCGATTGAATTGCTAGAGTACGTCTCCAGGTCACCACTTACCACGGGATCACTGATTGCCTCTAATGCACTGTCGCTACCGGACACTGACATTTTGGGCAGCCGCGAAGCATTTGAAGATCACCAAACTTGGGAGATGTTCGGTGAAATGGAGCTGAATGCTCGCACTTAACCAGCAAGGGGATTCAAGGGCTATCCAAGCGAAGCGGAGAATGTAAGCCAGACACGAGTTGACTCGAGGACGAGAAGACAGCAATGAAATCCTTCCCCATGGCTCGTTTTCTCTGCCTGCAACACATCACCTGTCAAGAAGATGCAGCCGTGCAAAAAACAGTCGGATACCAATTAGACGACTGATCCAACTGTTTCGCAGCTTTCTAGTTACACACAGCCGGCCTCAAAGCTAGCTGCCGCGGATGTCGTGTATCCTTGGCTGTTCGCCCATTCACATCCAGGACCAAACAGAGTGACACAGCTGCAAAGGATGACGCCGCTAGGGCGGCCTGGCCGCAGGGGCTCACGGGCTGCGGCTCAATGCCTGGTAGCCCTTTTCGACATCGACAGCTAAGCCCCTCGACCACCTCCATCTGACATGTGTCAACGGTCGGTCGTGATGCATGGCCTAATGCGTGAGTGCAGTTCCCCCACATGTCTACTGAGCACTCCCATGCCCCTACCTACAGATACGCGGGCTTTTCGAAATTTGAGCTGGCAGGATATCGTGCCTCTAATCCATGTCTTCCGTAGGTCTGGCCCATGGCCAGCGATGAAGGGCAAGAATGGTCACTACCGACTCTCAATCGCTCTGTTCTGCTTCGCCCGCTCTGAAACTCCTTCCTATCCTTCAGTCATGAACCATCTCTCTCATCAAGTGAGTTGCAAGAAGGAAAAGGTTTCCGCCGAATGAATGGTAAAGCCGCTCAATGGAGAAGTTTGAACTTGGACTGTCTGCCGAGAAAGGCCCATGTCATTCAAGATTTCCCTTCCAATTCACCATGCTTTCCGTTGGAATTACCTCCGGAATTTCCGTTCGTGAAGCTCCACAGACCCAGCTTGTCTGGGATTTCTTGGGGTAGCTACTTTCTCATGGTTTGTGTAACAGTACTGTTGTGTCCTACCGCAAGCTTAAGCATATCCCTGGCTCGTGTCTTGTTTGCTTTTTTTTTCAGCCATGGATGTTCGTCAACTCGAAAGGGGACCTAGATCTCACCATGGAAGAGATTCTACGGAAGTGAATACGGTACAATGTGGACGGAGCACTTCGCACTGCCCTCATGATGCTGAGCTGGTGAATAGGGTGTCCCGCGAGGGTACCTCCGAATATGATAATGACTGATGACCTTCCAGCGTCTTCCCACCACCATCACCACCACCATGATGGTTGCCGTTTTCTGAATACATTTTCCTACTGATCGTGAATTCGTCCGAGTCACGACAGCTCCTCGTTCGCTGTCCAGAAAAGGCCACTCGTACAAAAGCACAAAGATTGACCGGCGGATCAACAATCTTTTTGTCTGAATAGGACGAGAGATGCCACGGAGAGCTGGGAGCGAAGACAAATGTCAGGAGTAAGATCCTTGGGCACAGTGAACCGTTAGAAGTCATGAGTTAACATTCCTCGTCCAGACTACTGGAAAAGAAGTCCCGAACCTCGAAGAGGGAATCGACGGCCGGGCCTGGGACCTATCCCTCACCGCCGCCGGGTTCACCTGCCTGGGGCAAGGGCATCGCGCTGATGGAGTTGAACAAAGGCCTTGGTCGAGGTAGGTATACTCCGTGCAAGCATTTATAAAGACCATGTACTCGACATGTCTGTGTGGCACTATGGTGGCTCTCTGTCTCTGTCTCTCTTGGTTGTTTCCAGCTCCCGTTCCGCCGCACCCAGAGCGGTGGGCGGGTGAGTTCCTCACGCCGATGATGGTGATGGTGATGGTGATGGTGATGGACTTTCCTTCCGCGCTGGTGTTCTGCTATACTATACAAAGGTCGTCCGGCGCTTTGATATCATTGACCCGGTCAACACCATCGATACCAAAAGCCACCAGACCCATGTTCAGCGGAAGATGTATCTCCATGTTGCAGCTCAGACCATCTGCAGACGAACGACCGAGGGGATTGTATTAATGTTGGTTTCTACCATGATGCGTTTATTAATGGCTCACTGCAAAAGAATCGAACGCCCACCAGGTAGCTGAAACTTGAAACACCAACCAGGTGATTGTCTGGACATTCCTCAGGGAATGATCAAGGAGCGGCCGTTGTTGTCATCATAGACTTCACGGCCGTCACTTCACGTGTCATCGCCCACTGCTTTCCGAATTCCACCATGATCTCTGTGTCCGCACTCTTCACGACAAATCCTCAGCCTGTACTCCGGCCCGCACAAAGTCACCCAGCCGACCCTTATCCCCTTCTTCTAACAACATACATCATGCGACCAGAACTCTCCAGACCGCCTTGTAAAGCAGCACCATTCTCCCGCTGATCTTCGTTGTCCGAACTGACGGAGCCAGTCTATTATGATTCGCACTCAAGGCAAAGGCTCGTAGGCGCCACTAGTCTTATGAGCCTCGCGGTTCGAGAACAGGAAGTAGATGAGCATTCCCAAGATGGGGAAGAGGAAGACAATGAGACACCAAAGCAGTTTGTGACTTGGTGGTCGGTTTGACTTCAGGACCTCAACTATTGTTGGGGTTGCCTGTTAGCCAATGCGTTTTGCAATCATCGAAATGTGTTCCAACGTTCTTGTGGCATTACATCATGCTCCTCTCGTTCCTCTGAGGCAGGGAAAAGGACAATGAAAAGGGAGGACTAAATTAGTTGAGTGAGTGAGTGAGTGAGCACATACTGAAGACCAAGACGTCAAGGACCAGAACAATCAGCCCAACAATGCCACCGCCTGTCCCGTAGCCGATCATGTCCTTCCCCATGGTGTGCAAGGTCGCGTCACCGCCGTCGGTCAGGGGAGCCGCAAGGGCGAGGGCAGCCAGGAAGAGCTGCAAGAGGATGTTTTGAATCATTTTTTTTGGAGGTTTCGATTGAAGTCGAGGCGAAACTGGTATCGAGTCGCTAGGGGCTGTGAGCGGGTAAAAATAAAGAAAGTATTAGGTGGAAGGGGAAAAGAGCAGTTGCAATCAAGGTACAGCAGGGCCAGGCAGCGATATTTATTGACAACTGCAGCAGCCTGTTATGTCACTGCGGGGTCACTTCCTTGCTTTTGAGATCGCCCGAGTGAGGAAAGCAAACACGCGACGCCATGAGGCTTTTTCTTCCTGTTTCTTATAACGTCATTTGGAGGGGGCGATAGGGGCCACTCCGTAATAAGCTCCCCAGTCCACCGCGCCTCCAAATGTATTAAGGCGGCACCTATCAACCTGTTTTAGGTGCCCTCTGCAACCTAGTGACCAGGCCCCAGCCAGTAACAGCATCCCCCCAAGTGAGAAGCTAAGCCTTTTGAAGAACCCCCCTTGCAGCCTTCCGCTCTTTGCTTCTATCCATATCGCCATACAAAGCTACAAAGAGATACATCACTCGCTCGTTCGGCGCTTGCTTCCAGCCATTATTGTTTCCTTCTCTCGCATTGGGTCTCCTGTCGCTCCAGCCACTGTCCAAAACACAAGATTCTTCGACGAGGACGGGGGACATTTCATGGAACGGCGGGAGCCCAAGCTAATCCCAGCCAAGAACGCTCCAGGGTGTTTTGTCAAGGTCGGAGTTGATAATTATGGAATATGTCGAGAAAAAGCATTCCCCAGTAAGGTATTCTGAACTTGAGCTGTATTACCGAGTGTTAATATTCCTGTTGAAGAGGATTCTGAACACTGATTGTCGAAGTTGTAGTCATCGTTATAGTTATTGTCGTTGTGGTTGTGATCGTCCTCGTTTTCATCGTATCGCTGTAATCGTACAGAAAGATAATAGAAAAGGTGATAGACTGATAGAGGCCGCCTAGCTAATAATTTGTCCTCTCTAATGGCAATGGAGCACTCCTAGATGCAGGATCCAGTGTTAATGCCCTCTGTGTTTTCGATTCTGCGATCCTACGAAAGGTGAAGTTCGCTGGTACGGCGAGGAGGTGGGGGGCCAGCGCCGTTTCGCTGACACATCCTCTCGTCTCCATCGCCAATCTCGTAGGTTCGTTATGGTGGCCGTTTCTTCGGAACTGTCTTTGTCGTCGTAATTGTCGTTGTCGAAGTTGTTACCGTTGTCATCGTAGGTTCTGAGGTACCGGGGATTGTCTCGAGGGAAAAGAGGCACCCGCATTTCCACCCCTCTTCTTCTTGGTATCTGTCTTTTTCATTATCGTTGGTAATTGTCAAGACAACGTCTCTTCTGTTGTGTATGCGGTGAAATTTGTGGTTGACCCTATGTCGCGTGAGGTCGGTGGGCCTCATTCTTTCTGACGTGTACCTTGTCGTGGAATGCTTTTGGCGTTTCCTTTTCTCGTCAAGGATACGAAGTTTAGCGAGAGCTGACCGGCAGCCGCGTTTCCCGAAGACTCTGAATCCCTGCTTGGGATACCTATCCCTGTCTATGCCATTGACGCGGGCGCACCGCAAGAGTCCAACTTCTTCAAGGCAAACGTTGATAGTATAGGAAGGCTCTAGGTCGGTAGCGGTCCAATGTCCGATGTTCCACTTGGGAGTGCCAAAGCAGAAAAACATATCGAATGGCTCTGAAAAACGAAGTGATGCCAGCGATCAACAAGGGTAGCGCAATATCGGTCGAGGGGATATGTCAGGCTCGAGGAGATCTCGAAGAACAAAATGCTACAATATAAAGGCAGAGCAATAAGGACCCCGGCAAAGCTGGAAGTGGATAGGGTTTGTGAAGTCGGCGAAAGACAGGTCGTGGAAATCTGAGTATCCAGGAAATGAGATGCAATTCGTGCAAGATCGGAGACGAGGGTACATGTACGTTGAGGCGAAAGACGCTTGAGGCTCTGGGCACTGCACATCAACCAAATGCTCCACCCATAACCGATTCCATCTGAGACACACTCGAATGAATGAAAAATAGTCGAGCTGCTGGAGAAAACAACATCTCTCTTCCTAGAATCTAGGTTGACATTGGACCTAGAATTCTCTTCCTTCTGGCTTCCCTGAGGTGGTGAATGAGCCTGGGGAGAATGGGTAGCGGGTCGGGGGCAATTCCTCTGTAAATCGCAGAAGCCCACTCCACATGTGGCGCATATTTGGTTGACCCACCGATAAAATACACAACAAACTCAACAAGGCTGTCATGTCCCCGCTTAGCTCCCCCATCAAGTGGATATGGTTCAAGCTTGTGCCATGAAGAAGATTACCTGGGACTTCCGATGTCGCGACCGACTGATTTTGTCGAGGAAAAGAATGGCCTCAACCGTACCAAGGAAAGCAAAGAGCTATATTGGAGTTCCATCTGGGTCCGTCTGGGCCTCCAAATGTCGCATCCCTTTCTGAACGGCGAAAACCCCGAGAGTCCCTTTAGCCATCCATTTGGTCAAAATATCCAGCTACCGGCGAGTTATTCCCACTCCCCGCCGGTTGCGCGAAATATTAGGTCAAACCGCATAATACTTCTCATACAAAGGATCCCTCTCACCCTCCGCAATTTCGCGCCAGTCGTACTCCAGAGCCTTTGCCAGGCCTCTGGCCACGTCTTGTCCTCCATAGAATTGCTCGACGAACGCCAAAGTCAGATCCATGCCCGCACTTATCCCGGCAGAAGTCCAGATCTCGATGGGGGCGCTGTCGTGGCCTCGCGCTTCAGAGGGAAGGCTCCGGACCCACCGAGCAAAATTTACCCACGAAACTTTGGGATTGCGGCCGGTTGTGTCTGCCCAGCGAGATATGTTGGTAGTCGCGCGGCGGGCGTTGAGTAACCCAGTCTGTGCAAGTGCATCGGATCCTGTACAAACAGTCAAGATGGCGGTGGATATGTGGGGCACCACTTTGGGCACAAAGTCGAGAAGACTCTGGATATTAGATGTCTTGCTACCATCTGGGTGAACTCGCCTAAGTCGAGTGCCGATGCCGCCGGGAATGAGAAGAACGTCAATGTGGGGTCCTGGTTTGCCAGCACGGAGGGCCTCCCAAAAATCTGCATAGGTGGTGTCTGGTTGTAGATACTCATTGAAGCTGGTGTTGATTTTGCCGTTTGTCTGTGGAAGCGCGTTTGGCAGGTCGAACGTCCAGTTGGCCGATTTTGGCGGGATAGGCTTGACCGGGACCGGGTCCAGTGTCTCAGCGATGAAAGTCAAAGATAGAGGATACTTATCCGGATCAAGTTGAGCGGAAAGTATATTCAGGATATCCAGTGGACCAGCGAGGTCGAGAAGTTGGAATCCAGGAAAGATGGGTAACAGGTAGTGGACGGGAGGGGAAGCCATTGTGTTGGGATGTTGGCCACCTAAACCGACAAGAAAAAAGGGAAATGGAGGCTGGAGTTAGTACAGTGAATGGGGTCAAAAGCAACTTACACAACTTTCTTGACGAGGTTGAGGCTCGTGTCGGTGTATATATAGATGATATGCAAAGTGCAGGACAATGCGGAGGAGGAGGAGGAGATGGGAGATGTTTCGGGATGGGAATTCCAGATTGGTTCAAATTACCGGTTTGGTAGAGCAATGCCGTATGGGTCGTGAAGAAGGGCGTGTGTCAGTATGCAGTTTGCAGTAGAAGCTAGGGAATCTTCAATCGGTACAAGGTCGGTGGTAGCCACGTGCATGGCACGCCTTTTTTGATGGCAGAGTTTGACCGAGTGTTCCACAGGGTATGAGTAGTGGCAGCCTGCTGTATCCGCAGTCATGATACAATACGAGGAAGTTCTGGGGTACAAGTGTATTATCGACAGGAAAAACAAATTAGAACTGATGGCTCCTCCGTTTACAGAACAAATAAAGCCCAAGATCCAAGTAGAGAGAGTGCCGATGCCTTCATTCAAGATGGCAGCTGGAGGATGTGGCCAGTTTATAGGCACCGATAGTACCTCGTAATACTGTGCAGCAGCAGTGCCGAAATACCGGATATACTTGTTAGAGTTGTTCCGGGGCATGCCGGGCCCACCGAGTGCCTTGGAGCCTGGTCACGAGCCAGCTTGGCCCTAGTCAGGCTAGCGTACTAGGCCTTGCGATTCACCGAGTTCGATCGAATCTGCGGAGGGGCTGTTATCCCCCCAAGTCCCTCGTACCTGTACTCGGTATTGGGTACCCAGCGAGCCAGTACCGACCTCGCCGAGTTGGTGAGGGGGTCCTGGAGGGTCTTCTGACTCACTGTGCCAAGCCCGCAACCTCTGCTTTCTGCCTCTGGCCGCCACACACGTTTCCTCTCTCTTCCTTCTTCCTCTCGAGTGTCTTCTGCCACCTGACTGCTTCTTACCAGATACTTCCAATGCGAACCATTGTCTTCCTTCACTGCCTGACCCGGCACCAGCCTGGATTCGCGCGGCTCAGGCTCAGGCTCCTGACGCTTTTTATGCTCTCGCCATGGCTGCCCATGGTGCCGACCTTCTGACTTCTTACTCTAGTCACCGCCTGATCCCGCAATCCGCCACCACTCACTCTCACCCGCACTCGAGCAGGGCCTTTGCTCACCAAATCACAAGGTCGTGGTGCTGCACTGCAAACACTTGATTGTTCAATCTGTTTGCCTGACCTTCTCTACTTTTCGCCTCCCCGTAGTACCACCTGAGAATGACGCATATCCTGATTCATCCCCCTCCCAATGGATTACTCTGCATTGCCATGTTTTTCTGCCTGCCGCACCGCCGCCACCACCTTCACTCGCTGCCGCACCTGCTATTCATACCATCCTACCATCACCCATTGTTCTGTCTCAATTGCTCCTCCCCATTGAATCCTTCCATTGACCCATTCAATAGTCACAAACATCCTTTCTACTCACGATATTAACTCTCCGCCATTCATCGCTGTATTGAAGGGGTCGCTGCCGCCTGGAATATCTGTTGGACTACAAATATCTTACCTGCCGCCATTTCTCAGCATCAATTTTTCAGCCTTGAACCACACTCACTGACCCTGGACACTGTGCGCTTTGCCTTTGACTCACATTCAAAGCCAGGTCGCGAACCGACGGAACCTCAAACTCAAAACTTGGGTCAACTGCGGTACTCGCTAGCCTCTCCAGCGACGAGGACCTACTTCACCAGGAGGACCTCCAACCCCGTGACGGCGCAACATCCTATATCAATCCCCTCTCCTCCGCTCAATCCCATTCTTCACCAACCGCAACTTGTTGATCAGAAAGAGGTGGATCAGATATCTCACATGCGCGGGGACTCAGAGCCCGAAATCCCCCTCGACTCGTTTCCATCAGAACAGACCAATATGGCTTCCGAGCCTCTCATCCCTTCCAAGGAGGGTCCCGATCTTCTTGCCACATGCAAGACCAACATGGCAGCACTCACCCAGAACCATCTCATCACTCCTCCCGACCCCCCCGTGCACGACTTTGCCGACATTGCTTCGCAAGATAACAAGAGCAATGACCCTGTGCTGGTGTTTGGCAACGTGGGGTCCCTACCGCCAACTCCCGGCATGTCGCGAAGCCCTTCTCAATCCTCCTCCTCCTCCGCCGCCTCTATTCAGGGACCCGGACTCTTTGGACCCGAACCGGTTTCGATTCCTCAACCGATCCCTCAACCCCGCGCCTCCTGGGCAGCCGACGATTATCAAGTGGCTGTTCCTCTGAGAACGGCTCAAGACTACGACCTCATTCTTCAACGCTTCCAGAGATTCCGTGAGGTGGTTCGCAAATACCCTGACGAGATCTACTATGTTGATGAGGGAATGGTGCCGAGAGAGCGCCGTCTGGTTCGTGCAACCGAGCTTCTCAACAGATTGGAGCTTTTCATGAAATACCACATCACTTGGTACGAGCCTGGGCTCGGGGCTGACACGGTATGGGACCCCACGTCGTGCTCGCCAGGGCCATGGAATAGCCTCAAGCGGCTGGCTTTCGTGGGGCTCCTCCCACAGTACCCCGCCGACGACAGGGATTCGGTCTTGTTGTACATCAGAAACCATCTCTTTAATGGCCGCCCATCTCCTTTGGAGTGGATTCCCCTAGAATCGTCTCTCCGAGGGGTGTCTAGATCAGTCGTTACAGCTAGACCTGGTTTGAAATCAAAACTTGCCGCTACTAGTGAACGACCACCCAGTCGCCAAGCTGTAGCTCACCCCCCCAAGGAAAAGAAGGCACACATCGTGAATACTGTGTTGGAGGCCACTGTGGAACCGCTCAGCAGAACCAGAGGAGTGAAACGCAACTATCAGGGAGACGAAGAGACCCAAATGGTCTATGTCAAAGTCGCCAGGGATCAGGAGGCAAATGAGGTCGAGTCCATCAAAAGCGTCAAGAAGTACAAAGTGGTCCCCGATAGCAAACCAAAGACAGCCCAGCGAGGCCCAGACAGCAAATCGAAGAACACCAGAACCCGCAACTCAGACAAGCCGAGGGGACCAAGCGAGTCACTCTGCCGGAATATCAAAGACACCCTCAACCGACGCTCCGAGGATAAGATCAACTATGAAGCTTTCAAAGACGCCATGCTGCCAGAAAACGGACCATCTGTTCGTCTGTCTCCCTGCGAGTTCACGGCAGAGGAACTAAAGGACATCAGAGAGCTTCAAGACATTGGCGATTGCACCGGTCTTCATCCAGAAGAGGTCAAGCTCTGCAAAGTTTTGGCTATGAGCTCCGACTTGTACAAGTGCCAAAAGGCTCGCTGCTTCCTCGGCCTCACATTGTTTGTAGAATACAACCTAGAGAAGCTTAGCGAGAACAATCCCAAGTTCAAGGTGCTGAATGTCGGGAAGGCCCAGTTTCAGTTGTTTGGCAATGTGGATGTCAACAAGCTCAGCAAAATGTACACGACCTTTAAGAAATGGGGCTGGGTTGAGGACATGACGCAACAGAACATTCCGAAGTCTTACATGGATCGATTTCCGCAAGCTTATCGTCTTGCGTTGAGGAACGAAGTTGCTGAGTACGAGGCAAGTCTCCCACTCGAGAAGCGAATTTTCCGAGTCTGAACAGAGCGATCGTTGTGCGATTGGAAACACGATGAGACCATTGAGAGATGATGAATAGTGGTGACAATGAGTGGATGAAAGTTACCGAAAACATCACAGGGGAACATGTTGAAGGCACAATTTCATGGCATATTTTCCAAAAGGGTCGCGTGCACGGGGCTGACAAAGTCATGGAAACAGTCCTAGATCATGGGCCATGATCATGACGTGGCAGGGTGTTGGGAGGTTTTGCATTCAACGGTTGGGAAGGGAATCTTGTTATCTGTTTTTTCCACTCATTTGCATTGATACCCCACGGTGGACTGCGACAGTCGCCGGCACATGTTATCTTGTTGACATTTTTCGTCTATTGCATACGGGCAACAGGGCATTGTTGTATGTACTACATAACCCGGTCGAGCTTGCAGAGAACAGGCTCTCCAGACAGTTATCTTGCAGACAGATTGAATAGCAATCTAGTAGACATTGAATGATTTACTCGCTCAGTTCATAGGAAGCACAAGCAAGACGTCGCTCTGTCATTCCGACTAAAGATGATGCCATAATGCGTTTCCAGTCTCGTTTCCATCTCACCATTTCTGCATCCCGACCCATCTCGCCATGTGCAGGTGATGATTGCATGATGTCACTCTACATACGTCTACAAGGGTACACGCCCCACCAGTACATCAAATACGAGCTACGTTTCAAGCTTCGCAAGGGTAAAGGGAGCGGAGGGGGTTTTGTTTCATGATTCCCTCCGCCTCCGTTCCGGATTCCTAATTATTTCCAATCACAGGGACGACAGTCATTCATGCAGTCCGTCAGTCCGAGCCACGAGAACAGAGTAATGCAGAATCGTGGAGGCCATAAATGTGAGGCCCAAGGAGAGTAAAACATACGAGCAAGGTAATATGCGCGGTGGCAGGGTATCGATGGGCGCGCATGGTTTGTGGTTGAAGGACCGAGTACAAGGTGCTTGCAAGTCTCATTCCATTCACTCAAATAATGCCCATTCCCCTTTTTTTCCATTTCACTTGCCGTTTCCATTTTTGAGTTGTCGAGTGGGTGGATATTTCGTACATGGAATTAATTTTGTTTTGGTAGGCCCAGTGACACGGGGGACATCGAGATAAATGTCGGCGAAGAAGAAGAAGAAGAAGAAGAAGAAGAAGAAGAAGAAGAAGAAGAAGGAGAAGGCCCTGGACCTGGCGGATAGAATCTCAATTCAAGTCCTCGCTCATTCCCCACGGGTCGTTTTTGCTGCATCGCTGAGCATTGGGCAAGCAGGTCGTTGGCGTTCCTCCTCAAGACATCTGCAGGGCGCCTCCTCGTCTGCGCCATTCGCGCCCCCATCG